GGAGCAAGCTAACTGGGAGGAAGAACGAAGGCTGGCGCAGTGATATCCTCATCCGAGCAACCGTCCGATGTCCCTCCGAGACTGTCTACGCTATCGCCCATCACGCCGACCAGGAGAATCTCGATGGCGCCTTGCATCATGCCATGCTAAGGGGCAACCTCGCTGTGCTGCAGGCATTGCTTGATCACGGCGCAAATCCTGTTCAGCTGCATGATGACTTCCTCGACCTTATATCCCGCAACCAAGTCGATCTCGTACAGGCTATCCTGGCTGGCCACCGACTGCCGTGTCTCCCATGTCGATCTACTGGATTGATGATAGCTGCTAAGAACGGGTCGCTGGAAATTGTCAGTCTGTTACTGAAGTGCTGGGCTGATGTTAATCACGACGGCGGAGCTGCATTGGTCGCAGCTGTAGAAGCCCGTCGCCCTGATCTAGTTGCCGTCCTCATCTCTGGCCCGGTACAGCCCTCTCCTCGTTCTTTGGACGCTGCTCTTGGTCGGGCCCATAAGGAAATAATGGTACGGTCAACCGAGGAGCATCGGGAAATCATCGAAATGTGTCTGTCTGCCGGTGCTGCAGGAGAGGAGACGACCCGGCTTGTGACGGAAGGTGTCGTAGCCGCTGTACGAACGAGACACATTCAGTTGCTAGACACGGTTCTCCGGGTCAAGAGGCCACCACCTCAGTATGAAGCAATGGCCATGGTGGATGCAGTCAAGGCGCAGCACATCGATGTTCTGAGTAAGCTGCTTGTACTAAAGCCGCAGCCCAAGAGCCTCGCGCTTGCGGTTTCACAAGCAGTCGAAATACATAACCGACAAACGCGCCACGACATTACTCAAATACTCATCGATTCGGGTGCTCAGGGGTCATGTACGGCGGAGGCCTTGGTCAAGGTCGTTAAGATAATTGTCACTGAGCCCGGGATGCCCCACAAGACGTCTTTAGATCGAGCGATGGACAAGAAGCTGTTCCGTCTTTTGCTTCAGCAAGGAAAGGCAGATGTGAACTACGAAAATGGTGAAGCTTTGCAGATTACAGTCCAGAAGCCGTGTCTAGAGATTGCTGAGGAGATTATTAGTCGGGAACCATCGCCCGAAGCCTTGGGTGCTGCCTTGCCTTGGGCGATGGATCTCGTCAACCCGAGGGCCAGGGAGTCGATGATTGAGCTCCTGCTTCAGAAGCATATTAATGAAGATGCTGTAGGAAAAGCCTTGGTTCAGGCCTTCAAGGAAGGGCCTGATAATGGGTAAGTGACTCCCATATGGCGAGTAGAAGAGCAAACCGTACTAATCAGGGTACGAACAGGCCCCTCATCAAGTTACTCCTCACTCGTGCATCCGTTAATCATAATAATGGAGAAGTGTTCATCTTCGCGATTCGCCAGTACCGACCCGAGACGTTCCGAATGCTCCTCGACCAAGGGATTAGCTACAAAGCCCTCTTCACCGCCATCAACGAAGCCCTCAAAACCTCTAGGACGAACCGGCGAGCAATTTTTGCGGATCTCATGAGTCGCCTACAGTTCGACCATCTAAATACCGCATTGAAGTACGTCGTTCTCGAGGCCGACACCGACCTTACTCTGGCCAAATCACTACTCGAAGCAGGAGCCGAGGCCACACACGAGAATGGTGTCTGCATTAAGAATGCGGCCTCCAATCTCGATCACGATACCCTTGGTCTCCTGACAGAATACTCCGGGACTCATGACGGTATCTTCACTCAAGCCATGGCCGGTGTCGTCAACCGTGGAAAGCAGTGGATTGCCTTTGAACATGTCGAAGTCATGAAACTCCTCGTCCGGGGAGGGGCCTCTGTCCAGGTGATCAACAAGGCCGTGGTGGAAGTCATCGACACTTTGGCCTGCAAGGAGTCGCAGATTGATCTGGCCAACAGATTTCTCGACATATTCTTCGCTGCCGGCGCCGATGTCAACTATGAGAACGGAAAACCGGTCGGAATCGCCGCCAGTCGTGGTGATCCGGTGCTTCTTGCGCGGTTGCTTAGTAATGGTGCGTCCTCAATGACTTCCACACACGCTCTCTCAACTGCTATAATGGCGCACCATGACGAGAACCTGTTATTGCGGTTGATCGACGTTTTTGCGGATAGGCGAACTGCGGCACCGGATGTGAACCAGTCGATTCCGGGAATGCCATCGCCAATCTTCCTGTGCCTCAAGTCGTACCCTAAGTCGCTGGCCTTGTTGGATAGTCTCGTCGGTGCCGGGTGTGATCTCGAGTCCACCGTGCTGTCGGATGTTTGCCCTGAGGAGGAGTCGACTGAGAAGAAGGTGCGGGCTGGAAATTTTGATGAGCCGGTTACCGTCTTGTTGTGGGCTCTTTTGCCCAGGAATAGCCAGATTGATCCTGCTGTCGTTAATGGGCTTGTTCGTCACGGTGGTAAGTGCAGGTCAGCCTGAATGGAATTAACTTGTGCGCTAACAGACCCAATAGCCAACATCGCTTACGCGTCGCCGAGAACTCATACTACCGCTTTGATATTGGCGGTCAAGTCAGGAAGAGTTGAAGCTGTGCAGACACTCCTCGATGCCGGTGCCAAAGTCACTACCAAAGACAGCCAGGGACGTTCCGCTTTGTACATTGCCGCCAGGTTGGGCAATGCGGATATTGTGGCCGCGTTGCTGAGAATCAACTCTTCCCTAAACGATGGCAGTCTCCATGAAGCGTCGCGTAACCTCCACACTGGTGCAATGCGCCTCTTGGTTGAATGCGGCCATGATCCTAATTACAGGTCAAGCAAGCACGACGGACGCACTGCCTTTGGTGAGATGGCTCTCAAGGCCACGGTGCCTCGCGATATTACCATTGCTGAGGAGGCCGTCGAGATCCTCTGTACCGGCGGTGCCAGCCCTCTGCTCAAAACCAATGGAAAGACAATTCTATTCTTGGCCTTGGACAATATGGATAACGAAGCCATGACCCGTCTACTCCTGGACAAACATCTGTATCGCATCCTCAACAGCCCGGAGAATATGTATGTGGAGGGTATCTACCACTACTCGCCAACCATGTATGTAAAGAAAGGCATGCTTCAGGGACCAAGGACCGCCGGTCTGATCGAGATTCTGGAGGGTCATGGCGGCGAAGACCGGTACTACGCTACCATGGAACAGAAACAACCACATGATGCTGTAGGTATGCCCGAGGAGATCCAGAAGTTCGAGCGGGAGCGCCGTGCGCGAGAACGACGCATCCGGGAAGCAGAAGAGGAACACGCCGCCACCCTGCGTCGCGAGTATGAAAAAGCCAAGACGGTCGACGTGATCGAGGACTTGCATCACAACCGCTCATACCGTCATTACGAGGACATCTCCGACCAGCACCGCCGGAACAAGTACCTAGATCACCATACCGAAGTCACCATCAAAACCGAAGCGGCCCTCGTCGACAACTCCCTCAAAATGCACGGCGCCAGCGTCGACAACGCCATCCAGTGGCAACGCCACAACAACCACATGGCCATGGGTGTCAACGCCGCTCACGTCCAGCGCGATATCAAAATGCAGCGGCACGCCGTTGATATGACGATTGGCCGCGATGCCGCCCAGCTTAACCGGTCCATCGCCATTCGGCACCACAACGACGGGATGGTCATGGCCTCGCAGCAGCGTGGCGCCCAGCTAGCGCACATGCGCCACGAACACCACCAGGTCATACAGCAGCGGAAAGACCACGGCGTTATCAACCACACCCACGCCGAGAACAGGCACGCGCTCGAGATGCGCGCGGGCGCCCAGCGCCATGGGCAGGCACTCGCGCACCAGCGGTCGGCGCACCAGCTGGGCATGAGGAATCGCGCGGATTACTATAACCAGGGACTGGATTTCCAAGGGAGAGCGCAGGCGATGCATGAGAGGCATATTGAGGGCATTCATCAGAAGCATATGACGCTGGCGGGGGCGAAGCATACGATGAACATGACGGAGTTGGGGGCGCAGAGGGGAAATATTATTGGGCAGACTAATTTGAATGAATTAAGGCAGTGGTCGGCGGCTGGAGAGGGGAGGAGTATTGGGTATGGAGGGGGCAGGGTGCAGTTGCTAAATTGAGTGTGCGTTTTGGAAGAACTTTGGCGAGAAGAGATGAAACGACGGGAAAGCATCGAAAGAAGGGACAAAGAAAGAAGGAGGTGCATTGGAAAGCAAGGCCCAAGATTGACGCGGAGATATGGCTGGCGTTTTGCAAATCTTTTGATACCATGAGCATAGCATTTATCTCTTACTTAGACCGTTTCATCTTCAGAATGTAGTTTGTTTTCATCACTAATGACTTTTGAAGATAAGGAAGTTATAGTATGTTATTCGCACAACGCTCGAGGGGGGGGGGGGGGGGGGGAATAAGTGCTAGGGGCAGGGTAAGGGTTAGACGTGGATAAGGGAAGCAAAACTGAACATAATCACTCGCGAGTCTTGTGGCCATAACGCCCCGATGGACCATAATAAACAAGCACAATGGAGGGACTGGCCTCCTAATATGCGTTCTGCCTGAATGTTTCCCTTCGAAACGACATTTTGTAGTCTCATGAGTGATTGACCACTGCGCCTGCGGTACGTATGAAATTGGTGCAAGGGGGAAGCCACACCTAGAACTAGCTCCACCACCACACCAGCCACAAACCCTTCTCCGAATTTTGCGGAGAATCGAGTGGATGCCGCCCCGATTATTATCTCCGGTGGGGTCACCCATGCCGCTCGGTGCGGGGACGCCGTCCCGTCATCAGCGCGGCTCTCTCCGTCCGTGGCACTTGTGGGAACACGGAATCTCGGTGAGTTCGTCTGCTGAACGGAACTTGCTCATCAGCAGTTGCATGAACCGTTGCCTCTTTAACAACGGACAACGTTTCATCAGCATCCAGCGGCCCATCCCTTCAGTTGAGACTCGGTACTATTTCAGCCTGCTGACCGAACGACTGGACGTCACACTGCATCTAACTCAACGATTGACCGATAAGCTGATCGACCAAAACGACCTAATGTAACCTCTCTCCATTTTATTTTACCGATACATATTCTCACCTCATTATCGTGAATGACGTGAATTCCACCACTTCCACTCGGCCACCGTGACCACACATAAACAAACACATCTAACCGCCCCTACCTCAACCAAACAACAACATAATACCCCGAGAGCCGAATCACCATGGCCGACTACGACCAGCCCACCATGGGCGCCTCGACAGCCGCAGCCGCCGCACACGCCCAGCTCAAAAAAGTCAAGAAGCAAAAAGTCCTCCTCATGGGCAAATCCGGGTCCGGCAAGTCGTCCATGCGCAGCATCATCTTCAGCAACTACCTCGCGCGCGATACGCGCCGCTTGGGGGCCACCATCGACATCGACCTGTCGCACGTCAAGTTCCTCGGCAATCTGACGCTCAACCTCTGGGACTGCGGTGGGCAGGAGGCCTTTATGGAGAACTACCTTTCGCAGCAGCGGGCGCACGTGTTCAGCAACGTCGGGGTGCTAATCTACGTCTTTGACATTGAGTCGCGCGACGTGGACCGCGACTTGGCGACGTACGTCAACATCATTTCGGCGCTCGTGCAGTACAGCCGCGAGGCCAAGGTGTTTGTCTTGATTCACAAGATGGACCTGATCCAGCCGATGACGCGCGAAGATGTGTTTGATCGCCGCGTTGCGCTGGTGAGACGCAAGACGGCCGAGGCGGTGGCGATTGTACGGAAACAGAAGCCCGAAGTTTCTGGAGTAGGAGGAGGATTACCCGGCCCTGGCGGCGGCGGCGGCGGCGGTGCCATGATGGCAGGCTCCCTCCCCTCCCCGGAACTCTCCACCCCGATCCCCGACCTCGAAGTAGAAATGCAACTCTTCGCCACCTCCATCTGGGACCAATCTTTGTACAAAGCCTGGGCCTCCATCATCCACGACCTCGTTCCCAACCTGTCCGTCATCGAAACCCAACTGGCCTCCCTGGGCGTAGCAATTGACGCCGACGAGATCCTCCTCTTCGAACGCACCTCCTTCCTGGTCGTCTCCAAATGGACTTCTCCAGAAGGGGAATCAAACCCCTACGGCGACCGCTTTGAGCGCATGTCCAACATTTTGAAGGCGTGGAAACACACGTGCTCAAAGTATACGGGCACGCCGAGGAACGCCGAGCAGTTTTCGGACTTTGAGTACAAGATGGGCGCGAACTTTAGCATGTTTGTCACCAAATTTACGACGAATACGTACATTTTGGTGTGCATGCCACCGGGCGAGGCGAGGTTTAACAGCGCGAAACTGAATGTGGCGGCGGCGAGGCCGTGGTTTAGGTTCCTGGATGGCCCCATGATTGCGCCGACGGCGGGCATCGGGAGTTCTCAGATGTTAAGCGGGTTGGCGGCGGCGGGGGGTGAAGTGGCGTAAATGAGCGTGGAGGGGAGGGACCGTTGAGGCGAAGAAAATCTGGTGTAGGGAGGAATTCAAGATATGGTATTACGGCCCTCGAAAGAACACGATCGGGTTCGAGCGGATCGAGAAGAGGCAATCAAGGTTGCAAGATGGGCGACACGGCATCTTTTGCGTGGGGTTTGGGGCGATTTGGGTTTAGCACACGATATTGTTTGATGGCTGCGCAAAAGCCAGACTGGGGGCATGCAGCACGCCCGTGAGACACGACGTCCCTCTGATATTATGTCTTGGGCTTTCTTTGGTCGGTATGCTTTTCTTATTCGGGATTTGCATTTTGTTACACAGCAAGTTATTTGCGTTAGGGGTTGATGATACCCATAGCGGTCACGGCAACGGCGACGGAGGCGTTTAAAAAATATTGAGGAGAGAAGACACTTCAAACAGATCTTATGTTGTGCCACATGGTTAACAAGGGAACGTCTGTTAGAGCTTCCGTCTTTTGAATCTACAGACGAAACTAATTACTGTCTAGCCTCGATTTGCTTGCTATGTTGGCCTGTAATGTGCCCGTAAACAACGCCCCTTTACCCATTAAAACCCCTGGAAATACCATGCCCATGCCACTTATATCCCTTAAACCCACTTGACGACAGCAGCAGCGCCTCTCTTGAATTCCGGGGTGTCACCCAGAACCAGAGACTTGTCGGCGTGGTCCTTGTTGGGGAAGGTCGTGGAAAGAACCCAGGGTCGGGCTGAAAGAGACGTCGAAGAGCGCTGGATAAAGTCGTAGACATCGCCAATCGTCTGCGACGTGTTGAATCGAGCCGGGAGGCGGCTACCGTCGGGCAACTGGATACGCAGCATCACTGTTGGCTGCGACTCATCCACGCCAGTTGAGGGAGCTTGAGCCGAGCCACTAGTAGCAGGAGCAGAAGCAACAGCGGTACCTGCGGCTGCAGCAGCAGGAGGAACAAAGCCTGATCCGTCTCCTGGAACAGGGCTTCCCAGACGGCGGCCCTCGCCACTGAAGGGGACGTACTTCTTGGGCAGCTGCCTCCACTCCTCTTGATGCTGCTCCAACTTGACGTTCACACGCTGATCAGGCCTCACATTCATAAGGCGAAGCGGGGCGCGGCCAGCACGGATCATGGCCAAATCGGCCTGGTTGGCCGGGTCATCAAAGCGATAAAGCGGACCCTCCTCGACGCTGAATCCGTTGCTCCAAATATGCAACGTTCTTTCCTGGGTTGGACCTTCAAGCTGGCGGGGCGGGGCAGAGGTATTCGAATCGACAGTGGGGATTTGTCGAGACTCAACGCCGTCACCGCCGAGCGTCATACCAGTGCCGCGGAAGCGGGTAGGTCTCGCGGTTCCGGCTCCGGTTTCTTCATCATCGGGGCTATTGCCACCGGCACGAGAGTTCCTGCATGAAAAAATCTCGTAGTTAGTACAAGGATGGAGTGGACATAGCCCTCGACTTCGGGAACATACTCTCTAGCCTTGGCCAGAATATCTTGGAGAAGCCTTCTGGTGTCGCTGTTGGGTTCACGTTGACTAGGGTCCTGGACAGCCAAGCCCGACTTCTCGCCACCAGCAAACAAGTCCCTAGGTCCGCGACCTTCATCTTCCTCATCGTCCTCGTCCTCGTCGTCATCTTCGTCGCGTCGGCCCCCTATGGAACTCAGGGTTGCAAGGCCAGTGCGTTTTTGGGTCTTCTTGGGAGCCGAAGAGGATGATTGCGCATACTGGGGAGCGGGGCGGCCGTCGAGAGTCCTGGGGCCAATATACTCGGGGGGCGCCGCGGCGCTGGCACGAGCAGGAGCAGGGGCAGCTCCGGTGTTCGAGGCACTGTTGTCTTGATCCGTATAGTATGCGGCGACGGCAGCATCCATGTCCCAGTCGTAATTGTTCAGGTACTCTGTAGCCTGTGTGGTTTCAGTCAGTAAGCATCATAGTGAAACATTTTGGATACTACCAGCATACCGCATCAGTAGCAACTCCGGTCAGCTCACAGAAGCTGCTGATCTTGTCGTCGTGGTCGGCCATTGTTATGTTTCAAGGTGGTGACGGCTTGATTGGTTCGAGTTAAGATCAAGCACAGAGAATGATATCGGGGGTGGCTTTCGTTGCAATGGGGAGGGTCGGAAGAATGAATGCGAATGTGTTGCCGTAGGCACTTCTACAACTGGATGAAGTTTCGGTTTGGAATAAGATGGATCGAGTGAAAGCGAAGCCAAAGGAAGGAAGAAGTGGAAGTAAATGTCAACTACGCAGGCAGCTTCTGGTGGACGTGACGTGACGTGACGGGTCACCAAACGCTCGGTGGCACTAACAGTTTCCCTGCGGGATCGCAGCTCGAGCAGCCGCCCAACTGTTAGTGAACCACGGGAGCTTCCTGGACTCTAAAGTGGCCGCCCCGCCAAATTGGACGCTGTGTGCCACTGGCCTCTCGTTACGTAAGCTTTGTAGGCCCCGCTGTTCTCCAATTTCTCGCGCTAAAGTGACCAAAGCTGTCAGGATCACCCCTGCGATGCGAGCCTGTGACGCCAGCCGGCGGGGATTTCTACTGTTTGAGGTTGCCCTGGTCTGCCTGCCCCCGTTAGGTACCTCTGCACTACTTGTAGGTCGTGCCTAGCTCGCGACCTGTCACTGCGTCTCCCATCATTCCATTCCGCCCTTGCGACGACGGCTTCCTGCGATAGTCTCATCCACCAACACTGCGCTTCCACCACCCGCCTTATACCGTTCCCTTGTCGCAACCGCCTCCAACCATCACCATGTCCGCTGAGGAGATATCGAACCCGTTGGCCGAATCCGGCGTCACGATCTCGTCAGACAGCGAGCAGTATTCGGCGCCCGAATCCGCATCACCCCAATCTCCATCGTCCTCCTCCCCCGCCGTCGTTCTGTACCAGCCACCCACTGTCTGGTCGCTATTCCGCAGCGCCGTCATCAACCTATTCCTCCCCTTTGTCAATGGCATGATGTTGGGATTTGGCGAGCTCTTTGCCCACGAAGCTGCGTTCAGGTTGGGATGGAGCAATACCAAAGTAAGCGCCCACCCACATCTGCACTCGCTCAATCCATGGTCCCAAAAGCGCTCACCACATCATAGGTCTTCCCCGTCAGCAGGCGAGACGCGCGTCCTATCGGCCCCGGTGTCGAAGTGGTCGAGAGGCCGAGGCGGAGAGTGGACTTGGATGATCACTTGGATGACCTGACCAGCTTGGAGTGATGAGCGCGTTGTCTTCCGCGGGTCACCCAGCGCAACGACATAAAGCAACCACAGAACTGTCCGGCTGCAGGGCCGAAACTCGAACCAAATTCTTGATGAAACATCAAAGGGCGAGATAGACACTTAAACAGCGCTGCTAGCCAACGCAGCACAAGGGACTCCGTTCGGGTTCTGTGTGCAGTCACACTCCCTCATTACGACGGCGCCAAACTGAATCTTGGAGGGCATTCGTCTGACTGGAAACGAGCATTGGTCAGGATATCACAGGCGACATCTTGGAGCAGGACGAGGGGGGAAGAGAATTGAGCATCCAATTTACATACTGCTCTGGGCTGCATATAGCAAACACAGCAGACTGCTAGCAGGCGTCAGGGATACATGCTTTCCGGCAGCGACTGCAGCGCTAGGAGAAATAAAAACTATGGTAAAGTGTACAGTATTCAACGCTCCAACAACAGCAGAGTTTTCTGCTTCTGGTCTGCCCCTCAAGGTCAGGTACTTTCATACATATATATAGATACAGATACACTACCAATTGAGGACCGTGATGGCCAGGCAATGCCGCAATGAAGCTTGCTGGGCTTCCATGTACAAACGCCACATGGGCCGATTGCCGGCTGTCTAGGCTGTTGGGGCAGCTGTCAAGTAACCATTCATTGGGCTCTGCGGGCCGTTCCCTAACTGAAACCCAAGCAAAGGTGCGGGGCCTGGCCAGAGATCCGTGGACCCTTGCCGGGTTCCCGTCCTTTTCTGGGGAAAAAAAGTCGCGTCTGGTCGCCGGCGGCAGAGTCGAGTCCCACTTCATGCTTGACCCATTGGATTTGGAGGGTATCCAGTGTTTTTGTGACTGAAGTTATCTTGAACATTGAAGTCTCCCCAAAGTCACACCAGTGACCTCTTCAGTCAAGATGCTTCCCAGCCGAGGCCTCCTAAGGTCGACCCCAGCTTTGGGGCTCGCCAGAGCTGTAAGTCTTGTAATGTCTTTTTTCCTCTTTTTTTTCCCCCTCGGTCTTTTGTGCCAATCGAATGACACACTTCCCAATGCGCTGCGACTAACACCAGTCTCCTGCGCATAGTCCTTCAAGGCCCCTTCGTCGCGACAGTTCGGCACTGCTCTGCCTTCTTCTTTCCCCCAGGGCTCTCGCAGGATAGGAGGCCCTCTCGGCATCACAGCTACCGCTGCCGCTTCCCACCAGCTCCTCTCTTCTCTTCGTCAGGTCCGCTACGCTTCGACCGGTCCCGATGCCGCCGTCGCCGCCGATGCTGCTGCTGCCGCCGCCGCTCCCGCTTCCTCGCCCGTCGATGCTGTCGCCGCTACTCCCGTCGAGCTTACCGGCAGCGATCTTCTCAACCTCCCCGAACAGATCGGCTTCCTCAAGACCCTCGGCCTCGACTATGGCTGGGGTGTTACCTCGATGATGCAATGGCTTACCGAGCACGTCTACGTCTACTCCGGCCTCCCCTGGTGGGCCACTCTTGCTGCCGTCGCTGCCATCGTCAGAGTCGCCATCTTCAAGCCCTCTCTCGGCGCTTCGCAGGAGTCCCAGAAGATGCAGGATCTCAACAAGAACCCCAAATATGCCGCCATCATGGCCAAGGTGAAGGAGGCCTCCTTCGACACTACCAAGCAGAACGACCTCGTCAAGTATAGGCAAGATATGGCTCTCATGACCAAGAATGCCGGCATCAACTACTTCAAGGTCTTCATTCCCTTCATCCAAGTTCCTATCGGTTTCGGCATGTTCCGTCTCATTCGCGGAATGGCCACCCTTCCTGTCGAAAGCTTGGAGACTGGTGGCACCCTGTGGTTCCCCGACCTTACTGTTGCCGACCCTTACTTTGCTCTTCCCATTGCCAGTGCCTGCCTGTTTGTTGCCTCTATGAGGGTAAGCTGTTCCTGGTGCTACCATTTTTCAAGATGCATTGCTAATATAATGTACTCTTTGCCATAGAAACCCATCCCCTACATGGCCCCCCAGCAGGCGCGCATGATGAAGTCGATGGGTCTCGTCCTTGTCCCCGTCTCCATCTTCGCTACCGCGTGGCTTCCCGCTGCACTGCAGTGGTATTTCCTCGTCTCTGCGATCGGCCAGTACTTCCAGGCCAGCATTTTCCACCTTCCCGCCTTCCGCCGGTGGGTTGGTCTCCCCGAGCTCGTTCCCGGTGGCATGCGTGGGCCTTCCCCCTTCGCCAAGGCAGCGGCTCCTAGCAGCACCATTCAGTATGTTGCGCCTAGGACGATGGATACCACCGCGACGCCTGTCGACTCGGGCTCCATCCTTGGCGACATCAAGGACTCGAGCAACTTCGTAAAGGAGAAGCTTGAGGATTGGAAGAAGAAGAACGACAACACCAACATCCACTCGCGCGCCAAGGAGTATGAGGAGAGGAGAGCGTTGGAGGAACACGAGGCCTACCTTGCTCGTCTCGAGTTGAAGAAGCAGAAGCAGAAGGGGCGCAAGAACCATTAAAAGGGATATGAATTGCGGATGATGTCCAAGATCTTGACGATTCGTCGCTCGGAGCAACACATACGATTCTTGAGAAGCCGTGTTCCGAAGCCGGCGCCAAGCTCAAGTTCACTAATCATCTTGTACACCAGAGAGGTCTGTTTTTAGGACTCAGCCCTACCCATATTTGCTTCAGCGTACCCTGCAATGGCTGAACAAGCCACGCTTATGACTTCGACTGTACACTACCCCCTTTTGTACTATACAATCTAGACATGTCTGGTTGACTGGCGTTTTTTCTAGCAGCGGTAAAGTATATCACTTGTTCTTTGGGTTACCGCTTGATACCATACTAGACGATGATTTGGCAATACAACCGGCGTAGGCAGTGTATGCGTGCCTGTCGATCACAGGAGTAATGAAATGCAGAATACCATCCTGTGATGATACTCGCCAACCATACAGTAATTGCAGAAGTTGTAGATATCCTCCAACAAAGAATTAGTGTCTAATTGGTTGGACCCAGTCGCCATCGGAGAGGAACATCAAAGCTGAGCAGAGGGGGTTCGGTCCTGTTCGATGAGCACGCAATCCCGCCCGAAGGGCTTGGCTTGAGTGAGGGTTCTCTCCACGGATGGCGTCAACATGGGACTGGAAGAATGACATATGTTTTTGTCTACATCACTAAATCACAAGTCCAACTTATTCTATAAAGGCTGTCTTCCCCGACGGTAACACCAGTTTTATAGTTTTATCCGCCAACTTATAACGACAGCTCTACTCTCTTGATTCACTAGACGTGGCCGCCACAACGTCAAAATACATACCAGTCTCCATCGCCCCTTCAGAAGGCTCTTCACCATCAGAGACATACAAACCTCATCATCTACTCACTAATCCAGCAACCACAACTTTGACCATCAACCATCAAGATGCCCGTCACCAACGAAGAAATCGCCACCCGCTCTGTGGCTGCCTCGGCGTCTTACTACTCTACCTTTGACAAAGGCCACCTCGCTTTTCCGCCCGCAAAGAAATATATCTCGTCCTCACCTGCATGAACGCGCGAATCGATCCTGCTAGAGCCTTTGGGATCGAGTTGGTTGGGTAATGCGCATGTGATTAGGAATGTACGTTACGATATGCTAAGTTATGTTATCTTGTCTATTCCCCCAGGCTCACTTCTCTCAGTCACTTTAGTTCGGAGTTTATTTCAGAGATTCTGCCCAGTAACACCTACTGCCTCATTATTAAAAACAAATCACACTTGAAATGTCCTTCTACAGGTCAAGTCATGACTGATCCGAGAAAAAATAATAATAATAATCAGAAAATGAACAGGCCGGCGCATCAGACAAAGACGCTCTCCTTAGTATCGTCATCAGCCAGCAGCTCCTGGCCACAGAAGCCATTGTCATCGTCAAGCATACCGGGTGCGGCGGCATGTTGACGTGCAAGAATGAGGATGCTCATGGGGTTGTCGAGAGGAATCTTGGGTATGTATCTTGCTTTATCACATCCTTCTCTCTCTCTCTCTCTCTCTCTCTCTCTCTCTCTCTCTCTCTCCCCCCCTCTCTCTCCCTCTCTTTTCTCTCTTTTCTCTCTTTTAATAATTTTTCTAACCAAAAATTTCATTACATTTTTTCTTAACCATTTCTCTGATGCCGCAGCGTGCGATTTGGAAAAGGCCAAACTGACTAACTGGATACAAAAACAGTGCTGAAGCACGAAAGGAGCTTGAGGAAAGAAAGTTGGATTTCCTCCCTTTCCCTCAGCTAAAGCAGGCTATTCAGGACGATGTCGAGTTCCTGAGGGGGACCAAGTTGATGAAGAATGAGGTTCCTCTCAGTGGATGGGCGTATGATGTCGAGACGGGGAAGACGGTCAGAGTTGTTTAGTTTGCGAGCGGACGGTAACGCTGTTTGCTTTGGGATCTGAGATAGGGAGGTTGGGTAGGTTAGTATAAGCGTGGAAACACGGAATCAGATGGACGATGATTGATATTGGACACACGTTGCAGTAGTGAAGTAAACGTTAACGTGAATGATTAAAAATCGTGTCTATGACTGTGCCACGGCCTAGCCTAAACGCCTTGCTCCCTCTATCCGGTCTATCTAACAAATAAGAGAATAGAACTTTTCTGACACCAATTCTAAACTCTAAGTGATAATCTGAAATGCCCCGTGTCTATCTCAGTCCTCGTGGTGTCGTCAAGGAAACAAAACAAAACGTTTGTGCATGTAAAAACCAAGGTAACGTAAATGCCAGGTTGGGTATCTTTGTCATGATCAATAACAGGGATATGTCCCCTTCAGTCGTGTGCTTCTCTCGCGGTCCGGTATCAATTAGAAGGCCTCACGCCTGTTGTCCTCGCGTCTCGGTCTCTTATTCCGGGAACCGCCAGAAGAGCCGGGAGGGGCAGAATCGTCACGCGGCTTCTTGAAGCTACTGTTCCTGTCACCACCGGCACCACTAGGGCCACCACGTCCTCTACCGCCGAAGCCACCGCGGCCGCGGCCACCACCACGAGGAGCGCCTCCATTAGAACCATTGCCAAAGAAGGAAGTATCCAAATCGCGGGCAGCATCACGGCCAGTATCACGGCCAGCATCACGACCAGCATCACGACCACCACCGCGGGGGGCAGATTGGTTCGGCCTGTTGCCGCCATTCCGCTGTCCTCTTAGAGACGGGCCGGTATTCTTGATGAGGCCAGGAACACCCTTGAGGCCCATCTTGCCAATTGTAGACGCCTCAATGGCCGGGGGCTCCTCGCAGCCGAGGGAGAAGGCGTAGCGATTGGCGACCTGAACCATCTGGGCGGGGGTGATCTTCATCTTGCTGCGCATGGTGTTGACGAAGCCAAGATATGCAACGTAGGCTTGGGCCTTGACCTGATCGGGAACCTTGGCCAGTGACTGGCTGATGATCGAGGCCGAGTCGACGGCGGCCGCCTTGGGATGGTCCAGCTTGGACTGGGCCATGGGGAACTGGCGGTTGCGCTCCACAAACCAAAAATCTTCGGGGGTGATAATCATGACGGCGCGGCCACCTTTGCCGGCGCGACCGGTTCTTCCGACACGGTGAACGTACTGCTCGCTGTTGAGGGGAATTCCGACCTGGATGACAAGGTGGATATCGGGAAAGTCCAAGCCACGTCCAACCACGTCCGAGGCAAAGAGGATACCGCTGTCGGTGTTCTTGAACTCCTCGGTCGTCCTGGTGCGTTGCGCCTGGTTCATGCGCGATTGCATCTGCCACACAGGTAGCTTCGCGGGGGAAGCGCCGCCCGTGTGACCGAAAAGGGTGTACAACAGAGCGGCCTGTCTGGCGGTTGAGCAGAACACGACAGCCTTGAGCTTGGGGTTGTCATAGCGTTCAGCTGACAGAAGGTTGTGCAGAGTGGGGAGGACATCGTCAACTGAATCGACCTTCATGTATGACTGAGGGACGCTGTTGATGGTCGGGGCCTCGTTCTCGTCGACAGTGGAGATGTGAGCGTGCTTGGGAGCGAGAACGTGGTGCAGCACCTTGTGGATCGACGGAGGGAGCGTGGCACTGAAGCACATGCCCTGCCAGCCAGCCTGTTGCTTCTTAGGCAAGCTTGTGAGGATTTTGGTCAGGGCGGGCAAGAAGCCTTGATCAAGCATGCAGTCGGCCTCATCCAGGACCAAGCAGCGGAGGTTGTTGAACTTTTGCTTTACACGCTCGTCGGAAAGGTAGTCATCAAGACGTCCGGGGGTGGCCACGAGGATGGTGGGCTTGCCACGAAGGAACTTGCTGAGACTGGAGGCCTTGGCGCTACCACCAACGGCAAGATGGCACTCGAAGCGGGGATTGCACTGGCTGACCAGCTTCTCGCACTCATCCACGATCTGCTGGGCGAGCTCACGCGTGGGAGCCAGGATCAACAAGGCAACTTGGGAAGGGTCAAGGTCCTTGGCGTTCAAGAGCGTGTGCAGGGCGGGGAGAAGGAAGGCAATGGTCTTGCCGGTGCCGGTCTTGGCCTGGACGAGGCAGTCCTGGGTGAAGGAGCCCATGTTAAGGACCTTTTCCTGAACGGGCGTCATGTTTGCATAGCCCATGGCGTCGAGGGCCTTGAGCAGGCGGGCGTCAAGGCGGCCAGCCATATCGGCGTAAACACCCGGCATATCGGCGACGGGGGCGGGAGAGACTTGGGAAGCGGGAGCAACAGCAGCAGCCTCCTGGTGAGAGGGGCCAGAGGTCGAGAAAGAAGCTGAACGAGGAGTGAGGCGGTTGCGGTAAGCGAGCTGTTGAAGTGTCTGGCCAGTCGAGAGTCTGGCTGGAACGGTGGCAGAAGAGTGAAGCAGACGTGAGGTGAGAGGGTATGAGACAGGTTGGGACAAAGAGGCACCAAGGACGCGATTGGTTGATCGGGTAAGAAGGCGAGAGATGGAGGGACTGGCCTTCATCATAGAGTGAAAAGAGAACAATGAGGAAAGATGAGGATGAGGAAGGGCGATGTAGTGGTGAAAGGGAGAGACGAGTGGAAGAGAGCAGAGGTAGGTAAGACCCAAAAAGGGAAGGGAAGGACGTTTGCTGCCAAGCCACGTCGTCCCAAGTGAAAGTTTCGACAGGACCCTAGTGCCCGTACAGGGCAGTTATCATTGGCCCAAGCATCAACTAACAGTGGGCTTTTAGTTTACTGAGGCGAATGGGAGGGAATGGGGCGCTAAGACGGGGCTGTTCCAGACCTACAATTCAGGATGCCGTTACAGTGGGGTGGTGCGGCTGACACGTGCGAGAATGGAGCTGAACCTGAACCTAGAACCCACCCTTTCAATTTGCGCCTGCCACGGCTGAGGTGCCAAGCTCCTGTTCCTGAAAAGTGGGTCTAACCGTCCACTCTTTCCCAAAAATAGGAAAAAGAAAACAATGATTCCGTTGCGACAACAAAAGGAAGGACCACTACAGACGACATCTCTCTTTGTTCGACCTCTGGCCTCAGAGGTTTCCTTTCACTGCAGCATACTTACCCCCCATTGATCCTTCATCACACTCACTCTCGCAGGTGGTTCTTGGTCTGATTGATTGATGCTCAAACGCAAACTCGGGGTTAGGATCTCCAGCCACGGCTTCATGATGGGGGCCTCACTCTTCACACCTTTACGGTTTGCAAACGTGGACAGCATGGAACAGAGCTAAGAGCAAATTTTACACATTCTCGACTCTTTACCATTACAAGCCTTCTTCGATTGCCAGAAGCTTACAAATTCCCATCGTCTTTGGCACCAAGGGACCGGGATGCTGCCCTGCTCCGTTATTCTGTCAACAATGGGCTTGAGAACACCAAAGGCTCAACCCTGGATGGCTTTTGTCTGGTTCATCTACAAGGGGTTGAATGCTCTGTCTCATTGTCCTCGAACTCGACTCGGAAGTGGCTTCATTGTTCTCGTCATCTCTGACAATGGCTCCTTTGCTCGTCCCGCCCGGACGTGATCTACTCGACAGTCTGTCCTTGTTCGTCGACTATTGTGGTCGCCTCGATCAAGCCGATATCATGATTCTCTTTGGCCGTTATAAGCCTTTACCCCCGGCACCAAGTTAGAAGCCTTCAGTTGTTCACAGAACACAAAAGACAACCGAACCACAGGACGACCAAAAAAAACCGCGACATCAACACACAATGGCGACGTCTAATGCCGCTGATGGCATCCAGTTTGCCACTAGTTCGTCCATCATACCCAAAGACATAGACCCTGGTAAACATCATGTTGACCCTCATCTGGCAAATTTCGACTTGCGACAATATATCGACTTCAACATAAGCCCGGAAGATCTCCACAAATGCTGGCTGCCTCCTTACAATGGGCCCTGCAATGAAAACTGGGATGAATTCTACAATGCCTGGAAGCGGGTTCAAATTCCGTACCTCGACTGCAATGACTTTGGGGACACTCTCCAGACCATGTCCAACGATACTTGTATCGCCTATCAGCAACAGCATAACGGTCTTTGCAAGTTGCGTCACGCCTTCCGCAGACAGGGTGATGCCTACATAGCCCCTGAAGACTTTGATTACTGTCCTGGTACTGTGCTAAGCTCGCCGTCGAAAGAAGCCATTCATCACTTCGCGTATCGACTCATCTCGATGGTCCAAAAGCAAGAGCAAGCGGTTTTTGGCCAATTCGACGGTGGCGCCAAGGGAGGCAGTCCGGGAAAGTGGTGGATTGCCCCGCCGAATCAAAGCATTGAGCTTCCTTCAGTTGAAACGCCAGACAAGGCACAGCCTGATGGAGATGGCGACGGTTTCACTGAGCTCGGTGCATTGGATAAAGCTAGACTCGAAGCAGCGGACTACACCGTCCACTGGGTGTGCTACCAGAAATGCAAGAAAGGACCGTTGACTAATGATGATAAGAGCCAAGAGGGCACAGAGAACAGTCACTTAGCCGTCATTATTAGGGAGAGAGCTACCGGTCACACATGGTACTTCGACTCTCTTCATACACCAAAGGACGACGCTACGGTAGATCTCAACGAGAAGCACCAATCCGTTCTTTCTAGTCTTCACAAGTGGCTTAGCAAAAACAAAGATGACTTTTCCCCCGTCCTCGATGGAGGTCGCCACCGTCATGTACAGGTCATTCCTCAAGATTTACCCTGGACATGTGGCCTGCACGCCATTGCTCACGCCTTAGCCTTCCTTCGCTTTGGCCTCTTGGGCTGGCACGAGATTCCTACGTATGCGAGGGAAAAAACCGACAAGGCGAAGTTGACAAAGTTGAGACATGATATGATGAAGGCGATGGAGCTATCAATGGGATTTAGGCCACCTCCGCGCATGAATGCCAGTAACAAGATCCCACTCCCCGAACACTATGATCATGAGCTTGATCTCAGCACATTTCGCTTTCCTACGTACCCAAGTGTCGGTGTTGAGAAAAAAGATCTCCACAGTTACGACAACTTCCCTTTTAACTGGTCTTTTCCGGAGAAGCTCGATGACCAGTACGAAGAAACCCTCCGAGAAAGTTATCGGCGTGTACACGTCGAGTGTTATGATGGAGTCTCACTTGGGCATGGGAGCGTCGATCCCTTCTCTCGCAAGGCTTATTCAGATCTTCATAATGGGTTGTTGAAAATGAGGAATCACGACCTTCTCGAGGGTGAAGAGGTACATTTTCATGCAACAAGGTTGATGAAAATCATTCAAGATCAGGAGGGTGCAGCTTTGGGACCAGCCAAAGAAGACAACCAAGACTGGTGGCTAGCCCCGATTTTATACGCGATCAGATGTGAGAGAAACAAAGACACTGGCGAAAACTCGGCAAAAACCACATCCATCTTGCCACCGGAGATATTCAATGATAAGAACTTCAAGATAATGTGCGGAGATAGGTCCAATGATCGCGAACAGTTTGAAAGCGCCAAATACACTGTTCACTGGGTACATTACCACGATTCCCATCAGAACGACAAAGGAGTCTTTGAGCACTGGGCAGTCATAATCCGCGAAAAGGCCACAAATTTTGCATGGTACTTTGACTCTACGAAAGATGGTCGAAAACAGCGCAAAGATCGTGCAATTGATGCCTTCAACGAATGGCTAGTAAAGTGCAGAGAACCTAATTCCGACTTCCCAAAGGAAGTCACTCAGAGCTTCCTTGTCCCGGCTCCGCAGCAATCATCTGGATGGGAATGCGGCCTTCACGCTATCGCGCACTCAGTGGCCTTTATCCGCTTTGGTATTTTGGGCTGGCACGCACTTCCGCTTGAAGCAATTGCGCTTGAAGAGGGCTCTAAGGGAACTGGAGATCAGACTGCTGCTTCAGCCCCTTCAGATCGTTCAAAAAGGTTGTGTGAAACAATGATAGGCTCTTTACACGGCCTAATGGGAGTCTCTTTGCCACCCACCACTTCCAAAGATGATGGAAACGGGACTGCTGAGGCTGTTTCAACATCAAACAAGAATGCAAACTCAAACTCTGCTAATAAGACCAACGCGAGCTCTTCTAGAAACTCCAACCCAGACCGGTTCGGGAAATCTAACCAAGGAGGCTCTGCACGTAAACCTTCGAACGCCATGGCAAAATCCAGCCAGCCGCCCGGCGAAAATTCCGCCGTAACTGAGACCATTCCAAGACATCATGGGAATAAACATGCCGTGCCTCATCCCAATTTTTTTAACAAGGTCCAACATGAGAAACAACGCTCAGAATTTCGGTTTCCTACCTATCCATCCATACCTTTACGGGCAGAGTATGTCCGTTCAGTCAATGAGGAGCCGTTCAACGCCAAAATGAAGCTCGACAAGGTTTATGCCTATTCTCAGGTGTCTACACACAAATCGCCATCTTGCGATCGTGTCATACTCAATCAGTCTCCCTACGCCGAACAAGCCTTTGCAGATATTAACGACGCTTTACTGAATTCGCGCCATGGTGACTGGCTCGATGGGAAAGGGATGTATCATTTAGCTAGTCGACTCATTACGTATGTCCAGAAGGAAGAGTCTGTCATTCCACCTCCCCCATTGGGACCTTTTGAGAATGGACATTGGTGGATCGCGCCACATCCCTTTATAATCGATGTCCCCGACCCGGATGATGACTCGAATCTGCAACCAGCGCGAACATTCTCGGACGTAGACCAAAGTGTCTGGGGTTTTGACAGCTCCGATTTTGGAGAGGTTGAAGAGCGGCTGTTCAACCAAGCCCGCTACACGGTTCACTTTATTCACCATCCTACCCATTGGACAGTAATCGTCCGGGAAGCCGAAACCGGTCACCTGTGGCACTTTGACTCCCTGGCCCGTGGCTTGCGGAGGTTCAGAAGAGCTATCGATGCTTTTGAAGATTGGCTTCGTCGGTGTAACAAACCGATTCCCGCAACGAGTCAGGCATTCCAGGTTCCCGTCACACTGCAAACCCGAAATTGGGAGTGCAGCTTGCATGCCATTGCGAATGCCATGGCAATGCTCCGCTTCGGCATTCTTGGATGGGACAAGTTGCCGTGTCTCGCCCTGGAGACCGATCCGGATCCGGTTGGTCCGGCTGGTAGCGTGACCGCGGACAACCTCACAGAGATAATGAAGCGATCTTTACATGGCATCTTCGGCCTCATGCTGGATGAAGATATTCCCAATGTCGCCGAAAGAATGAAGCAAGAGAATGCTGACGAGGCACTATTGATGGAAATGCAGGATGATTCCATAATGAACCGGGCCAACATGTCGTTCGATGCAGTGATCAACTCAGTGACAAATAACCCGAGTGAGTTGGAAATTCTGAATCAGCAGGAGCGAAAGGCGCGAGAGGCACGGGAGAAGAATAGAAAAGAACAGAAGGAGAAGTACGACAGGGAGATGAAGGAGCGGAACCTGAGGGCGCGAGAGGAACATGAACAGAAACAGAAACAGGAACAGGCGCAGGAGCAGGAGAAGGAGAAGGAGAGGGAGAAGGAGAGGGAGAGGGAGAGGGAGAGGGAGAGGGAGCTCGAGAAGGAGAGGGAGAAGGAGAGGGAGAAGGAGAGGGAGAAGGAGAGGGAGAAGGAGAGGGAGCTCGAGAAGGAGAAGGAGAAGGAGCAGGAGAAGGAGCGCGAGAAGGAGAACCAGCAGCAAGGGACTTCCAACTCTCTTAAACGTGGAGCGGCAAATGACCATGATGATGAGCCGTCTGGTCGATTAAGCAAGAGGTCCAAGCATACCGCTGAAGACAACCCCACGGAGAATCCCGCTCTGAGCCCCAACAACAAGAGAAAGACACCGCCACCAGACATCGAGCCAAAGCCTGCTAAACGAGCCAAGGGGGAGCCGCCTACGAGATCGAGTGAGAGGCAACGACAAGCCGCCGAAAAGGCAGAGGCTGCTCAGGAGGCAGAGGCTGCTCAGAAGGCAGAGGCTGCTCAGGAGGCAGAGGCTGCTCAGGAGGCAGAGGCTGCTCAGGAGGCAGAGGCTGCTCAGAAGGCAGAGGCTGCTCAGGAGGCAGAGGCTGCTCAGGAAGTAGAAGCTGCTGAGGAGTCAGATGATGACGTTGAGGAGCTTACTTGGAGGGAGTCCAGGAGGGCCAGATTTAGAGCGATGCTCAAGGCCGATCTGATAGAAGAGTGCAAAAGAAGGCTAATTGCTGGACCTGGTGACGAGCATAGAACCCTCACCTATAGGGCTGAAAAAACCGTCGAAGGTCTCATCGACGCGTTGATGTGGTACGATGAACCCGAGGGTTACGAGGAAGATCTCGAAGAAAAGGGTTGGGAGGAGTTGAAGGAAATGTGTAAGACAACGTACAAGTTGTATTACAGCGGGAAAAAAGCGGATGTTATGAGAGACAGGTTGAGGTGGTTCTATGCCGAGCAACAACGGCATGTTCAGGCGCTTATTGAGCAGGAAGAAATACCTCCTAATTGGAAAGAGCAGGACGAGGCGGAGGACGAGACGGAGGATGAGGATGAGGATGAGGATGAGGATGAGGATGAGGATGAGGATGAGGATGAGGATGAGGATGAGGATGAGGATGAGGATGAGGATGAGGATGAGGATGAGGATGAGGATGAGGATGAGGATGAGGATGAGGATGAGGAGGAGGTTTCTGAGGAACCGTGAATTAAGGATCAGTGAACCTGATAGAGGTGGTACTACTTTGGTTGGAGTTTGGCTACGATCACGGCGGGTTTGGTTTTTGTATACATTGGTTTGGCTCGTGTTAAAGGCGTTTTGGTTAGGTACGGCTTGTTTTGGTAGTTTACTATTTGTGTTTTAAGAATTTCCCCGCTGTGTTGTTATCCGTCTCATTTGTGCTTGAAGATGACATGTCTACAGGGATTGATTTGGTCTGGCCGGTAAATGGCCATGATCTTGGGATTGAAAGAATATACCATGCCAAGTGGAGATTAGTCAGGGTTGATAAGATTCTGATCAAGAATATAGAGACATGATAATCTGAACAGCACGAGTGTACAGTTGCTTGGTGACATCAAAACACAATCTTGAGGTGGCATTTGATAGAGAGGGGGTTGTAATTTGCCTCGTATGCCTTGTGCTCTTATTCTCCGAAAGTGTACGACTCTGTCCTATGATCTCCTATATGTGAATAGTAAGTATGCAATATTGGCGGAATTGTCGTTGGCCAGCTGCCCGGCTGGTCAGCCATCCTGTTCCATCTGGCCGCACAACTGACGGTGACAGTCCCTGGGGACATGCAGAGTGTACCTGAACATCCGGCCTCGACATTATTTGACGAGATCTCAAAACTATCGCATATACTACAACGTCAAATTGGATGGTACGGGGACCGCCGTCGACACAACCGAAACTCCAGACATTGACGCATACATGTACGAACCAAGACGTCCGCATCAGTTGAATATGCAGCAGGATCAGTAACATGAGCATCGCCTTTGAATGCAGCGAGAGGTATGGAAAAACAAAAGAACAACAACTGGCAATAAGTATGAGAAGAAGAAGAAGGCCGGATCGACGAGTAGAAAAGAAAAGGTTGAGATTGTTCGGGGAGAAAGAGCAAAAGAAAGAACGGACGCCGAAACACCAGAGAACGGTGTCATATGAATGAGAAGACGAAAAAAATGTAAAAAGAGAGGCGCGTTTGGGAACGCCGGGAATTGAGCCCGACGTGGGGGTCGAACCCACAACCTTGAGATTAAGAGTCTCACGCTCTACCGATTGAGCTAGCCGGGCGGTTATTTGGTTAACCGCCATTTGTTGTAGGTCGAATGTGGAAAAGGTGTTATAACACGTGTGGTTTTGGGTCATTTTTCATCTGTTTTGTGTGCGGGTGTGAAAAAAAAAAGATTTTGTTGCGATGAACTGGGACGGGATTCCACTTGCCGGACATGCATGCCCCTGTCGTTGATAGTGGGTCAGATTTATGGGGATCCTAGGTACCTCTAGGTAAGGTCGTGCAGGCAGATCATGACAGGGACGGTTCGGACCGCTGGGGTTGGGGAACTAACAGCGCTAGAACCCGCTGATGTACATACGCTGAAGACCACTGGTACTGGAGGGCGAACCTCTCAAACACAAGAACGTCCAACCTCCATCCCGTCGCATTTCCATCCATCCCATCTTCCACTTCAACATCACGGATGAACGCATACTCCTTTCCGAGTCAGGCAGAGAATGCTCGCTCAATCTCACACTACGAAGTTTACACTGCTGTATCATTCATTATCGGATGTAGCTCACCTGCCTACTTGATTTGGATAATACCAATGGGGCTGACGCTCGAAAAGGACGCTAGATCCATAGCTCACGAGGCCTCTCGGCGGGACCGATCCCATTCTGCAGTTCAGCTTCGTGCTAGTGATTCAGCTCATGCAAGGTATATCAATTGAGAACGTGATAGATTTCTGATCCAACGCCTATACGCCAATGTGCTTCTACCAAGGCTTCTTACTCTTTTTCCACCAAGAGTTAATGGCATAGCTGCCCCAGTTCGTTGATCGAGGCCTCTGGCTCTGATCCCATCCATTCGAGCCACGACCTTGACATCAACCTACAAGAAGGGCAGATCGAGGCAAGATCAGCTGGCCACAAGGCTGTCTGATTTATACACTATCGAATATGGCTTTGGAGACGTGGATATGGCGTCTATTGATAAAAGTTGTGAGGGAAGAAGGAGGAAGTAAAATCACTACAAAAGTCGGTATATCCCCAGGGTCTTGTTCACTTCCCAAACAACAAAGACTTGCGAAAGTCAGATACACGTCACCCGTCAACTTCCTTTTTCCCTGGATCCCTTCTTTTCTGGCACCCATACACACCCAACATGACTCAGCTACAAACCGACATCCCCCGAGACATCAACTTCCTCCCACCCGGCGGCGGCGACAGCCTACGCATCGCCTACGCTAGGCACCTCCTATCGAAATCCCTGACCGAGGAGCACGCCAAAAAGCACGGATGGTCCAAAAGAGAAGGCCGCGGCCTCAAGCCCATCTTCAGCCCTATCCCTTCTTCCCTAGATGATCTCAAAGAGAGGGACGGTCTTTTTTCGGACGATCCAAACTCCTCGGTGTTCAAGGGCAAGATCTGCATTGTGGGCGCTGGTGTGGCTGGTTTGCTCACTGCGTTGATGCTCAAGATAGGTGGAATCTATAACTTTGATGTGGTCGAGGCGTCGGATAGGGTCGGTGGACGACTGTATACCCATTGGTTCTCGGATAAGGAGAACCCGGATTCGGAGCATGACTATTATGATATCGGTGCGATGAGGATTCCGGAGATCAAGACTATGCAGTCGTATGTGGTTCTCTTGCTATCTCCTCCGGCCCCCATTGCAAAGCCACTGACAGTTTCTATAGTGCACTTGATCTCATCAAGTATCTCAAACTTGACGACAAGTTGGTGGACTATAACTACGTAGAGCCCACAAAGGAAGACATTGTTCCACACACGTGGTGGTACAAGAACGAAAAGCCAGAGTAAGGATTCCGCTAATGTCTCGCTCCGACAGTGGAATACTTTGACCATGATAGACAGTCGAATTGACACTAGAACCCAATAGTTGTAAGAAGTTTGATGACGCCATCGCAAGTGTCATACAGAGCTTCACTCAGGCTCCAAGCAAGGCTTTCGAGGAGTACATGCGCGGAAACAACGACTATTACTCGACCCGCGCTTGGCTAATGCTTGAAGCTGATCCTAAGTAAGCATTGAAGGGGGAAAGATAGAACCTACCTGAATGGGCACTAAACTAACCATGTCGCTACCAGACTAACGTACGAGGAGACTGCAATGAGTGAGGCATCCGAAACGTCTACCGGTCTCTTCGACCAAGCCTTCATCGAGACCATCTTCGACTACTGCGACTTCGCTCAAGCCAGAAATGTCAAGTGGAAGCGCCTTGAAGGCGGCATGAGCCAGGTTACCGACCGCATGAAGGAACTCATCGAGAAATCCGACTGGCCCGTAAAGGGGGCCCCCGGGATCAAGGTCACCACCTCCCGCCCCGTAACCGTCATGTCCGAAACTGCCGACGGCTCCGCCATCAGCGTAACCACCACCTGTCCCAAGGGACAGTCTCCATCCACAACCGACTATAGCGCAGTCTTCTCCACCACCGCCATGGCCCCCCTCCGGCGCATTGACATCGAAGGCCTGCACCTCCCCGACAAGATCCTGACCGGCATCCGCTCGCTCAGCTACGACCGCGCAACCAAAGTGGCCATTAAGTTCGCCTCGCCATGGTGGACTCTGGTAGGCGATGTCTCGTCCACAGACCTGCCCATCTCCAAGGTCGTCTACCCGTCCTGGAACGACGGACCCGATAAGCCGGCCGTGCTGATGGTCTCATACTCCTGGGCGCAGGACGCTACCCGCATGGGCGCCTTGGTGCCGGATTACACCAAAACCTTGCCCTCCAAAAACGACGAGGTCGTGTCCGTCTGTCTCAACGCTTTAGTGAAGCTGTTCTCCAAGGCCGATCCCAAGACCATGGCCGCCAATGTCCCGAAGCCCATCACGCTCGAATTCCTCCGGTCGCAATACGTCACCCACCATGCCTTCGCCTGGTCTCACGACCCTTGGCAGGGAGGCGCCTTTGCGCTCTTCGGACCGGGCCAGTTCAAGGACGTGTACCCGGATTTCCATAAGGTGTATTGCAATGGCAAGTTCTTCATGAGCGGTGAGGCGTTGAGCACCCATCATGCTTGGATCAGCGGGGCGGTGGACAGTGCCTATATGAGCTTCGTGTTATTTACGACAGTGTATAAGCTAAAGGAACAGATGGTGGAAGTTAAGGAGAGTAATCTGGTAGGCGCAAGAGGAGAGAATCCGGAAGAAATTGATGAGTTCTTGTTGAGGTGGGCGGCGAAGTTGAGCGAAGGAGTTGAGGTTGAGGGGGATCAAAATCGGGGCAGTGAACATAGGAACTATGGACCTGGTGAGGAGAAAGGGGGACTGGATGATGACTGGTGCGATTGTTGCTGAAACGTACCTATAGATAGCTGTGAAGGTTAGCTGATGTTATCAGGTGGTTCATCAATCAGCACGAAGTTGATGATCATGGTATCCTGCCTCTTTTGTGTAGGCCAAGAATAGCGGGGCAGTTACGATAGCTCATTTTTTTTCACCTCGCTGTCGTGATCGTATGGACAATCTCGATCTACTACTTCCTTTGACTGTCTGTCAGTGTAGATCATGGTTCTTAGTGTAAAGATTGCGGCAAAGCATGCGGCAGTTCATCCGGAGTGTCAAAATGAGTTCTTGTTCAGGAAAGTGGTGATGTCATCACTGGCCCCACTTTTATAGCTGTACCTGGAGCTAACGTCACGACCTGATGATCGAGGATGTTCCCCCTCAGTCTCGACCGGTGTAGCACAGTAGTGACGTTAACGAACTCTCGTTGAGGAAACATCAAAAAGTCGATTACTACCTCCTTACGCATTTTTCCCTTTTCTAATTTCTCCCTCTTTTAATCTCCAACCTCCAAATCATCTCAGGATTCCCTCACCAGATACCAACACACTAACAATCACTACCACTTACACCACCACCAACCACCTACCGACAAGAAACAAAACCACAACAAACACCACAAGGCAACATGCAGTCCATCCTCCAAAAAGCCACCGGCATTGGCCCCAAGCCTGTCCAGCCCACCGACCTCAACGGCCGCGTAGCCGTCGTGACTGGCGGCGCCTTCGGCATCGGCTTTGAAGTTTCTCGCGCCCTCGCCAATGCCGGCTGCCGTGTTATCATGGTGAACCGCAAGGAAGAGCAAGGCGATGATGCCAAAGCAACCATCACCGCCGAGACCCCCGGCGCAGTCGTTGAATGGCGCGAATGCGACATGGGCAACCTCTCACAGGTTCGCTCCGTCTTCTCGGAACTGCGCGAGCAGCTCGACCGGCTCGATTTCCTGGTTCTGTCGGCGGGCATCAACACGAACCAGTACGGACTGGACGCGGACGGGATCGATCGGCACTTTGGTGTGAACTACTTGGGGCAATATTATGTGGTCAATCAGCTGTACCCGGTGCTGAAGAAGACGAGCAAGTTGCCGAATACTCCCGCGCCGAGGGTGGTGTTTGAGGCGAGCGAGATGCATCGGGCGGCGCCGAGCGCGGTGCATTTTGCTAGTCTCGATGAGATCAATAACCCGGAATTGGGACCGACGGAGTTGTACGGGAGGACCAAGCTGGCGATGATTCTGTTTGCCAAGTACGGGCTGGCGGAGAAGGTGATTAAGAAGAACGGGGACAACATCTATGCGGCTTCGGTGCATCCTGGTGCAGTAAGTTTCTTCCTTCTCTCACATCACGAACATCGCCTCTGTTGATTTCGGCTTGCTAACGTGGGATACAATAACAGGTCAACACCGCCATGCAACAACAATGGAAGGACGCCTACCCCGGCATCACCGGCAAACTTCTCACATGGGCCACACTGGCCTCTGGCCGTGATGTGAAGCAGGGGTCTTATAGTGCCTTGTGGGCGCTTACTGACCCCAAGATCGAGGAACAGAACTTGAACGGATGGTACTTCAGTGACCCTGACCAGCCTGGCAAGGAGACTTCCCAAGCTTCCGACCCCGTTCTGGGTCAGGCTCTCTGGGATCTGAGCGAGCGCATTATAAAGGATAAGCTTGGCGAGGATGCTTTGGTCGACTGGTACTCTGCTTAGAGTACACGTCAAAGGGGAGGATGAAGAGTGATCACTTTCTTGTAACGACGACATGACTTAGAGATTACCTGCCTTAACTCGATAGCAAGCAAACAAGCATTTGAGTTTACAACATTTGATCTTTTCGCCGTTTTTGTAATCACAATGTCTAGATAGGAAATCACTGGCCCTATTATGGTCAGTGACGACATTTTGGGTCGGATGAAGTGAAGCCCTTTGGGTTGGCTCGTCTCTCATGGAAGGCAATCTTTACAAATGTCGAAATTGTTTCTTTTGGACCCATCGTGCTGTACTATCAAAGCTGGTATGGGTTTGCAATATCTGATGTAAGTCTCTAGTGATCCCAATCAATCAAATTCTTCCCATCAGACTTTTTAGTCATTGTTCATATGCTATGTTTCTTGTGTAATCTCTCCCAAAGCCTATCCTCCATAACTCCCATGCCGAAATGTGCAAGCCATGTCGTCGTAATCATTATAGCAAACTTCGAACGAATCCCAACCGATTAGGACCCCTCTTTGGTCTCGGACATAAGTCTCTCGTTCTTGTCGGCGATCGACTGAATCGTGGCGGCAGTCGATCCCTTGGGGGGACGGTGACCAAGAAGACGTGCCTGTATGGAAGCATAAACCGATTAGAATTGCTACCGCAGCGGTGATGGTATGGTGCTGGTTCATTGGAAAGGGGAAAAAAAACATACCTCGGCGCTCTCGACAGCAGCTGCATCCTCTTTGGTGACCTCGTTGACGGGCTTGTGAGACACCTCGCTGGCCACCTCAATAAAGTGCTCCTGCTTGGCCTTCAAGCTCTGCGCCGTCGCGGCAACTCCGCCCGCAATAGGTCCACGACCGTCCGTCAGCTCAGCCTCCGTCTTAGCGATCTTTGAAACCTCATCGGTGGTGATGGGGTGGCCCTCAACAGCACGCTGCTGAAGCTCCTCACGCGAGGGAAGTTGCTGTTGCTCGGTGGTGCTCATGTTGGTGTCTGGTGATTGATCGCTGCTGTAGCCGTAGCTGGTTGTGCGCGTGAAGCTGCTGTGTTGTGGATGACTGGCGTCACACTCACGGTCGTTATTGGTGTCTGTGAAACCTTCTATGTCTGAGTCGGCAGTGTACGCTTGTGTTGCGGTGCTGGGGTTGCGAGATAGAGGTGGTGGTGGTGGAAGATTGGAAGTTGCTGGGTGGGTGGGAGATGAAATAGTCTCGTCTGGGGACCAGTGGTAAATGAAGTCGGCGTGGTGTACTGTGGCTTGAAGGAGAGGAGATCGTATTATTAAGTTTGATCTGGTTGTTCTGGCCTCGGTGAGTGGCACGGATGGGCTCTTTCCATCTCACGAAGTGGACAAACGGGCTGGGGTTGACCGGCTGTCAAAATTCCCAGAGAAGTGACGCTAACAGATTTGGCCAAGAGTTTGCAGGGTATCTGTTAGTGGATGACTGAACTAATGGTCACAACCAAACTATTTGGGAATTTCCTTCCCGTTTGGCGTCAATTGCCTTGATGACGTCTGAATCGGCGATGAGTACCCTGATCTGATGCGATTGCCCTTGCCTGCGGGGATTTTCTGGAAGCTGTTGAGCCACTGATCTTGCAGTTGTTTGTTGATCACTTTCCCTGCTGGTCGGTTGGCGACTTCTCCCAAACCCAACGCAACACGCAATCCGTCACTGAATATCACCGCACGGGTTTCAAACGAGAAAGGAACGGACCGGATCTTGGCCCGAATGTTTCATACCATGGACAGACACTAACAGGAAGGCGCCGTAGGCAATGAACCGCGGCCCCGAATGTTCTGCTCCGTGCCGTGCAAGCCGGGAAAGGGGGAGCGGGATGGGGTCTTGGCGTTCCGGTTTACACTACCTCATTGCCACCGTGTGAGATAGAAGAACAGTCACTGCCATTCAACCGCACCTACCTATGTCTTTTCTTTCACAAAGGACTGATGAAAGGAAGGAATAAAGAGAATCTGATTGCATTCATTCCGTCGTTTCTGAACTTCACTTCTGGTGGGTAGGTGTAACAAACATGACATAATACTTTTACGGTGTTGTTGACTTCTCCATATGCCTTGAAACCCTCCTTGACTTTCTTGACTCCTTAACCTCCCAGGCCCAGAACGAACCTTGTTGAGTAGCAGAAATGATTTAGTCCATGGACTCTCCAAGATCTTGCAGCTTCTTGCGATCCTTCTCCTTGGCCTTCTCCGACACGTTGGGGTTATTGATCGCTGCCTTCAGTCCGCGGATGCTATGCGACACATACTTGTCAGCTACCGTACATCTCGATTTTCTGACTTTGTTTGTTGGGTGGATGGGGACTGACACGTTTCCTCTGTCCTTTCCTTCAAGATTTGCAGACGTGGATGACTCGGTTTTGGAGCTGGTGGAAGCATTATGAGAACCCGTCGACTTGCTACGACCCTTCTTGGCAGTAGACGACGAAGAACCAAGCTTGCTCGAGGAAAAATCTTCGAGAACTTCCTCCTCTGCAATATCTGCGCTAGACCCTTCAGGCATGTGAGTTCCGAACTCGCTTTCCAAAATCTCGCGATCGCGCTGCTTGGCCTGCTCGGATACGCGCGGATTGTTGATGGCAGCCTTGAGGCCGCGCTCACGGTTTCCAGGGTCCATCTTTGTTAGGTGATCGGTGGTAGTAGCTATCGGTCTGGCGTACAACAGTGGAAAAAAGGGCTTCAGATTCAAGGGGGAAAGGCTCCTAAGCATCAGATGGCAGCGATGATGAATCGGACTGTCCTGTCTTCGTACCAGTCAAGAGCTGCTTCAGTGGTGGAAGATGCAGGAGCAAACAGGATTATGCGCGCATACTCTGGCGCTTCTTGGTTCTTTCAAGCACTTTCTCTCATGCAGGGCCCTTTTTTCCTCTTCTTTTTACTTATCATACTGTAATGTACTCTTCCGCAGTGACGGGCGTTTGACGTTATGCTCCCCTCGCTTTCCGGAAAAGACTCCGTGCTTGCGCGGGGCCAGTGCACCAACTTGACATCACATGCCTGTCAAATGTCTAAAGAACATCAGATGACCATCTGGAGATACGTTCCTTCACTCCCTCGTTAGTCAGTCTCCGTTAACTAACTTTTCCAAAGCTGCTGTGGGAAGCCCCTTGCAATTTGGTCTGGTCTGCTTCATCAACTTCCCGATTCATCTCTGTCATATTGTTTCAGGATGTACCCAGAACTAAGCCACAGAAAGAAAAACCAGGTCCAACGTGTTCCTTACAGTTTGCTGTGTAGATTCTGGTGCTTTCGAGAACCCCATCTTTCTCATAACCCGAAAGGCCATGTCTCATCAAACTCAAGTGGCCCAGGAGGTTGATGAACCTCCAATGCACCTACCTCCTCAGTCTCGTCAAAGTAAACAATGCCATCAAGCTGCTCAGGCAATACGGCAAACGAGTAATGTGACTGTCGCTCCGTCGCGGGAGCGTAGATCACTCCAATGAACCTCTCCAGTCTTTTCTCCATCAAAGCTTCCCTCAACGCCCTGTCGCAGTGCTTAGTCCTCAGGTCTAAAACAAAGTTCTTAATACCGGTATCATGCATCAGTCTCTCATAACTGTTGGGCAAAGCTGGTTTGACATGCATAACACTCATGTCTCCGTCCCAACGTTTGGCGGCGGCAACCTTACCCGTGTATCCCAAGCAGCCGATGGCCAAAGCCTTCTTACCATAAGCCTCCTTGCACAGCTGTCCCACGTTGAGTTCATCCGAAGACCAGCCCATGCTCGTAGCGCGGGCATCTCCAATGTGGCTGTTGTGCGCCCATACAATCGCCTTTGAGTAGGAGCCGCGATGGTCGAGAATGCGCTGGAGAGTTTGGAACATGTGTGTATCGCGGAGATTCCAGGATTCATCGCGTGCGTAATACATGGCTTTGTAGTAGTGTTCGGCGTCTGGTGAGTGTCAAGTCAGTAACAGATCTAGTACCCGCAACCGCAAGAAGAACTGACCTTTTACCAATCTCGCATTCTGCTCTCCTCCATGAAATTCCTCTCCATCCCACTTTGCCCGTTCGTACTCGAGCCTTTTACTCAGCATATTCTGCAGCACCTGTACCACATCCTCCTCATAACCTTTGAACCCCTTTCCCGAGGATACCAGTGTCTCCAGCCCGTATTCGTGCGGATCTTCAGACCAGTCAAGCAGCCTAGAGTAGCACCGTTTGGCGGTCTCCGCCATGTCCTTGTCCACCTGTTCCAAATAAGCAATGACGGCGCGCATGGATGCGCCCATGCTGTACAGATCCAGCCCGTAGAATCCAGTAGCCTCCTTCTTCATGTCTTTCCCTTTGTTCCAACACCTCAGCCACTCGACAAAGTCGTGCGTTTCCTTGTTCCGCCACATCCACCGTGGGAACCGCATGAAGCTCGGTTCTCTCCCTGCGCGCCGCGCTTCGGCTTCGGACTCGATCGTTGCTCGTGGGCCCGGCCCTGGACGCCGACGGACATATCGGTCAGTGGACTCGGCGTCGGGCCAATCGGCTTCGCACGCGATTATATTGTAGCCATGGTGTTCGATCATGTAGCGTGTGAGCGCGGCGCGGAACGCGTAGAACTCGGAAGTGCCGTGAGACGCATCGCCAATTAGCAATACCTTGGCGGAGCTGAAGGAGTCAAAGTATCGAAAAATGTCCTTCTTGGGGTCGTCTAGGGCTTCGGGGAGCGAGGGAAAAGGATGGACATGTCTTCGGAGAAGCTCAAGTGGTGATGCGGGAGGCTGAGGTGTCGACTGTCTGGAGAAGTGCATGGGAGTATGGCTCCGGCTGAGGCTCTCGACTCCGTCCAGGTGTAAGTGCGCGGCGGCGCTGTCAGTGATTGAGTACATCCTGTCCCTGAATTTGTGCATTCTTTGTGGTAAGTGGTTGCTTTGATGTGTAGGTGAAAAAGGGATGTGATGACAAGATAGTTGGTGGTATAGAGTTCGAGCACGTAGAGGCGGCGACAGGGAAATTCTCTCGAAATTCATTTTCATTTTCCTTCAAGCAGGGGCAAAACTGCCTACCTAACTAACTACGGATGAGAAGGGATCCCCTAATGTTAGTCCCAGGATACCCAGTCCATGGCGAAAACCACCGCGGGGGAAGTTCTCATGACTTGGGACGATGAGAAGCAAATGAACTCTGTGACGACAACATGACGCTCATTGACCACATAGCCATGTGAGTAAGCCATAGGTTCCCGCGAGGGAGGCGTTCGATTCCAGTAAACCCGAAGACCTTGACATAATGATGTGGAGATGTTCGAAGAAATTAGGACGCCTCGGCTACGATGAAGCAATGGACCGTATGCGAAGGGGGATGGATGGAGACCCACGAACTCTTCCCGCGAGCCTTCTTTGGCTTACAACGGTATTTCGTGACATGTATTGTAAGAGTTGTTACCGACTCTTCTTAATGCTTGATTGCACAGCCGTTTTAAATAGGACATAGATTAGCTGCTTGGCCAATGTTTCACAGCTCTTGAATGATTTGAATTCTTTTGGACGTTTGGGAATCCGGACGTTTCGTGGCCGGGACAATCAGACGGTAATTGCAAGGCATGACCAAGTCGACGTCGTGGGATATCGAGGTGTCCATGGAAGTACATACCTACTGCACAGATGCCATGAGGGGGAGGCTTGAGAAAAGCATGAAATCGGGACGTACTGGTGGCACAGGGGCAGGAAGGAAGGAAGTAATGGAACGGAACGGGAAAGATTTTCATGGGACCTTCCTCCAGAGTCTCGGGTATGGTACCTGCCCGAGCTTCCTTCACCAGCAAGGTTCTCACGCACGCCCAAGACTGCATCAATGAGTCTAGACTTGCTTGCATGCTACCATGTTATTTCCTAACTTGGCAATGTCAACCCGAGGAAAATCGAAAATGGCGTAAAACGAACTCATGCCTTTCAATTCACAAAAGCGACCAATACAGACGACCAGCTGCAGTTGTTCTTTCCGTTGTTTATGCAGTCACTGCTGTGTGCTTATGACATCATGGATCCTTATCAGTTGCCCGTCATACGCTGATAAGACCTCCCCAGTTCTCACACGGGTTGGATGAACATCGACGACAAAGACATTTTCAACACAGTTCTGATCATCCTACTGAATTTGAATCTCTCGTACTTTGCAAAGTGCAGTCATGAAGTTGGCGTTTGATCTTGTTATCTTTGGCCTGCTTGCCAGGTTGGCTCATGCTGCGAGCTTGGTCCGCCTCCCAAATCAACATGTTTTGGCTGGTGAGCTCGACAATGGAGACCAGCCACCAACAAAACTTCCGCATGAAGTCAGAAAGGCGTAAGTTGTTCAGAGAAGTCGACCTGTCCTTGAATGTAAGCTGTTCAGTCTTGACCCCGTCTGACTCGCACCTTACAGATTGAAGAAAGCAGAGATCATTCCAACTGGTGAGTCGGATCATCGTCGAGAAAACCGGAGTGACCTCGCAGTTGACAATTGCCAATACAGTCATGGATGACTTCGTCCCTACCTTGGACTTAAGAGTCAAGTGGTCCCATGGTAACAAAGCGTCTTTGGGTAATACTCTCAAGCCAAAAGACCTTCAGGATCCCCCCTCCATTCGTCTCAAGGACCTGGTGGCGTCTACAACATGCCTTCGTCGCTCTAGCACAAGTCTCGTGATTGTCATTACCGATCCCGATGCCCCGTCCCGAGATGACCCCAAATGGTCTGAGTTCTGCCACTGGATTGCTGTTGGTCCGCTCGTAACAGCGGATTGTCCCATCAGCGACGAACAAACCCAAATCCATGGATGTTGTTCGTCCGTTTCACTCGGTACCTTGGAGGATGTCGTGTCTTATACACCCCCGGCTCCGCCTGAAAAGACCGGAAAGCACAGATATGTCATCTTGGCCCTCGCGCCGGTCAATGGAACGAGCGAGAAGCTGCATTTGTCGAAACCCAAGGAGAGAAAGCGCTGGGGATACGACAAACCGGTGAACGGCAAGACGCATGGTGTAAGAGATTGGGCAGTTGAGAATGGACTGGTACCCTTTGGTAAGTCGTGGACACAAACGGAAAGGTCCATGGACTTTCTCGGGCTAACATCGAGGTACACAGCGGCGAACTTCATCTATGCGCAAAATAAGAAACAGTGATATCGATAAATACTGATTCAGTGATGTGAGTGTTCTGGTCTATGTGGAAATGCAAATCATGTTGATGGGCGTGAAAGAAGACAAAGAGATGAGCAACAAAAGGCGACTGTTAGACGTACAAACACTCCCATAGAACCTGTGCTTACTTAAACAAAGCTTCAAAAACCCCGGCCAGTTCCAGACACACAGTATCATCGCAGCAAATTTACGGACACGAACTTTAACGATGAAAAAAAAAAAAAAAAAAGGACCTGGGCAGTTACAGAAAGTCAGGGTACCCGGGGGTCCCGGGCGATTGTGAAATGTTCACAGGTTCGAAGTAGTAAACAAGTGACATTCCATTTCCTTACCCAAGTGATGTCTCTTCCTGCAACGACTTTAGAACGCAAGACCCAAAAGTGTACTCGGATAGCTAGAACGCCATGCACCTGTATCGATGTGCTGGAAGAACGAAGACGTGGAAATTCTGGAAGTTGTCCCAAAAATGTGGAGGAAAAAAAGAAAAAAAAAGGAAAATAAACCTATTGTCAAGCCACCGAAAGGGAGCATAGGCTCGACCCACCGCTTCTACAATGAGACGCTAAGTCAGACAGATGCGTTGATTGTCGCTTGCCCAGTACGAAACACTCTGAAACTATTCGCAGATAAGTGTACCTCTAGGGTTGGCTACAAACACCGATACCTATCTGTAATCAGCTCGGAACATCAGAACTAGCCTTTAAGTAAGTAAGCAATTCCGACCAGTTATAAGTCGACCACACATCGGGTCTTCTTGTGCTTCTTTTTTTCCTTCCCCTTGGTAGTTTGCGCGCTTCTGCTTTTTGCGGTAATCTATCCTACTTACGCATATATTGTGAGATGTGATGACTCGTTTACAAGCTTACCCAGGTCTGCTACATTGCCATAAACCATTCATTGTTGATTTCTTCTAAGCTTCCTCCCAGTATCAATATGATGTCAAAAAGATCAGCAATTTTGCCCTGTATGTGCCTCCTCATACCTTTGGGTGTAGCATACCTAGCTTTCGGAAACATACCAAAAGTTTCTCTGGCTCCATGAGCTCTCACATTCGCCGTCTAACCGACTCTCATGGCCGCGAATATATGAACCTGACGGCGGATCCATCAAAGCACGACATCTTATGCACCATCCTTCTCATCCAGAACACAGACCAAAGTGTTCGTCACGAATTATGCGTCTCATCAAACAGCACGATGAGCTTGCCCCTGAGCCCGGCTACGTGTACCGTTTTGACTCCACCATCCCCCATAAACGATATTACTTCGTCAGCAAACTAGGTCACGGAGTCCAAAGTCATGCTCAGCTTGTCCAAGACAGAGAGACAAGCCTGAAGGTGGTTCAGAAAGTGGACAGGAAACTATGTCCCTCTGCTCTCGACCATGACGAGCCAGCCGAAATCAGCGTCCTACGCCGCCTCACCAGTTCACACCGTCTCGCCAACTACCAGCCAAGATGGATCACCCTGCTTCATTACGAACAAGTCGTTGCTTACCAGGAGACCGAAAAGTCCGGTAGGCATTTGAGCTACCAAGTGAGTTACTGGAAGTTCTGTAATGGTGGAAACCTCTATGGCCTGGTGAGCCCTTACATCATGGAACAGAGGCCGTGGCTAGCACGCAGCCAAAACGGTACGGCCCCTCAAGCTCCGTTGCCAAAGCTTCCCATTTCACTAGTTGCGCGTGCTATCCGTCACATATGCGAGACGTTGGAGGTCATGTATCAAGGAGGCGACGAAGCCGTCTACCACTGCGACCTGCACGCCAGCAACATATTTCTTCACTGGACCAAGGAAGACCCTCTCCCCGAGTTTTACATTGGCGACTTTGGTATGGCTCGAACCGCAAGCCAGTCACTCCTGGACTCGAGGAAATTTCACCCTAGAAACGGGATACCATTCGATCAGCAGCCGCAGGGAACCAAGCCACCGGGTCTTGCCCCTGAAGGTTCCCGCCGTCGATGGGATCTAATCATGGACCATGACTGTAATCTGACCAAGACCTTTTGGTCCATGAGCAAAAGCGCGACCAGAGATATCGGCTATGGCAGTGTTCGACTACCGGTTCCGCGACCTCAAGCGCACCGGAGAGATCTGGTCAAGCAGATCGCGCAGCAGAAGAACCATCCGACAACGTCGAGGCATAGACACAAACCAAACCCCGTGTGCGCCAGCCCCGACACATGTAATGGCCTATCTAGGTCCTGGGGCTATGGCCCAAATTCTTCATGTCAGCAGGACATAAAGGACACCCACGCCCGACTCTTGCTCGAGCTCATTAGAAACCTCGGGTTCCTGAACCAAAATGACCAATTACAGTCTGTACTTCAGCCTGACCTGCGTCCACCATCTCTAGCACGTATTATCGAAGTCGCAGGGATTTTGGAGGAGGAGGCTTTACAACAGGAGCAACATACACGTGCGTTCAAGGAGTTTGTCAGGGAAAGGAAAGAGAAGGCGCTGTTTCAGGAATTTGAGAGTATTCCGTTTGTATTTACACGTGACGGGGCGGAGGCGAAGGCGATCTTGAAGAAGGCGTTGAAGCGTCCAAAGAGGAATCCTTTTGAGGTTTACCGTGGGAAGTCGGATGAACCGGAGAGTCTTGAGGAGGTTTGGGGGAGGGAACATGTGGCTGGGCCGTGGAGGGTTGTGCAGGTTAGGGCGTAGGATGAGAAGAAGGACGAGGTTCAAGTGGCTCGGCTAGGAAGGAAGGGAAAAAGAAGTGGTGTCTTCAGCTGTCAAGGTGATTTAGTGTATTTCAATTTTCTTTGATGCTCCGTTCAACCTAATCTGTAATCCAAGACAACCTTGAGGCGGTCCAGTAAGGTGGTGTTTGGTGATAGTAATGGCCTTCTTGTACGTTGGATGCCGGATTGGACCTGCCAGGAAGTCAGGAACCTGGAGGTGACGCCCTTCTCTCTCTTTTGGGTGCCTACCATTCCACGTAGACCGAAGGTGTCCATAACCCCTCAATGATGGTAAATCTGGTGTATTCGTGTCGGTCGTTCGTTTCCACATACGCTGTATAGTGACTTTGATCGTGGTACTTGTTCTTACTCTCCAGATCCTCAAGGCTTCAGAGCGTACATCCGTACCGGCAGAAGCTTCATGGTCCTCGTCTGGGGGAAGCCCTTTTGGAACTCGGCCTTGACAACCTTCAACCCAGCCTTCTGGAAAACTTTCTGGAATGTCGCCTCGCCTCTGTTTGTCATTACCGCATTTCGTTAGTCTCAGCCATCAAACCTCAAACAACCCATTTCCATCACCACGGAGTTCATGGGCAAAAAAGACTCACCTCGTAACACTACTATCCTCCTTGTCAAACTCATCATTCCCCAACACCGTCGTGTTCTCCTTGATCACAATCAACCCATCCTCGGCCAGTGCGCTCTTGCACCTTTGCAAATACGCCACCAGCTGCTCATCCGTCAAATGTCCCACGCACCACTGCGTCCACACCAAATCATACTTATTCTCCCCCTCCCCGATCTCAGGCACCCACTCCTCCAACCCCATCACGTAAACCTTCCCCACCCCCTTTTTTCCCTGCAACTTGGCCGTAAACTTGGCAATCGGCTCAACCACATCCACCTTCCCAGGTCCTTTCCCTTCCTCGTTCTCATCCACCAACAACTCAGTCAACAAGCCCTCCGTGATCCTTCCCACACCCGCCCCGCCCTCTAGGATGCGCTTGCACCTGCGCAAGCCTGGCTTGGAACCAATGCCGAACTTGGCTAGGAAATTGCGAGAGCCCTGCAGGTCGATCTTGGACGTGTTGGCGAAGCCGGCGAAGGTCGGGATACCGCCTAGCATGCCGTTCTCGTCGGCGCTGACGGATTCCCAGTAAGCGAGACCGTGCTCTTTGGAGATGGAGGCGTCGGCAGGGGTGGAGCCGGAAAGCTGGGTGAAGACATTGTTTGTGCCTGACATTGTGGATGAATTTTAGTTGGGTAGGACCGATGGGTGCTTGATGTTCTTGGAGTATTGCGGCTTGATGAGGTTTGAAGTCCGGGTTTCTTTTGCAATGGATGATGAGACTCTTGGCGGGTTTCTCTTGGCGGTAGCCGTTCTCTCGAAAGAGAAGAAAGAAACCAAAGTTTTAAACTTTATACAAATAAACGGGGATAATGTGATGAGCGGTTGAAAATGATTCGTTTGTTTACCAAGTTGTGAGGTTCGAGATCTTGAGGTTGTTTGGTTGTACTTGTACTGTTTCAGGCCCTGTTTATTCTGCCATTCGTGAATTTTGTGCAATCCCGTGTCACGTGGGTCCCTTGGGAAGAAACAATTTATTGAGGTTGTTTAGCATTGACCAACCATCAGGGTTTCCCCAGATTTCAACGTTCTATTTACATGGTCACATCATAATCCCCTGTTCTTGCCAAAAATCTTCAACGGCTGATGGCAAAAAACAACAGAAACATCGAAATGCAGCTTCACGTTGGACAATTCAACCCTAACCCTCGCTCCTACCGGGTAGTCCCATACTGTATGAATCAGAAGGGACAGTGATGTACTTGGTGGAAGGTGTGATCCAAGAATCCGGGAATGTTTTGATTTTTTTTTCTTTTTTTTTTTCGCACTTCTGAGATTTAGGAGAAGGTGGTAAATGGACGGCAACAAAAAGCGACATATGTTACAAATACGGTCACGGACTGTGGTATCTCTTTTCTCCGTATGAGGGACAAGAAGCGTGCGTTTGTGTTCGATCTATGATTTCTAAACTCGCCAAGACGTAACATGGTAGAATTAGGTCGGAGTGAGGGAACAGTCTATACCCATTCGCGTTATCTCATTTCAGCATGTGTATACCTTACCAGCTAGCATGATATCTTTCGAAACATCCTCTGTTGAAAACTAGAAATCTAGCCATGCAAGTGGTGCTACAGTCTATGTAACCTTTTCCCATCCTGTCAGACAACCCAAAAAGAAAAACTCAGACGCCATGCAATGCTGTTTAGGTGTGCCCATGCTTCGTCGACCCCAACATGCCTCTTAATTTTGCTACCTGTTGCGGTTGACGGAGAACCGCCTGACCATAACCTCACGAATCGTAAACTTCTTGAGCGCAGCCGCAATACCACCCTTCTTCATTTCCTCATCAAACACTAGAGGGGGCGGCACGTCGACATAGACGAGTACCAAGCTCTTGAGCACATGGGACAACACACGGTTGACACCCATCAACCAAGCCCAGGTTTTCTTGGACTCCTCGTGCTCGAACTCGCTCCAGCGAGGATCGGAGAATGATGGTACCACCATGATACCGAACTCAGAGTGGTCAAAGACCGGGCCGCGTTGGTAGATAATCCAGTCGACGCCAAACTTGATACCGTGACGGGGGACCCAGCCAAGAGAGCGGAAGTGGTGATAGACGGCATACTGGACAAGGAAGGGATCCTCAGGGCTCAATTTATCGACGGACCGAGGAGGGAAGTAAGAGTTGGCACGAAGCTTGATGAGAAGCTGTTCGTTTGAGATGGGAGCCTTGGTAACTGGGTCGATAACACGGAGAGCGCCGAGGCCAAAGGCCAGGAAGAAGGCCTCTTCAGGAGCCAGTTGGAAGTGTTCCTTGTCAACCAACTCTTGAGACGATACGGTAGATTCGACATTGGAGATGAAAGGTTTTTCCACGGCGGAGACAACAGAGGAGAAGGCTTCAACGTCAGAAGACCCGTTGTTGTTCTTGACTTCAGAGGCTGCATCGGTGTGCTGGAAGGTGGTAGACTCGACGGTGGAAGAGAAGCGAACACTCTTCCTCCTTTCAGGAGTGGCGAGGATGTCTTCCTGTGTTGGCTGGCTGTCGGGCAGTCCGTCTGTAGAAGGAGGAGGGGATGAGGAAGAGGTGGTATCATTGGCTTCGGTGGCGCTGGTCTCGGGTTCGTCGTTGGTCAAGGCACTTGCCTCCAACTGGTCCTCTATAGAAGACTCATCTTCATCAACACCGACATCCTCGCTCAAGACGGATACGACTGATAGTGCAACAAGATCGACCAGAGAGTTAGGGAGAGCCAACAACTCGATGGGACCAACAGGCGGCTTGAGTTCTTTGCGCACATTCTCTTCAGTGGTTGCCGGCTCAGGTTGCGATAGTGCGGGTTCCTCGCCGCGGACAAGGGCATAGGAGTTTGGCAGCGCAAGCAGCTCCAGGGGGCCAACCGGTGGCTTCGGCTCGACATGTCCATGTGCTACTGTCTTGGGAACAAACTCGTTCGTAGGCGCAGCCCGTGATAGCGGGATGGTCGATGTGGCAGAAAGGACATGATCAGGAAGAGAGGCAAGTAGAACTTCAGGCTTGGGCTCAGTCTCGGCGGCAAGAGGCTCTAGGATAGCAGCATTTACAGTCTCACTGTTCAGCTTGGCTTCCTCGAGCTTTTGCTTCTCGATGGCCTCCAGCTCAGCCTTTGCTCTTTCCCACTTAACCTGCCTGCGTTCTTCACGGCGCGACGCGGTGCGTTCTTCGCTAACCGTTGTACCATCAAGACCGCGGCGGCTAAGCTCTCTCTTGAACCAGTTGGGTTCACTACGACTCAAGCTTCCTTTTCCATAGAAGCCCTGTTCCCACAGAGCGCGGATAGACTTAGGATCCTTCACGTGTACGGAGCGAGTATCGGAATCCCATATTCCCTCATGTATCACTGACGGTTCGGCGGGCGGAGGCAATAGCACTTGTCTCAACCACGCGACAGCAAGGTGAAAGAGAGAAAGGGGGTTGCTGGGGTAGAAGGTAGGCAGCGGGAAAGTACGGATTGGCGCAGGGAGCTTGTAGATCTGATGATAGGGAACTCTTGGGGGTCGAGGCGGCGCAGATGTTGCCGCGGGGTTAGTGCTCGCAGGAGCTTCCTCCCCAGATTTACTCGGTGATTCGCTAGGTTGCGCCATTGTAGTAATGGTCATATTTTCAGCCATTGTGTCTGTTCATATCGGCCTGATGAGGAAGGATGTCAGCAATGTCAACCGAAGACATGTTTTCATGGCGCATCACCGAGAGTTCCCCATTGTGATGTCGCTCAGATACCGTTGTAGTCTAATACAGAGGCTAACACAGAACGATCCACTGAAGGATATATTGCTCTAAGCACAAAAGGAGTCATCACCGCAACTTGGGGGATGTCCAAGGGCAAAGCCGATTGGACAGTGGTAACACTCTCGGGACATGCGCGCCGAAGGAATGATGAAGTCGTGACTTACACTTTGGAGCGATATTGCACCCAGAATGTGGGCGACAAGATGAAGATTTGAAGGCGCCTGGCCATTCAGCAGTGACAATAACGTTCACTGTTCGACAAGATCCAGTTGGGCATTCAGATAACGAATGCTTGTAGCCAAAGTTCAGTTCATGATCCAGTCATGCTGTTCCTCCAATTGGGCTTGGGTGATGTCGTTGTGCTGAAGAATATTGAAAGCCAGGAACAGAAAAAAAAGATTTGGGTCCCGAATCTTATCGACCGGAGCAAAAGAATTCCATCCGCCGAGCCCCACGTCTCCCCCAGGGCTTGATAAAGTGGGGCTGATTGTCGTTTGGGCGGAACTTTGCGATAAGCATCAAGCTTGGCTGACATAAGCTGCCCCTGAGATTGTACTTACTTGACCGGGGCAGGCAGTTCAGGGACCCGCGCCGAATCATGATGCCTGCCAGGCACCGTGCCGTTGTCGCGTAGATCGCGACTACTTATCCAGTTGTTTGGGCCGGAGCTTGTCTTGTTGGCGTACACTAGAACAGCGGCCGTTGCCGGACGAGCCGACAAGCGTCACTTTTCCCTTATTTTCTTCAGATCCATGACAAGTGAACATCCATAACTGTCAATTCGACTGGGGGAACCCAGGCTTACACTCTCAAGTTGAGCTGGGGGCTTCCGCTCCCGCTGTCATCCATCGTGATCTTAGACCGCGCATTCCTACCGCGCGCAAACATGTCATCCAATTTTCAGTTCAACATCCGATGATTCCGGTCCTCGAGAACGATCTTCTGCGAGACCTCCTTTTTTTTTCTTTGTGACGATCAGCAGTTTGGCGGGATAGCTCATGCGATTCCATACCATCTCCACCCTGGTACTGTAGTAGTTGTTCCCTGAGGCAAATCCCGATAATAAATAGCTTCAGTTCCTATCCGGGTTTTGTTTGTTGGATGGATGTGTGCATACCTATCCACCTCTCCTCTGTCTGGCTGGCAACTGTACCCTGTGTTACCAAGCTCAACCTACCTCCAAGCTGACCTAAGCTCTAACCTCATCCTAGCCTCCCGATATCCCAAAAGAATTTCTCTCCTTTCACACTTCCCTGCATCCGGCCCGTTCCTAACTCTGCCTGCTTGTTCTTGCGCCGCCGCGCTACGCCGTTCCCTTTCCCTTTCGTCGGATCACTGTCCTTTCTTCCCCTCGATCAGGTTCGCTTAGACAGACGGAGTGCTATGTTCCAATGTCTATAAACATTGTCCAAGGCGCGGCCTTGGTTTGTCTTGGCTGGAGCTGTACTGTCTTTCTCCTCCAACTTGTCGGCATCACCAAGCTGTAAGCGAACGAACCACAACGTATGCGCGCGCAGCCATTGCAGCTGTCGCAAACCTCTACATTGGTCACTAACTATGAATATGCACATCTGACAGTTACCGCAACCACACCACACCTCTCCCCCCTCCCGCATCGCCTTCATTGCCCGAGAATGAAGTCCCCCACGTTACCGTTATCCGCCCTGTCAAGGGCGTAGAGGTTGGCCTGTACGAATGCCTCGCCTCGACCTTCCGGCTCGTCTACCCCAAGTCCAAGCTCTCGATCCGTCTCTGCGTCGATTCCAAGAGCGACCCAGCCTACCCCGTCCTCTGCCAGCTCGTGGTCGATTTCCCCAATTTCGACGCGCAGGTTCTCGTTGAGGAAGAAGACCCAATCCTCCACGGTAGTGCCGGCCACGTCAACAACCTAGGCCCAAACCCCAAGATCCGCAACATCAGCCGCGCATACCGCGAGGCAAAGGGCGACGTCATCTGGATCGTGGACTGCAATGTTTGGGTGGCCAAGAACGCAGCAGGGAGGATGGTTGACAAGCTCTTTGGCTTCCAACCCAACAGCGGCGGCGGCATTGACAGAACGACCCCCTACAAATTCGTCCATCAGCTTCCCCTCGTGGTAGACCTAGACAACAGCTCCTCCGGTGCCAGCGCCGTCACCAAATCCACCTCAGCCGAAGAACAATCCCTCCTCCCTTCCACTGTTCCCAAAGACAATCAGAACCGAAACCAAGGCCTCCTCGCCCACGGCGGCCGCCTCGAAGAAATGTTCATGTCCACCACCCACGCCAAGTTCTACGGCGCCATCAACGCCGTCGGCGTAGCCCCTTGCATTGTCGGCAAGTCCAACATGTTCCGCAAGTCGCACCTCGACGCCTTCACCACCGTCTCCTCCAACCCTTTACTCCACTCTTCGGACTCGACCCGCGGCACCGGCATCGATTTCTTTTCCTCGTACATCTGTGAAGACCACCTGATCGGCGATTTAATCTGGCGCTCCTCCTTCCCCGGCTCCATGGGGTACAAAAACCACGGCCTCGTCTTTGGCGAGGTGGCCGTCCAACCCATGGCAGGCATGTCCGTCGCCGCGTACATTGCGAGGCGCGTGCGCTGGCTGCGCGTGAGGAAATGGACGGTTTTGGCTGCGACGCTGGTGGAGCCGGGCGTGGAGAGTCTGGTGTGTTGTGCGTATTTTGCCTTTGCGGTGACTACGCTGCCGTGGTTCAACAGCACGTTTGGCGTGCCACAGACGTGGAGCGCCATGGCTACTTTGTGGTCTGGGGCGGTGACGATCTGGATGTCGATTGATAGGTGGTTGACCAACAAGCTGTTCCGGCTGCATAGTTTGGATGTGGATGAGAACACACCCTTCTTCGCCAGGGGCACGGCAAGGACAGGGGGAACGACACAGAGACCATTTAGGGAGTGGATTGCCGCGTGGTTAGGAAGAGAGTTTCTGGCACTGCCTATTTGGACCACGGCCGTATTGCTGGGCACAACGGTCAAGTGGAGGGGAAGACAGTTCAAGGTTCGGATGGATATGAGCGTGGTGGAGGTGGATGATAGGAAGAGCCGGGCTGATGTTATCGGTGGGAGCAAGCCCAGACCGAGGATGGCTGGCTCACCGGATAGTAAAGACCGCGTAGATTAAACGAGTACATACGGTATTTGAGAGACCTTTGGGCGGAAAGAGGAGTAATGAGACTTTATGCCATGATACCTACATAGATAGAAAGATAGACTACCCGTACGAGGACGCTTCGCATAACTTGTCGATGCGGTAATAACAACCTAATCATATCCACTGCAGACGAGCAACGAGTATGATTTGACCTGTAGACGTATATACGCGCTGTTAAGTCAAGTAAAAGATCATATTTCGATGTAACTTGGCAGAATAGCAGGATAACAGCATGGTCATCATTCAAGTCTGTGCACGAACCATAAACAGGTGCTGATAAATATTCACAGAAAACATTATCAGAATATCCTTTTTTTTTGATGCAGTAGCTTGCGACCAACTTCGCTTCGCAATATTCTATTTACCGATTCTGTAAGCCTCAAACTATCGCAAATTGGTCTTCAAATTATTCTGGTATGTAAGCCGGATCAAATTTTCTTCGAAAACTCTGCAAATCAGGCCAACGAAACAGGCGCCTCCGCACAAGCCAAAAAGGGCATGCGCAAACGGCTTCAAATCCCACCACTCAACCACGACACTGTGCTCACAACTATGAGTAGAACTGACATCTAAGTCAAGGAGCAGAAGATCAAGATCTGGGGATTGCCCCATACGAGTTCAAAGCGTCCCCATCCTATCTGGCAAGTGATCGCGACAAAAATGTCGGAGAGTCAAAGTTCCCCATTCATTCCTGCCATTCTTGCTATTAATCAAGTTACCCCTGAGCAGCTTCATTTTTGTCAGGAAGTATAAAAAACTCCCGCCCATCTTCAGAGCTCTCATATTTTTCTTTCTCACCTACGTTGATCGCGTCGTTTGTCTCTCCTCTGCTGAAGCGAAATCCAGTTAAGAAACTACACAACTTGGCAAGTCTCGTCATCAACCAAGCTGGTAGTGTCAACTAACCGTTCCACGGCTTGGGCTCGACTCCCTCTGGGGGCACCGTGGGAACGACCTTATCCTTGACCTCGTCCCAGTTGGTGCTCAGCGTCGTGCCGTTGCTCTCGAGGAAGCTCTTCATCATGGCACGCTGCTGTTCAGGCGTACTGCCCTTGTAGAGAGTTTTGAAAAAGCCATTGATATCCTGGCCATCCTCCTTGTCGTCTTCGACAGGCAGGCTGTCCCAGTTTTTAGGGCCAGATTTGCTGCTCGTGGGGTAGGCGGGCACCTTTGCGGGAGTAGAGGTCGAAGGAAGAGCCGGCTTGGCAGTTGAGGCAGCAGAAGATGATGTCGCTGTAATAGCAGGCTCTTGATCGTCGGATTCGACAATGCCAATCTTTTCCTCGCCCCAACGACCCCATTTAACACCAGGAGTGGCCTTTTGCAGGACGAGCTCAATCTTGCGTGGCGAAGCGGACCACCTGGAGGCCGAGGGATCAATCTCGCCGGCGAGAACAAGGGTTGAGGTGGCTTCTCTATCACCGGGTTTGACGTAGGGTGCGGCTTCTCGAGGGATAGGAGAAATTCGAACCTTCGTTCTCTGTCAGTAATGGCAGTTTCTGGTGATCTAATGCAATATAGACTTACTTGGTGCTTGCCAAATTCGACCTTCAAATCTTCCTTCTTGACATCCTTGACAAACAGACTGACGGTGACAGTCTGGTTGGTCTGGTAGAAGTCAATACGCAGCTTCATCTTCTCGTCAGGAACTGATCCAGGGGCAGGAGCCTCCTTTTGGGGGGGCTTTTGCTCTTTAAGCTCATCTTCACTGGCCGACTCGGCCGGCTCGGGGCTCTTAGCTTTCTTCTTTTCGGGCTTGGGCGGGATCTTAGTGACATTAACCTTCCAGCCAGGGTGATCCTTTGGCAAATTCTTGAGCCTTCCAAGAGCCTGGCTTCTCCACGAGAATGCCATATTCCAATCTGTGGAATACGGTCCCTTCTCGGCAGCGGCGAGAGCATTACCATCAGAGGTTTTCGGTTTTGGTTGATTTTCCTTATCGGCAAGAAACTCGTCGTATGTGACCGTATAATTTCCTTCGGAGTCAACCTTCTTTTCCACACCATCGTCCTCGCGCGCGGGTCGACCTTCGGCGAGAAGCATACTCCACTTAGCGCAGCAGTCTGCATCAGCAAAACGTCCAAGTTGGTAGTAGATTACAGCACGGCGATACTGGGCTTGGATCATGTGGCTGCGTGATGTGCCAGAGCCACGCTCGGCTGCGGCATGGTAAGCAAGCTCGGCATCGTGTAGCGCTGCTTCGAGATTCTTGGCCTTTTGGTGTGCCTTGGAGCGAGCTAGGAGCCACGCTGGCGAGTTGGAAGACTCGAGTGCCTTGTCGAGATTTGTGATGGCCGTGGCATGATCACCCTTCGCGAGAGCATCGATGCCCTTCTGAGCGATCGTGGTTGCTGACATTCTGGTTGAGCGTCAAACAACTGATTTTGTAGTGAGATTCTGACGTATGGGCTTGATTGGAAAGTGAAGGTGAGCGTCTCGGGAATCTGTTGTTAGAGAGGATGGATTGCGTTTGGTTTAAAAAGGTGCCGGTCGATGGAAACGGAAAGAACCAGCTACCACTTCTTATATCAAGGGGTACGTAACTGTTAGCTTCTAGCTCCGTTCGGTCATGCATGGTGGGGTTCTTGCTTGATTCTGCCGGCAGGTGGGGGGAGGGTATGCGCATGCTTCTTTCACCGCCTTCCTATTTGGAATTGGTACCACTGCTTGCCCTGTAGCGGAACTAGCAAGTGCGCACCTTGATGGCCAGGTTTACATTCAGGACCCAAGCTGACGACCATCTCCAACAAACTGAAAGGAACTGAATTCAACAGATAGCGTTTAGTCTCGTAGATTGAGAAAAAAAAAAAAAGAAAGAAAGAAACGTATAGGCACGAATTCGCAGATCAAAACCTGAATACAACAACTCTGTATTTCCAGACTGAATCTCTCCCCCATTGGGCCTCCGAGATCCCTCTGTAGTAGGGAAATTCACTGCTATAGGAAGGTCATGAAAATTGTACAGTACAGGTGTTTACCTCCACCTGGATATCTCGGATCCCAATTTCGCGAGACATTACAGTATCTTGACATCAAATCATATGTATTAACATTATGTAGGCCACACAGTATCATTCCTCCATCCGGACTTTGCAACGTCATCTAGCAATATCTGCATCCGGCTGAGCGTTCAAACGACCTTCTCGTCCGGATACCGTGTGGCAAACAAGCCCAGTGCCTTCAGCGGAAAGCTAAACTTGTAGTTCGGGTAAGAAATCATGCAGCTCTTGTTGAAAACACCCTCGATAGCCTCTTGCAGCCACTCTCCGTTAGGCTGCTGACGGTCCATGATCAACTTGATGCCCTTCTTGATCGGTTCGATATCGGGATATTTGGCCTTGATCAACCCAATAAGGGCCCAGGCGGTCATGACCACTTGGGATCCAGTTGGATGCTCAACATACTTGCCCGTCTCACATGCCTGCTCTTTGGTTAGCTTCACACAAGATCTGGGATGGTCCAGGCACGAAGAGACTTACCTTGTAGCTCTCAGACCAACCGCCGTCCTCCCTTTGCTTGGCGATGAGGAAGTCGCATCCCTTCTTGGCATATTTGCTGTTCTTATACGTTTCACCAACGCTGGCCAAACTCTCCAAAGCAAACATAGTGGCGTACGTGAAGCAAATGCCCCAATTGCCATACCAACCACCGTGAGGCTTCTGATTGCTCTTAATCCACTTGACGGCGCGGGTGATGAAGTTGTCAATCTCGGCTGTGCGATGATTGGGCCAGTGTTTCTTGAAAAGCGAGAGTGTAGTGAGAACGGCCGTGGTGCATTCGGGATATTCATATTCGACCATGATGTTACCGAACACTTCCGCGGCATTCAAAACCTCCATCCACTGGCCGGCGCGTGGAGTCTCGTAGGATGAGCAGGCGCCAGATGGGTTTTGGTAGGTAAGCATCGTGTCAACGGCGTCAAAAATACGCTGGTCATCAATCAGAGTAGGGAAGCCTGGCGTCTTTTGCAGGATGATGACGGACTTCAACGCTTCGGAGACACAGTCGCTGACTGCATACCCTTGGTCCTTGTTGCTAAATGCCCAAGCACCCTTGCGGGGATGGCGATAGCACTTATCCTGATCCTTGACGTTTTCTCGAATCTGCTGGTCCTCGAGGAATTCCAATGACTTGATAAGCATCGGCCTCCAGCGTGGGTCTTCAGTCAGGCCGGCGTCCATGATAGCCTGGATTGCAAAGGCAGTGTCCCAGCATTGCACGCCGTTTGTGCCATTGCAAAGCATACCCTCGGCGTTGACCCAGAGTACCTCATCTAGCCTTTCCACATGCCTTCGTACAGAGTAGGCGCCAGGTCCATCCCGAACATAACAGCAAACGGTATTCATCGCGGCGTTGACAGGGGCTAGGTCAGAATAATCCGTGTTTTCGTCCTCCATGTCGATGAGCTCCGACGCCCATGCTTCTGCCTTGTCTACCAAGTACTTGGTCCGGAAGACGGGATTCCAGATGTTTACAAGAAGCCAGTTGACTGTGTTGAGGAAAGCGGTTTTTGGGTGGTAATTGTCGTTGGGGTGAATGGTGTTGCGGTTTTCAGCCCAGTCAATCTTGTTCCAGTCCTCTACGAACAATTCATTGCGCAACTCCCGAATCAAGTCCGTCTCCTCCGCCTGCCACTTCTTGGACCAAAGGTAACTCATGGGCAAAAAGACTTGGCGCATATGAATCCACCATCTCCACGGCGCAATCGGCACCCAGTCGGGGAGAAGCCAAAGCTCGGGCGGGACAGGGTTTACGATTTCCCATTTCATAATGCCCAATACCGTGAGCCAGAACTTGGCCCAGTGTGGCGCGTAAATAGCACCTCCCATCTTATGCATTGTTGCTCGCGCTTTCACCATGACCGGATGGTCTGCCTCCACACCCACAAGGCGCAACGTTGTATAGTTCAGCGTCGTACCCAACATGGTGCTCTCGCCTTCAATGTGTAGCCCCCATCCGCCGTCGACGGGGTTCGCTCGTGCAAACAGGTAGTTCTTGATCTCGGTAGCATAATACCAAGGGACGGGGTTCTTGGTGACGTAGCGAGCGATGACAACACCGGGGAGGAGGAACATGGGGCCGCCGTACTCGCAACCCCAATGGCCCTCGGGGAGCTGGAGCTTTTCGAAGAAAGTAAGGCCATTTCGTACCGCATCGAGGGGGTTCGTCGCCTTGGGAAGTTCGGGGAGGTCCTGTATCATTGGCGCGCAAGGTTAGCATGTGACATCGGTATTGTGGGAGCTTGCGGCTGGATGTTTTACCAGAGGCATTCCCAGGAAGTACTTGTCAGCATATGACTGCGGCCATTCTTTTGTAGCCTCGTCATCCTCGAGATAGTGCCATGTGTGTCGGCCGCCCTCACTGCTCAAACGCCAACGCGCCTTGTCGGTGCTCTCCTGTAGCCGGGGCCGCTTAACATCGTGATTGTCGTTGTCGGCGCTGGACCGTTTCTTGGGTGATCCGTTTGAGACCGCCAGGGCTTCAGTAGCCTGCTTCCTGGCCATCATGAACGGGCGGGACTATTGATGGAGGGAAAAGAAAGAAAGAAAAAAACACAACAAAGACAAAGATCGGCGCCAGACCAGAGGATAGGACGGATTGGGAGAGAGATACAACTAGGAAGAATTGACGGCGTAACAGACGACACCACAACATTACCCCTGAATTGGCCATGCGCCAATCCAATCGGGAGGGGTCGTGTCGTGTTCCCGTAAAGTTCAGTTGGAGCTTCGACCCATTTCTGACAGGGCCAATGGCGCCAAGATCTTGGGGGGGCCCCGAGGTGTGGGGAGAGCGGAGGGGTCTGGAGATGGTGCAGATCGGACGGCGGACCAGGCAGGTGGGGTTGGTTTGCACTGTGCTGTGTATAAGTCGGGTGGGTCCAGTAACGACATCTGATCCCGATTTTACTTCAGTTACTTAGAGGTACCTAAGTACTTATCAGACACTCACAACCTCCAGCATGGGAAGGCGCACTTTAAAGACAGAGAACATCCGAAGCACCTTCCTGATGATGTTTACTCTTTCTGAAGTAATTTCGGGACCCACTACTATACCACCAATGTCACAATTTTTCTTCAAACACGTTCTCATTCGAGCTTCCGCTTGTCCATCCACCAAATTGGACTCAGCTGAAGTTGGTCAAACCTTCGATGCCGTTCGACTTTCACTCTTCGCCCTGCTCTGGCTTACATTAGGTATCCCGTTGGTTACAACTACAGGTACACCATTAGACAGCATTGGTTTCTCATCTCACTACTACCGTTCGTTGCAAGCATGTATTTCTGTCCGATACGCAACCAGTACCTCCATCCACCTTCTCAACCCACGGTTACCAACTCTCATGAACGGCCCTCTCCTCCTCTAGAGCAGCTTTCTCCAGTAAGAGCTAGCAGTACTAGAGTACCTCACAACATCGTGATCGTACCACAGAGCCACTCTAGCGATGATGCCCTCTCAAAGATCGAAGCCTTGTTCGAGACCATTGTGGATGCTATCAGTGTCGGGAGTCCCATTACCATACCATATCGGCGGTCGACTAACGCGCAAGTATTTGACCCGACTGCCTCTGCCTCAAACCCAAGGGATGGGCGGCACATGGATTCCGTACGCTTTCCGGGACGCAACCCGCAAGAGCTCCGAAGATTTGGTCAGTCACTCCACCAAGTTGTTGTTGGCCAAGCTTCGCAGCACTGATTACATCAAATACAGAAGCCTTGTTCCGCATCATCGAGATTTCTCACGAAGCACTCCTGTCTGGAACTCTAGTTACAAAGAGGTCCGTAATCATTGAAGGTTGACTATATTTGTAATTTTGTCGCTGACTTCGACAGGAACATTTACTACCAAAACATGGAATTATTCAGGTCACAGAGCGTGGTGGACGAAATGGTGGACAATCTTGCATTCACACTTGGAGTGGGACGTAATGATTTGAATATTGTACGTATTCGACACTTTTCCGGTCAATCTCCTCCATTCATGATGCTCATGGTGTTTCAGGTCGCCACCGCAAAGGGCCTCGTTGCTGGCCAGGTAGAACTCATCATGCGTGGCGGTTCCAAGATCAATTGTGCCGAGTCTTCCGACAGTGTAAGCATTGCTGTCCGCCTAGCAGCTCTCTTAACTGACTATTTCAGGGTGTTTTGTTGCCATCAATCAGCGCAGTTGAGAAGATCGACTTTCAGTCCGTCAAATGGCTGCTGGTCATTGAAAAGGAGGCATGATTTCGTCCACCTGTGATATCCTTACCAAGACTCTTCCACTGACGTGTTTGAGCAGGCCACCTTTCGAACGCTCTCCGCTTCGCGCTACTACACAGTCTCTCGAGCAGGAAGTGGTATCCTGGTGACTGTAAGGCTATGTGACCTCTTTTATAGCAACAACGCTGACAACTACACACAGGGAAAGGGATATCCCGACCTTGCAACGCGAAAGTTCCTCGCCACCATCCACTCGGTTCGACCGCGTTTACTCATGTTTGCTCTGGTAGACTTCGATCCCCACGGGATCTCTGTTCTACGGACTTACCAATATAGCAGCCAACGTCTGGACCACGAGGAGCGCACCAAGGTGTTTGGATTAAGATGGCTTGGAATTCGCAGCAGCGATGTCCTCTCAAACACAGTGATGACGCAAGATTGCTCCGCCAACAGTCAGGGAAGTCAATCGAGCCAAGACCTCTCAAGTCAGGAATCAATAGCTTATTCTGTGGATGGTGAGTGTATCGTTAGGCAGGTACATGACTTACACTAACTTCTCAAACCACACAGCATTCGAAGATGAACGTCCGGCGAAGAGGCCGAGAAGTCGAAGAACGAAAAGCCACCCAAGCGACTACACAGCGCCACTCAATGAAAGGGACAGGGAGAAGGCCGTCAGCGTTTTGCGAGACATATGCGGTACGACGAGACTAGACGCTACAGAGCGGGAGCACAAGCTTGAACTGCAGAGAATGTTGATGCTCAACATCAAGGCAGAGATACAGGCGGTCGATGATTTCGGCGATATTACGAACTGGCTGGATGAACGACTGTTAGAACACAGCAGGGATGTGAACTCGCATTAATGGATATTCGGCATAGGTTTTGGGAACATGATCTTCAGACACATGACAAACGAGGGAAAAGCAATCTAGAGATGATGTATCTAAGAACAATGAGAATATCTCGAGAAAAAAAAAGAAAAAAAAAAAACCAGAAAAGAAAAAGAAAAAGGAAAATATTTACGCCCTTTTCTGGTGAATTTAGTTGACAGGTCAGTTGAACCCCTGATCTTTGTTCTTTTAGTGCACAATGCTCTACCAACTCAGCTAATGGGACAATGATTATTGAGTAAGGAGGGAAGGAAGCATTCGTACAAGATCGATAAACAACATAAGAGATATTAAACAGGCAAATTGAGACAATGCTCAATATCAAGGCGGAGATGCAAGCGGTTGGTGAGTTTGGCCATGTCAATAAATGGTTGGGTGAACTCGCATTAACAGTAGGGGCTGTTATCATTGCTCCAAGAGCTGCAGGTTGACAGAAACTATTTCTCATCTGGCGTGACCTCCCATGCCGCCTCCGATGCTGAGAAACATTCTTCAGATCAGTCCTAAGTAAGACTTGCTTAGACGCAGCTTCCTGGCTCTGAAACCCTGCTGAATATTCAGATTTATAAACTATCTAGGTCATGAAATTGGACTCATTACGTCACGAAGGGGAAGCATTCTTTTCCCCTTCAAAAGCAGTCGTCTCCCGTCAATGTGCTGAGTAAAACGGTAGCTAAAGGATCAAATCATCCTGGCAGAAATACGGAGATATTGGAGTTCGAACTCTGACACATGGCTCGCTCGAAATGCTCACGAACTCTTTTTGATTTGCTTCGAGTCGAAGCCTTGAAGCAAACAAATGAGTCAATACCGTATTTTCAAAAGCACAGCGTTTGTCACTCATCTGGATGGCTGCAACTAAGTCCAGTCTCTCTCTTGTGTTCCCATAATCTGAACAGTGCTCCAGCAAGATGTTTACAGATCCACCCATGACCGATACGTTGTCCTTCACGACATCGACGTTTTTGCGCTTGAGTCCACTGTGATATTTGACCTCCAGACTTCAAACAGTCTGTGTGGAAGACATTTCCCTAGCGCTTGATGCCGGCTTCGCCAACGTTGGTCGGAGTTGTAAAGACTCTCAGGAAAGTTTTCCATTTTCCTGGAAAGTTTGGACGCCTGCACTTCTGCCATATTAAGAATGTCATGTATTTTGTCGTTACGGTTTGCCCAGTTTGGTTGGACTCTTGCAAGCTTTTCCCTTGGACACCTCTGTTGGCAGTTGGTACGAGGGGAGCGTTTGGTTATCTTGTTTTGGGAAGACGGGAATGACGCCGACGAGAGATATTTTGCTGCAAATAACATGATTCAATGCGTGGGAAGGCCTTTACAGAAGGCCATTCACAATATCATTATGATCAACTGCTGAAGAGCCACTTGTAAGTAAGAGTGTTCCAAGAAACGAACGGACAATGCAGTGCATAAAATCTGCCGTGGTTGCTGGGCACTGCAGTGAATGGGGTAAAAGGGACAGATTTGGAAGGTGGAGCACAGTGTGCAGCTGTTGTATGTTGGACCGTGCACAATTTGGGCCAAAAAAGTTTACCCCTCCAAAAATTTTGCAGAGGCAACGACAGCAGGGTTTCTCTCATGTCAGTTGTTGATTTCAGTCTGCCAGTTGCCAGTACTCCCAACAATACCATTCCGTTAGGCTTCTCATTCGAACATTCCATTTGCTCGGCGATATCCAGCATCAGACATCCCTCAGTTTATTTAACCCAACCAAGTATATCTATAACCCTACTATCATCACCATCAACATGGCCCCCCAGTTGAACGAGGAGGAGATTGACGATCTCATCTATTTCGCCCGCGCGGGTGAGAAGGATGACTTGACCACCACGCTCACTGAACTTGCCGAGAGGGAGAAGGTTTCGGTCGCAGAGATTCTTGCAAGCGCAAAGGATGAGGGCAAGTCAACTTGCTTGCACATGGCGGCGGGCAACGGCCATTTGGGTATGTGATGAAGACCCTCCACTCATGCACATGTGAGAGTGTGGAATTTTCGAAACTAACATCATCGACCAGACATCGTCACCCTCATCCTCTCAGAGTTCACCTCCCGGCCAAAGGAGGAGAAGCAGGCGTACCTTGACGCCGCCAACGAGTACGGCAATACTGGTCTTCACTGGGCCGCTCTCGGCGGCCATCTCGACGTGATCAAGCTGCTTATGGCAGCTGGTGCGTCGCCGGCTCTGGCAAACGACAAGAACTATGTGCCCTTGGACCTGGCCAGCTTTGGCGAGAAGCACGACGTGGTGGATTACTTCCTCGAGCAGGCGGGTGGTCTTGAGGACAAGAACACAGCGGAAGGCCTCAAGGCCGCTGCTGAGGGTTTGAAGGTGGATGATGACGGAAATGTCGAGTTCAAGATGTCTGTTGGCGACACTTCCGAGGCTTCGGGTTCCGGGTCGGCGCAAAAATAGGAAATACGAAGAAGGACGGTTGTTGAGGAAACTTGAGGGTTCAGGTGTTGGATGATACCACATAAACACGATTCATGGCATTTGTTTTTCTGTCTTGTTAGGTGCATAAAATTGACGGGTATAAAACGGCAAAGGTATTATGGGCTTGGGATGACGAACCCAAGCGTTGAGATATCTCAGTGCTTACCATTTGATAAGACGGAATAGTAAGCGCAGAAAAAGCGCAGAAAGTCGTTTGGATCTCTCGGTCAAGATAGCTGGCGACCAAAGGGGGCACATGAGGCAAATACCGCATCATAGCATCAGTGTCCAGGTCTTACTGTGGCTGTATGGCTCACATATTTTCTGCTAGAGTGCGGCTCACATTGTTATGCAGTAGGTACGAAGGGGGCGACCGCCAACAGATTAATAAGAATTTGATAACTCACAAGGCTTTAGTCCGACATGAGAAGGATAGAGTTGGAGGTGTCGATATCAGTGGGTGTTTCGTCGTAACTACAGCTGTAGTAGAAATGATAAATAAAAAAAGAAAGAGTGTCAAAATACCTCTAAGACATTGTATGGTCTCGATTCGTTCAGCTTCCCACCTCCCAAATGAACCCCCACGCCCGGCCCAAGTGAAGTCAACCGCGGTGAGGAACGCCATTTGTGGGGCTTGCTATGGTAGTACAGTACCTCGCTGAACTTCTGAAGAGCAGGACAGCTGTTGAGGGCTGGAACAAAGTGGCCAAGCTGTGGTATTGGCTACAAGAAAAACTTAGTTTGAAGGTCCATTGCAAATAAACGAAAAGGACTAGTTTTTCATCAGTCCAGAGATACGTAAAGTGATGGGATTTTATCGGAATCAACCCTCAATCTCGAGAAGAGTAATTGCAATGAGAATGAAGAAGACTTCAGTTGACCACAGTCACCAGTGTGGGTACACAAACCCACTCTCCGCACAGCTGGATGTGGGCAAATGTGGGGTCAGTGACCCTGATCCCTGACCGTCAATTGGCCCCCGTCGTGGTCGCTTCTGGACGGTCCGGGGGAACCTCAAGTGTGGACAGCGTTGGGCAGGCTCAGCAGAGCAGGCACGAACAGAGAGTGGAGGTCGGGGTATCGCGATCGATACAGAGACGGCCAAGCGACCTCGAGGCGTTGCGGTGCTTCTTTCTTTCAGTTGGAACTGCCAGGTTCAGATATTTCCATCCTCAGTCCCTGCTGCCAGCCATCTCCTTCAGCGCGGCGGTTAGGTAGTTGTGTGGTGGATGTGCAGTGGTGCAATGAGACCTCCTCTTGCAGCGCAGCAGCAGTTGGATTCGGCACTCACTTAGTTTATACCCCACGCGGCCGACAATCCCCAATCCCGATGTGGAGGGCGAGTGAAAGATTCGTTCCCGTCCAAACAGCTCTCGAGTCCCGTCGTCGTCTCTTCCGTGTGTTCTCCTCCACCCTTTTCCACCGAGTCGTCCACTTTGTCCTCCGTTCCACAATCACACGCCCGTCTCCACCACGGAAGCCATACGACGTCCGATTTCCGTCATGACCAAGAGCAGCCGTCTCAATTGCTAGCAAACGACTTATGCATACAGTAATGAGCATGCATTCTTAGCTGTACTTCGCGATTGCGCATGTAGTGGGTGACACCTCACCTCGCCCAGCCAAACATGCCGGTTCAGCAACCACAACTCCCGCTCCCCGACGGCCCCGGCCCTCATGCCATGGGAACCGCCACCGGCACCGTCCTCCCTTCTTCTACCTCCGTCACCTCACCACCCCCCGGTCCGGCGTATAAGCGCGCAAGCCGCAAAGGCGCGACTAAGCGATTTGCCTGTAACTATGAGGACTGCAACAAGGTGTATTCCAGGGCAGAGCATCTCCAACGCCATCAGCTCAACCATGATCCCAAGGAGATATACCGATGCGATTTTTCCGGCTGCGAACAGCAATTCGTTCGTGCTGATCTCCTGTCACGCCATCGAAAACGGCATTCGGCCTCTTACGTTCCAAGAAACCGCGTACCTAGCTTCAGCACCCCTAAGGACCATCATGACCTGCCCACTCCAGGCCAATCAACCTCCTCTCAGGGCCAGACGCCCGCCTCGTCCACTTCTCACCAGGTAGCCATCGAGTCTCGCTCCATCTTCCAAGGTGCCCCCCATGATGCTGCCATCCTTCTCATTCCTGATTCCCGCTCGCAACAACCGCAATCGCAACACCAGGTTCTGCCGTCTCTGCAGCATCTCCAGTCCCACCATCAGCAGCATCAACAACAGGGGCACCATTCACACCATCAGGGCTCGTCAGCCATGGACCAGCATGCAAGCCCCCACTGGACATCTCCAACAAGCAACATATCTTCTGCCCATGCTCTTCCGCCAAAGAACGGGTTTTTCCAACAAAATGTAAACCACGGCCATTTAGCCGGCCAACAGCCGCCCCTTCTACCATATAACCCCAATGTTGACTTTCCCAGCGAGGACCTGGCCAGAGAGAACTTCGCCGTCTGGCTGTTCAACCCGCAAGACTATAACTGTGATCTCAGCGTCTCCCATCTCCCGTTTCTCGATGGTGGACTAGAGTCAGCATTGAACAACAACATTCATTACGATTATGACTCCATCACCAGCGGTCGCTCTCAGGTCGATAGTACCCCCACGCGGGTCACCGAGTCCGATAGCGATTTCATCACCGAGGCCCGGCTCCAGGAACTATCCAGCCTGTTCTTCGCATATAATGCGAAGCAGTTGAGATGCAGGCCCAATAGCCTGCGCATCACAGAGGTTGTTGACAAGAGTGGCTGTGGAACTATGCCGGTCCTAAATCTCGATATGACGCGCGACTGCTTACAAGAGTATTGGGACCATGTGTCGGCTCGCCTCCCCATTGTTCACCAACCCACCTTCTCTTACAATAAGTGCTCGGTGTACCTCCTCCTAGTCATGATTGCGCTAGGCGCTGCGTCGCTTCGCATGAGAAACTGTGGCGACTGCTACACCCACTACGACGTCGTTGCTGACATAATCGTCCTCGGTGTGCGGTTGGATATACTGGGCACGGAAGAAGCAATTCCGCCTATAGCACTATGGGTTGCGCAGGCGTTAGTCTTGCTCGAGTTCTACGAGAAGCTCTACTCGTCCAGACTCCTACACGAACGAGCCCAAACCTACCACCCAGTCACTCTCAACCTTCTACGTCGAGGAAGTCCACTCATCGGCCGCTCAGGTAGCGAATCGCCTCCGGAACCAACCGGCTCAGCAGATTATAACGGCAACAGCACTCAAAGTGTCACGAACCTGGACTCCCGGACTTGGTGGTCTCGATGGGCGCAAACAGAGTCAATGCATCGCGTTGTCTTTGCCGCATTCATGCTGGATATCACTCATGCAGCAATGTTTGGCCATAAAGCCGACATGGTGCCATATGAGATACAGCTACCACTACCATGCGATGATAATCTGTGGTCGGCTTCGAATCCCGACAATGTCCGCCAGCTCGATCAAAACCTCCGAATGTATGGCGTCAAGCCAGTATCGTTCCTCGAGGGGCTAAAACTCGCAATTCACGGCAAAGAAGTCATGACCCATTCATTTGGCCGCATGATCATCATGTCAGGTCTCCTCAGTGTCGGTTGGCATCTTCGACGCAAAGAAACACACAATCTGATGGATCTTACAAGGATTCCCAACAGCAAAAGTGATAGCTGGAAGATGACTCTGCTGAGCGCCTTTGATCAATGGAAGGCCTACTTCGACAAAGCTCAGGGGTCTCTAGGAGGGTCAAACATGGTTGATCCCATTGTACCCTATGCCGGTTCAAACGGCCCGATACAGAGTGCCGCAGTGCTCTATCATTTGGCACAGTTCAGTTTGTTTGCAGACATCTTGGACTGCCAGATCCTTGCCGGCGCAAAACGTCTCTTGGGCAAGAAAATATCAGATCAAGCCTACCTCAAAGTCGTGCCCAAAATGAAGGCCTGGGCAAGCATGCCAGGTACTCGTCATGCGATTCTTCATGCCTACAAGGTCCTCCATTGTATCCTTGTTGACCCACGCGGAAACAAGGGCGAGCAGAATTGGCAAAACAAAGGCCACGGGCTTCCACCGATGACTATGCAACCATACTCTTGCCGTAACGAGCCTGATCCGCACCGGCCATGGATCATGTATTACGCTGCCCTAAGCATCTGGGCCTTTGTCCGTGCGTCTACACTTACTAGTGCTGCGCCCGTCTCGAGTATTACTTCTCGCTCCAGGAAACCCGAGCAAGTCAACTTCAATCGCGTTGCCGCTTATCTCTCCAAAGTCGCAGCTCTGTCCGAGTTGCCGGAATCCGCCGCAGCTGGCCTCAAGGATGGGTTGCCTGAATTGCTTGACGTCCTGTGCTCAGTCCTCTACGAAGCCAACTCGGAACTTCTCAGAGAAGCATGTGAGCGGCTCACATGCTGCAAAGATATTCTTACCTCAGAGCAGTGATGGTGTTATACAAAGGGGCAAACATTTACTGCACTTAAGTGGAACGGGGCACATGGCACATTCGGAAGACAGTGTATGTATGCTTCATTTCTATAATGTGATTGGCGGTAAACCGAAGCAGTGATCTAACCATCTATGAAGTTTAGAATCTTTCGACACACCAATGTGCATATAGGAGAGCTCAGTTGCACCAGCTAGCTGGTTACTGAAAATCCCTCGTGAATCCATGCCGGATAACCATCGACTGCGTTTGGCCGTGTCCATATCAATCACAGCTTGAAGTATCCCCTCCACAGCTTCCGCAAAATGCCCTCAGGATCCCACTTCATTGCGACTTGCTTGAGTTTGGCGTGATTGTCCGCTCCATAACTCTCGAACACGCTTTGTCTGTTACCGGCGTAGTTGGCGTAGACAAAGCCATGACTCAAGCCCCTGCTCTTAGCAAGGTCGTTGATTTTACCAATCACTTCCTCGGAGCTCCTCTCCATCAAGTCGTCAAGCGCGCTATCTGCCCACTGTGCCGCCACCTGGATCAGCATCAGGGGGCCATCGCTCTGCTTCAAACCCAGCGCATTGCCGCCGTTTATCTCCATAGCCTCCAGCACGTTGAGTGGGATAGCTTGGTACGCCAAGTAGGGAGTCACCGCAGTGCCATTTGCGACCGCTACAAGTTTCTCGACATGGTCCTGCCAGAGAGGCACGATTTCGATGAGAAGGGAAGGATCAGTAGCTTTGATTGTCGTATCCCACCATGTCTGGCGGGAACCGTACGGAACGTCAATCGCACGAGATATGGTCGACACGTTGTCGATGGATTTTGACTTCGTGATGGTTGGCAGGGACTCAAAAGGCACGAATACTTCAGGGACAGTGTCATGGGCACTGTCCGCTGTGTTCGGCAAGTCTGCGTGGAACAGGTCGCTAATTACAGCGTAACCACCCAGCATATCCATATGCGTCAAGACCATATAGCTGTGGGCCTTGTTGTCGATCGGCATGCCGTTGACAGTCAGATTCTGATACGCGGCAATAGCGGAGGCGTTGGCTGCGCCAGGGATTATGAGACTGCTGTGCCATATGTTGCCGCCTGGTTGCTCGTACGCTCCCATATCGAATCTGGTTACGATTCCAAAACTGGAGCCGCCCCCGCCGCGCAACGCCCAAAACAGATCCTCATTCTCAGTGGGAGAAGCATTGACGATGAGTCCGGAAGCGAGAACGACCTCGTAATTGCGCACGTTGTCGCATGCCCAACCGTACATTCCAGAAAAGAACGATATACCTCCACCGAGAATCAGACCGCTGACCCCCACGTCAGCCACACGGCCACCCGCAACGACAAGCCCCAGCGTATCGAGGGCCTCGGAAACGTTGATCCATCTGTTTCCAGCGCCAATCGACACCGTTTTACGATCCGATGACACGTTGAGGGTGGTGAGATACATCAGGTCGACGGTGACGCCGCCATCAGAGTTGGAACCGCCTGCGAAAGCAGTGTGACCGCCACCCTTGACGGAGAACTGAGTGTTCAGTGAGGCAAGTACCTTCATGGTCGCCGCAACTTCGAGCGTATTCTCAGGCGCCACGAAGCAGGCGGGTGCGATGTTGTCGGTCTGCCGGTTGGACCAGTAGTGGTTCTCTCGGGCATATGTGGGTGAGTCGGGATAGTTAACGCGCCCATGAGGGAGAGCAAGATCGATGGCTCTGCACTGGGTGAGGATAATGTCAGTATGGATTCAGATTGCAATAAGATGTTGGGGTCTTACTGCTACGTCGGATGACGGAGACAACAGAGTGCAGCACCCTGCGGTCGCAAGGGAAAGGGCACCAAGCAAAATCTTGCTAAAGCTTGAGAACAGCATGTTGAGGGTTGGGGGTGGTGGTTCTCAGCCTTCCATGAGTGGATGAGAGAATGAAAGATAGTAGTAACTACGCAGGTCGAGGGCTGGGGTTTTTGTAGCTGGAAATAACGTTCCACGAGGGAAGGAATCTCTCCCCATCTGCATACTTGCTTCCATCCAAGTTTGAATCATGCAGTTTGATAGCATTCATGGCGGATATGGGATGGAAAGCTTGCCGAAACCGGCAGACATGTGTGAGAATCAGGAGTGGGCACCGGGAGGTCTAGGGGCAGCCATCAAGACTTATGTCCAGAATTTCTTACCATCACCTTCAACACTCCGATTTACTCCCCGTTCACCGACCCGACTAGCTCCTACCCTTGCATGTTCCAAATTCGGGGCGATTCCTCTCCCCCTCGCCCGTTTCTTGTCATCACTCCATCCCAAAAATCCATGGGTCTCGCACTAGGCTGACGCCATTCAAGAAGATACCGATCAAACCCGCAAGCGCACAAGTCAGATCACTGCCCAATTACCTACATTTGTTGTCGGTTTTAGCTATCAAGAGGCGAAGAAGCTAGCGTCTAATATCCCAAATGGTCGGGTCCATTGGCATTAAACGGCGCAGGTGTCAAAGCTGGCTGTCAATGCTGTGCACTACGCAAGCTGGTGGGGTTAGCCAGGGCTGTTCCACGAATCAATCTTTTACATGCGACCTAAAACACAGGTGAAGATGCGGGACTAACTGTACTATCGGGAGTCACTATCAAAATATCCATTGTTCGAAATAGGAATGTCGATGAAACTCCAGGACCATGAACTACTACCTTGTTGTTGCGCTCGGATAAGAGACCGGAGAAGTGACGGTGTTACGTTCCCCTCATACCATTATCACCAAGTGCCATTGAGGGTTCAATAGTGTCATGATGAAACACATTTCTCTGCAAGTAGCCTTCCAAGGATTGTAATTTGTTGGACACGACACATATCACTACGATCCTTGTTATACGAACAACGTGGAAGCTAAGTTAGTAAACACTTGAAGCCGTGTCCCGGCCGGGAGTCCGAGATGCCCGGTGATAGATCCACCACTTAAGGTCGGGGACGGTGTGTTTCCCGAGGAGGAAGTGAATGAACTACATAGAGAAATGGAGCTAACTACTGTAATGGGTACGTACCTGTATATGATAGACATACATAAACACACCGTGCACTTTTCCGCCACTTATACAACGCTCTTCCTCTGTACCCTTCAATCTCCAACCAATGCCAAAACCCGGCGCAAGAGCCGAGGAACCGTTGTGGTGGCTCGTCCCAGACGAAATATATTGATGAGACCAACCACCAACAGGTTGGGGAAACCAATTCGCTACCGCTCGTCAGGGAGGGAAGGAAAAAAAGGAAAAAAAAAAATTGAAAAAAAATTGCCTCGTTGCGAGACAGTCATAGGGATTAAACGACGATTCCAAAAGACATCTTCCAGAGTCCCATCTGGATATTTCTTTTCAGGAATTTCCTAGAACTCAAGATCAGAGGTGTTACCAAGACGCTTGGATGCGTACCTAGTAGGAGTCTGCCCAAGGTATAATTTGAAGGTCTCAACTATTTTTTCGAGAATGAGGGTAGGTTTTGGGTTTCTGATGATTGCACCAGCACGACACCTTGCATACACAGTGCGACCAGCTAGAATACTTGCTCGGGGACAGCAGCACGTGGAAGAGAGAGAGGGTGACTGAATGATGGGAAGTGTCTCTTCCGACTTCTGCCGGACTGTCAGCTGTATTTGCACTTGACCGCTTGCTACATAGTTATCTCGACTGTTCGGATATCGAGCTATCCGGTGGGAAATTCCATTGGAAGAAAGAGTTCAATTGAAACTATGTATTGAAGTTAATTGGGTTTCCGAGACTCGTCGCAACCAAAGTAGAGTTGCCCGTTAGGTCAGGTCCCCATCTAGGTAGGCTTGGCAGCTGTCGATGCATCATCACCTTCAACAGTTTCCATATTACACTAAAATGGTTGAATTAACAAGGTCCAAACTCCTCACGCTCAGCTTCGCTCCCGAGAACGGCATGATAAGGTAATCCCAAAGGATATAACGAATCTGCGTCATATCTGTACGGTTGAACCGCGGGTAAGCGACGAAGTCGTCCTGTCCGCTGCCCCTAAGACTACCTCTATGGACCTCGCCGGTTTCGATGTAGATAGGTAAGGATCACACTGTTGGGATACTACGAACATTTGGCGTGCATCCAATTGTTCAGCCCCCCCTTCTCGAATACCTATCTTACAAGCACACCATCCACCAACACTTCCTGATATAAAGCACGGTACACATCAAATCGACACTTGATGGACTATGACAGAAACCACCAGCTGCCGAGTTTCACGACCATTGCGTGCAATAATGGTTATCATATCTCCAATAATCCTTTAAGGCCTTCAAGTTCAAGACTGGAGGATAGGCCTTTGTGAGAGGTGGGACAAGGGGGCGGTTGTCCCAAGAAGAAGTTATTGGTAAAGTACCATTTATAAAGACGCGGCACCAGGGACCAAGGCAATCATCACGGTTACGTTTTCGGCTGGCGCAAAGAGTCAGGTGGAGGTCGTCCAGTGGGATCTAATGGTGCCGGCACAAACGGGTTCGTTGGCGAGCGCGGTGCTGTCGGGTGATGTGCGGATTCCGGTGGTCTGTAAGGGGTTCAATCGGGTGGTGGCAGTGAAGATAATCAAGGCGGATGCTTCATATTTGTTCGATGACTGGACGATGTGGTTGTCTCAGCTGCAAAAAAAGCCGCGGTGTAAGTCTTTTCCGTTTTTCCTTCTCTCTTTCTCATTCCCATTCTCTATTCCTTTCCTTTGTTGCCTGGAGATTTGTATGATTGCTCTAAAAGCAAAGATAAAAGAGATATGGAGACCAGTGGGATTTTGATTTTGACAGGCTCATCATTCGTAGGCAGACGTTGATAGCGGTGATTATCTGCGTGCGGCAGGGAACGGGAAAAACTTGAATTATACTCTGATAATTTGATCAGAGGTATTGTGGGTATCATTGGTGTTTTTGTTAGTGTTAAGGGGGCCTGAACGCGTAATACTCATGGCGAGGTTGGAAGTTGCGCAACCACTTCTTTCTTCTTCCCCCAACTAAAAGGTCGTAATTTGGCTTTCCTTTCCTGCATCACAACCTCCTCATGTGCTTCTGGTTCTCGCTCTACATTTCCCCCAAAGGCAGGGCTGATGCTCCGCCGAATTTCCTTCACCTTTAGGAATTTTGGGGTCTGCCAGTCCTTGTTGGCCAGTTTCTTCCGCCATGAAATCTCGCTGAACTCTGCGAGTAACTTGTCTCTCATATCCTTAGCAGTGTTGATATCTGTTCCCAATTTGATGCCTAGCTCAAGGAGGAGGTGAGAGGCGAAAATTTGGCAGTTGTTATCGATCAAGCCATACCTTGGCTTCATCTGCTTTATTGCCTTGTTACCTAAGTGGGTGTGAGCAGGAATTGTCACTTATGGTGATTTATTCCGAGGATATACTGGGGCCACTTGTTCGGACTTACTGGCTGCTAATACTGCTTGATCATTCCACCTCGTCTCTCCAACTTGTAGCTTGTTCGTCCACTTCTGTGACCCGACCAAGCCATGCTGGTTTACCACTGTAAAGTCTTTCTCCTGTTTTGATGCGTCAGTATCTGTTCTTTCTGGTTTCTGGTCTGGCCATTCATTCAGCTATCCTTCGAAATTCCCATCACACCATACATACCATCCACAGCTCATGATAATAATCCGTATCCCGATCCCCCACCAATACAGCCCAGTGATTTGTCGGATCTGGAAACTCGCCCATTTCCTTGGTGATAGCTTGCCCCAGTCGCGTATGCTCGGCAAATAACACTCCCAGGTTGTCCGCCACGGGATGCCAAGCGATGAAGACTGGTCGCTTTTTGCAGTGGTGGTGTTCTCGGCCGGGCGGGATGATGGATGGTAATGCGCCCAAGCCGATGATGTCGGCGAGGGCGTACTGCACTTTTAACAACAGCTCATGGCGATGGGTCGCTTCTGACTTCGTTTCGGACGGCGCGACGGAGTGTAAGTCGGAGTCACTGCCGCCCCTGGAAAATAGGTCTCTCATATGCATCTCTCAGACTGATCTTGTTGTTGACGTTGTCGTTGCCACTGTCGTCCTTGTTGTTGCGTGGGTGCAGTGACGTATCGTTTGTGAGCAAGCCCTGGGTAGCTTCCATACCCTTCTCACAGCGTCTTCGAGATGGGGATATATCGTTTTCCGCCAGGAACGTTTGGCAAGATTGGCAACGCCAAGCCACGCTGTTTGAATGATGTGTGTTGACGGGAAAGGTCGATCCTTTATACCCTTGAGGTTCTTACTCTTAGTTTCCGAAATGTCCCACACGCTCACAGCTGAAAGAAAGCAAATCAGGAAGTGTGGAACAATTCCCACTAGATCCGCGGAAGTTGCGGCACCAGGGGCAGTCCAAGATTCGGCTCGCGGGAATGGATCACTGATCGTTGTGTCCCGGGGGCGGTAATCGGGGAATACACTGCAGTATGTATACTCCGAAGTGCGGCGATGCACGGTCGACACAATGTGGCGTATGCAAAATTACCCAGGCGTGACGCGCGTAGTTTTGTGGCGCAGTTCACGAAGCCAGCCGATCATTTTCAAGATCAAAAACATCTTTAACATGGTCATCTCATCGCCCATTATGATGTTGTTGCTCTGCCATGTTTGTCGGCATGGCAGGTGTTGAGCAGGACTTTTTGGCGCAAAGGGTTGGACAATTCAGGGGCAAGATGGGTTAACTGTCTAGTGCCTTTCGGGGGATGGCAAGAAAGCCCAGCCCAGTGGAGGTCCACAGCGGCGTGGATGATGACTTACATGAGTGATTCACCAGTTGTTGTTACCGAAGCGAAGTCTCTGATGAGATCTGGAAGTGAAATGGAATGGAAGAAACGGCAAAACATCCAGGGCAGTTCCTGTAGCGTAAAGGTAGAGGTAGTGTAGCGTAGAGGTACCTAAGATGGCCCCCCCCTTTGTCCGCCATGTCCGCCCCGGGATTTGGTGGAAAGATAGGATCCTGGGCGCCCAGACCACCGCCCCAGGCACTGCAGATCGTTGACGTCACATGTTGACTTACACGACTTCGGACCTCCTTTCGATAACAAACTCCTATTTCGACATCGACTAAAGAACGACACGCAATTGACACAAACAATCTCGAGTGTTTCGGTCAAAGAATTATCCTAAGCCGAGTTCTACACCAGAAGCCAACTTCGATTTCCTGCGCAAGCCAGTTGAGAATACTTCGCCTGCCTACAGCGCCGAGTTTTACACGAAATCCTCTCCTCCAGACATTCATCACGAGCATCCACATGAAGGGCCGTTGCGTCTGCGAGAATTTGCAGTACTCGCTAGAACTTGAATCCCTGGACGATGCGAGAACCACACTTTGCCATTGCAACAGCTGCAAGAGGGCGTTTGGAACCAACTATGGTCTCACAACCAAGGTCCCCCTCCAGGGTTTCAAGTACGAGGCTGGAACCCCCAAAAAGTTCAAGCAGCACAATGGTGTGACAAGGGAGTTTTGCGATAACTGTGGCGCTTACATCTGTGAATACGGGGTAATATTGGTCTTCACAATACATCACCTGGAAACCCATTTCTCACCATGCTTTCACAGGAAGAAGCAGCGGACAAGTTCCGGTACATCATGTGGGGGTCCTTTGATGAGCCAGAAAAGGTACCTCCCAAGGGCGAGTTCTTCTGCAAGAACAAGCCCAAGTGGATGCCCGATATCCCAGGTATGGTTCAAGGAGTGAATCCTCAAGTAAATCAAGTGTAGAGTCTAACCGAATTACAGGCACCTTCCGGAAGCAGGAGATCAAGGAGTAACGGCATGCATGACGAAAAAGAACACCGAGATGAGCTCATGAATAATCATGTCTTCGCATTATACCACGGTGAATGTCTCATGATCCCCTTCTCGTGTTCAAGTTGATGCGGATCGACGATAATCGCAGCTCTTCCCTGGAGCTTGCCGCTTGAAACCACCTTCTCCAACTCCTCGACCTGATCTAACCCATAGAACGGAGTCATCTTTACCTTGACTGCATGTTCGGCGACAAAGTGCAAAAGCTCCTCGCTCTCCTCCGCTGAGCACTGCAAGCTTCCCTTGATTCTTACGTCTCTCAATATCAGCTCCATAAACGGAATTTTTACCTCCAGAGGCTGAGCAACCTGTACCATCAACCCATGCATCTTCGTAATTGCACACGCCAGTCCAGCCGCATCGTCCGCGTCAGACAGATTGACAGTAGCATCAACACCTCCCGTGGCAAACAACCCGTTATGGTCAACCTCCTTCCCATCATCCCCCAGCACCGCCTTGCCCACCTCTTCAACAACCTCATCCTTCCCCTTCCTCGCATCGACAACCACATCCGCCCCCATCTCCCTCGTCAACTCCAGACCCTCATCCCTCGCCTCAATACCAACCACCTTCAACCCCATCTTCGTCGCAAATTGCACCGCCAAGTGTCCCAACCCTCCTCCTGACCCGACAATCCCCAACCACTGCCCCGGCTTCAAGCCCGTCTCCATGACCGCCCTCCACGCCGTCCTACCCGCACACCCCAGTGGCGCCGCCGCCAACAAGGAGACACCCTCCGGGATGACCGTGCTCGTTCGGCTGTCCACAACGGCGTACTCGGCAAACACCCCGTCGACCTGGATCCCGATGTGCCCATCGATATGTGCACAATAATGCCTGTAATGCCCCCCTCTTTTCTCCCTCTCGATACCTGTAGTACCAGTAGCCGTGCAATCCCCACAAGCCCCACAAAGACCGAGCGGAATACCACACATGACGCGGTCCCCCGATTTGAACGAGCCATCAGCAGCGACGGAGGAGCCGACGGCTACCACGGTGCCCGATCCTTCGTGAGAGCCGGTCAAAGGGAGTGAGATACTGGGCACGGCGCCCAGGCGAATAATGGTGTCAGTGTGGCAGTGGGAGGCGACGGCGACTTTCACTAGGAGGTCATGAGGGCGGAGGGCGGAGGGGGAGGGAACGGGGATCGTGGTTAGAGTGTAGGGAGCGCCGAAGGAGGTGATGCGGAGGGCTTGCATGGTGGCGGGGAGGGAGAGGGTTGGTTCGGTCATGGTGGGTTTGGATGCAATGGTGAGAACGAAATTTTGTTTTGTTTGATGGTTGGAAGGATGAAGAGTCTTGTTTTTGGCAATAGTGTCTAGAAGGGGTTAGTAAAAGGTGGGGGGAGGTTTGGAATGAGGCCCGGGAGTGCCTAATCCTGTGTAATCCTTGGCCCCGCTTGACACGTTGTCACTCGGCTGCTTCTCCGCAGTAGATGGCGTGATGAGTTGTGGTTGGTAGAAAATTGACCGAAGGGGCCGTCATCAATTGACGACTACCTTTGGCCCAGATTCCTATAAAGATAACTGATGTATCACAAGAACCTCAAGATTGGGTTGGTGCAGTTCCGCAGCCATGGTGAGTGAGATGGCTGACCGCACTTTGCGGAACAAACTGATTACCTAACTTGGCCCTAATTTCATCAGCCAATACCGGGTTTCCAATCCAAGTGCCAAATACGACCTTGTCTGAGACGCCATTATTCCACACGTGGAATTCCAAGACAGACATACACAGAAGTGACGGGACATTTTGGGAATGTTTCAGGTGAGCTACCTTTGTTCAGCGTTCCTTTGTCTCAGCTCTTGCTGAAAAGAGATTGCATGGGAGAGCTCTAGAGAGCCCAGAGGTCTTATGTTAGAACAAAGAGGGTATGTACAGTAGCACGGCTCTCCATGGGGCTCAATTGTGTCCACCAGGAATTTCTCGCTTATCAGCATGGAGATGAACGACAAAGTCCTGCTCCATTCATAGCTTTACATTTAAACCACGAGACACGAGCTGACCATTCCGAACTTCTACAGAAGACGTTCGAGCGATACTTTTCTTCAACGGCATCTTCAATCACTTCTTCTTCTTCTTCCGATCCTTCTATTCAACACATTGCAGCAACTTGCCGGTCAAGTTCGCAAGCTTTCAACAATTCTACACTATTGTAATAACTTTCAATACCACATCTTTCCGACCGATTACTCCACGATCGCTTCCCCCCTCAAAGACAGATAAACCATCTTTAGCAATCGCCGCAAACCTCAGCTCTCTCTCCTGCTCGCCCTCATCCGATTGTCCCCACAAAGTATCCATCAAGCCACAGAAAACAAAACTTCCCCAAAAAAAAAAAAAAAAATGAAACTCAAACGCAAAGCCGACAGCGTCAGCACTTCTTCCGATTCCGACTCCTCCTCCCCGCCTCTTCCTCGCCTGCAATTCCCCAGCTCAACAACAGAGAGCACTTCTTCACCACCCAAGAAGATCAAGATAATAATCAGGCCGAAAGAGGAGGTCAAAGAATTGCCTTTTCAGGAACAAGGTCGCGTCCAGCCCAACTTTTCGAAAGTGGATTGGACCGGACCCTGTCAGGGCGGCACTAGGGACATGGGGTTGGGATGCTGCAGGATGGGTTTGGAGGAGATATCACCGAGGAGTATGACTTTTTGCCAGACTGGCTGAAGTTTAAGAGGGGGCGAGGGGGATGTGTGTTCTTGCGGTGTGGCGTATTTTTCAGGATTGAATACTACCGAAAAATGAGAGAATGGGACCGCCAATTGCGGTTTGCATAATAATGAAGTTTGGCTGGCAGGCTGAGGAGAGGGAGACTTTATGAGAGGTAGTATGGAAGGAAAGGGCGAAGAAGCAAATGATGAACACGGGATGCAAGCATCCACCATTTTACTAACATGCAAAAATGAATGGAACACCCCATGATAATTATCTTTTCCATATTCCCAACCATGCATGCATTAATGTTACAGTTACCACCACCCACCTTCGGAAATTGCACAAGCAGTTAATTCAATACGCATCGAGAGATGCCACCGAGCAAAAAATGACGAGCCGAGAGACGAAGGGCAAAAAAGCAAAAGAAAAACTTTGTTGACAAGAGTGGGATTCGAACCCACGCCCTTTCGGACTGCGATACTCAGAAGAACCTGAACACAGCGCCTTAGACCGCTCGGCCATCTTGCCGTTGTTGTTGTTGAGGAACTTCAGTGAGAGTGGCCATTATATAGATAATTGCTAGGATAATGACAACAATGTAACGTTTGCGGCTCGGATTCAATTTGAAGAGATGCTCTTTGTGCGCATCAGCTTGGAAACTGGCAAGGCGACAAAGTTGGACTCGCCTTGGACAAACACGAGCATTCATATGGGCTGCCTAGTACGGCTTTCAGAGAACTCAAGGCTCGCCATTGCCAGCGGTCACTGCACACCACCTGGTGTGTACCATCTCGATATCTTGCCGGATCTAACAGTCCTGTGGCCACTGTTCAAATTCAAATATAAATATGAGGGAGCAAAGTGAACGCTCCCCCCCCACTGATCATCTCACCCCACGGCGGGCCAACGGCTTACAACCCACCAGGGCTCATGGTGAGGACGCAGGATCTCACAAGCCGAGGGTATATATTTTGCTTCTCCAACTATACCGACTCATCTGCGCATGGAAAGGCGTACCGCGAGGCACTGCATGGAGAGTTCGGTATAGTCGACCGTGACGATGTTAGTGAAAAGGTTCGATATCTTGCGAAGTTCGGACGGATTGATTGTTTTCGCGTCGGTATCGCAAACGCCAGCTCCGGCGGCTACTGTGGTTTTACAATGCTTGACCCGACGTCCGGACGTGTTTGCTGGAAAAATCAGTATGTGTGGTGTCAGCGACCTTAAAACACTGGACGAAGAAACACATCAGCTGGGGCTACATAACCTGCAGCCGACACTCCTGGCACTCGATGGCAAAACCAACGAGGAAAAGATGGAGCTATTTGGGAGCGCAATCCCTTGTATCATGCCCGACGCATCGCTTCTCCATGGCTACTAGTACTGATTCGTGGGGATGCCGACCCGGTCGTGCCTATTGCGCAGGGCGAGGATATCAGACAGGAAGTCGGAAGAAACAGTGATGTTAAGATGGTCGTCCACAACGGCAAAGGACGCATGTTCAAGCACGGTGATAATGTGAAGAAAGCAGTTCCGGAGGGCGAGGAATGGTGAGAGCAAAACGTTGCTGGGAATTGAAAGCCGAAGGAAATCGGGACTCGGAGAGAGATGGACGGGCTGTGTGAAGCTTCGCACAGAGCCATGGTTAATTGTTAGTGCACATAGTACAGCGCGTCTTGGCCCGTTAGCTAAGGTCTTCGAGAATGGGTTTTTGTAAACTTTGAGCATAATTGTCTGCAAAGAAAGATGCTATGTTCAGTTCCTTGGTGAGCTAAATGTCTTGTCTGTAGCTGCCCATCATATATCGCCCTTTTTTTTTGTGATCAAACCCCTCAAAGTCATGATCTTCTGCGTTAGCAGTGTTTTCATCAAGAGTACCTACTCCGCATCTGAACCCTGTGATCACCAGTGCAGTGCCAGTGAGCTTCGACTGTGGGGCAAATGCATGTGATTTACAGAACCTGAACCCCAACCTTCACGGTGATCCATGTCTTCTTTCCCCCAACATGGAACCATTTCAGTCTATTCCCGTACTTTGCAGAAACCATGACAGCAAGTATATGGTCGCAATGAGGAGCAGGTACTTCAGTTTGACTTGAAATCAGCAATAACTTAGAGTTGTTCATCTCCACAACTTCGTTTTCTGGACAACACCACCGGCTACATTCGGCACAGCCCCGGGCATCCAGCACTACATACATACTTCATTTGCAACAGTGTTGAAAATCAACATTTCTTGACCTTACTTGCTCTTCCACGACAAATCAACAGAGACTCTACAGCACTGTACCAGCGACATATTGATAAGACACTTGCGAGATTGTATGGCTGTACACATCTCTTGGGGATTACAAATGACCATAAGAACGAATGGTATGAAAGTAAAAAGAAGAATAGATACCATCTTGGTGGTGACAGCGATGTTAGGTATAGTTTTAGTAGTCGGGTCCGGCTGCAGTCCATGTTATTTTGTCCTGGACGAGCTTGGCTAGGTCCGAGTCTCCAACCCATGGCAAGGTTAAGGTAAGCTTTTCTCACTGAAGGATCCACTCTCCAGCAACTTAACCCCAGACAAACTTCCCCAGAATCCCCACGGGGAACTTTGGAAGATCCTCCAAATCCTATGCTTGCTTCCATTTCAGGCGATATGCAGGGTCCGCTTTCACACCGGACACAAAACCCCAACACGGCATCCCGAGGACGGCGATGAGGTCTCAAGCGGTTTAGTTGCAGTCACTGACTGTGGGGTAAGGCTGTTGGACTCCCAAGAAAGGTTGTCCAGCCGTCGATCAGTCAGACCTGTCACGGTACTGCACGGCTACCACAGGACATGCGCACCATTCAGGACGAGAACCGGTCTCGAGGGTGATGTCGTCATTGGTCTCACTGCTCCGTCCCCCGGATCCAACTGCTCTCCACGCATTCGTCGAGCCCGTCGAACCCCATGAGACTCCCGTCCAAGCTGGCCAAACGCACCTCGCTCATCGGGAAAAGAGGGTCCGGGGAAGTGAGGGGCCTGCGTTCTGCACAGTGGACGAACTGAAGAGACCAATCTTGGCTTCCTTTTCCGGTGTCGACGATACCACTGTGGTGAAGAACTGGAAACCAAAGATGAGAGAGGTTGGTCAAAGACCTTGTTTACCATCCATGTTACCCTGTCACGCTCGTCTCCTCGTGCCATGCTGCCATGAAGTCCCGAGGGAGATGTGTTCCTGCTTCTTGATTACTTTTGGGTATTACCAAAGATGATCTTCTCAAGTCAGGAAAGTGATCAACGACGTGCTGCCTCTATATATGATCTCGGCATGCCCTTCCACATATGCTTCTGATCGTTCTGTTGTGTTCTCACATACCTCTCGAAATAAAACAAGCTTTACATCGAGCAGTATCGCCATGAAGCCATTTCTGGGGCTCAGAGGCCAGCCCCTCAACCTGGCCGTGGGCGCAATTGCCGGATGTGATTTTCTTCTTTTCGGATACGGTATGTGATGAAGAAACAATGATGAGTCAAATATGGCCAAAAGAACATGTTTCTAATAATCAATGACAACAGATCAAGGTGTTATGGGCGGAATCCTGACTCTCCCCGAGTTCCTCGGTTACTTTGAACAAATCAATCCAGACGCACCGGGCCTCACACCACACGAATCTTCTATGCGATCTACTTACCAAGGCATCTCCGTCGCTTCCTACAACCTGGGATGTTTTATCGGCGCCATCATCACTATCTTCATTGGCAATCCCTTGGGCCGTAAGAAGATCATTCTGCTCGGAACTTCTATCATGATTGTCGGTGCCATTCTTCAGGCCAGCGCTACTACTCTAGGCCATTTCATCATTGGGCGTATCATTACCGGCATTGGCAATGGAGGAAACACATCTACTGTGCGTTATAACTCTACCTTTCGGTAAACTTTCAGGTCAAGCTCTGACCAGCCGCAGGTCCCTACTTGGCAATCCGAGACTTCGAAAGCACACAAGCGAGGCAAGATGGTCATGATCGAAGGATCTCTCGTCACCGCCGGCATCATGTTGAGCTACTGGATTGATCTCGGGTTAAGTTTTGCCCCTGGCTCAGTTGCTTGGCGCTTCCCTCTGGCCTTCCAGATTGTCTTCTGCATCGTCATCCTCATCTTCATTCCCTTCCTGCCCGAATCACCTCGCTGGTTGGTTTTCAAGGGCCGCGACGCGGAAGCCAAGGAAATCCTGGCCGCCCTCAACGACGTAGAACTTGACGACCCCATTGTCGACACCGAGTTCCATTTCATCCACGATACGGTTGTCGAGATGTCCAAAGGCAGCTTCAAGGACCTCTTCACCATGGACAAGGACCGCAACTTCCACCGCACACTGCTGGCATACCTCAACCAGGTTTTCCAGCAGATCTCTGGTATAAACCTCATCACCTACTATGCCGCCGTCATTTACAGCGGACTTGGCATGTCCGACTTCTTGGCCCGTCTCCTCGCCGCCCTCAACGGCACCGAGTATTTCATCGCCTCGTGGCCAGCCGTCTTCCTTGTCGAGCGCGTTGGCCGCCGCAAGCTCATGTTGTTTGGCGCCATCGGCCAAGCGGCCACCATGGCCATCCTGGCAGGCGTCAACTCCCGGCCAGACGACAAGCCGTACCAAATTGCGGGAATCGTCTTCCTGTTCGTCTTCAACACGGTTTTCGCGGTCGGCTGGCTCGGCATGTCCTGGCTCTACCCGGCCGAGATCGTGCCGCTCCGCATCCGCGCCCCGGCTAACGCGCTATCCACGTCGGCGAACTGGATCTTCAACTTTATGGTTGTCATGATCACTCCGGTCGCGTTCAACAAGATCAAGTACCAGACGTACATCATCTTCGCCGTCATCAACGCCTTTATTGTTCCAGTCGTCTATTTCTTCTATCCGGAAACGGCGTGCCGGTCACTAGAGGAAATGGATATGATCTTCCACAAGGTTGATGGGTGGAAGGGATACTTCACGGTAGTGCACCAGGCCAAGGTTGAGCCCAAATGGTACGACAAGGATGGCCAACGCATTGGCGGGGCTGACTTTGAGAAGACTGCTGGGTACCAGAGCCACTCGATCCCATTGTCGTCTGGATCTGAAAAGCCGACGAAGGCGCATGTTGAGTCGCCTGCGGCAGATGATGGGATCACTTCGTCGAGCAGTGATGGAGGTATTCGGGACTTGTAGTACAATCTAGTGCTGGTTTGTTTCTTGGCTCGGTAGGTACCTATCTACTCCAAGCATATCGGACGGTGTGCCTTTCGAGCTAGCGACCAAACCACTATTGGATTGTAAGTGTTAGTGACAAGCAAGAAGAAGAAATTATCAAGTACGAGTTCCTGATCAGTATCTTTGTCTTCTTCTTTTACTACGATATGTTTCTCGGTGATTGTTACAGACTTCGAAGATTTCTTCGACAAGTAACCCTGTTTATGTTCCACAGTTCCCCAGGATTGCTCCCGAGTGATCCACCACTCCGACTTGCCTACCACCAACTGGATGGTCTACGGAAACAACGCTTCGGAAGCCAGTATCACCGACGGCAATGACACCATACACTGGTACTTCCTCTCGGTCGTCGAAGCCTGAAAGCCCACCTCCTCGAAGATTTCCGCCTTTATCATCCTCCGCCTTTATCACCTCGGCGACAGCATCACCGACGAAGCAAACAGCCACGGGTCCGACTTCTTGCGGGTACGCATGCCAAAGGCTGGAATCAACTATATCGGCGTTGATAACTAAGCCGCGGGCGGTAACTCCGTGCTCAGCGGGAGGCGTGGGCCTACACTTTTGAGCAGGTACAAGCGCGACGCTTTACAGAAGCAAGAGATGGAACACATCAGTATCTTCGAAGGGGTCAACGACAGGCGGCAGCGGGACGGATAGTGGAGTCAAAATGGGGTTGGGAATCGGCTGATTGTCGACGCATACAAGCAGATCACAATGGCCGGAGTAGAAAGGGCGCGGATTAAGGTATATGAGAGGCACGATCACGCCGTTTGAAGGAAATGGGCAGAGTTATATTGGTCTGACCAGGGAGCAGACGGGAAATACTTGAGGTTGATGAGTGGATTTCGAATTGTGTGGATATCATTCGGGTGCGGTGGTGGACTTTGGAAAGATCCGAGTCCTTGGGGATCCGAGTGTGAAGAGTCACTTGGCGACACAGTTGAATGGAGGGGATCATTAGTTTTGTTGCATCCGAATGTGGCGGGGTATCAAATCATGGCTGATAGGCCCTCGTTGGACCTTTTTAATTGAGGAAGGAGCGGTGGTGGGGGATGAAGGTTGAAGTTGGAAGGCACGCTGTGTGGAGGATGGGAAGGGAAGGTTTGAGCTGGTCAAGTGGAAAGTGGGTTGGAAAAGGAAGGCACAGCTTGAGGAGCGAAAACTTCCAGCAACTTCCAGGATCCTCTTGCTCTCGATGAATTTAAACTTCCCATTCACTCTCCTCGGAAGCGCAGACCTACGAGGGCGAATTTGGGACGGAAAGACAGGAGACGGTGGTGAGTGTTGTCATGTTGAGTTACGACTGAGTGACGACTGGACCTGCTTGTGCGTCCTAACCCCCATTCGCGCAACTTCCCCTTACGACTATGCCACCTCGATAGGTATGCTTCTCACTATGCCTATCTCAGCCTGGATCGGGAACGGCATGCGTCTCAGCAGGATCTTCGGAGATGAGGATCTGAAGGTAGCCGCACCCCAAAACCAATAGCTTGAACATTTACCCACTCCTAGCAGAACTCAACCTTTGGTGTTGTCCGCGACTGGATGAGAGGCTTCCTGAGTCCTCCTGCATGTGAGATGATTCCGTGGAATGTTTCCGTTTGGACGACGACGACGGACGGCAATCCACCAAGATTCAATGTATGAGTTGTGGTCGAGACATGCCCCCACAACCACCACCACCATAACAATCGCCATCCCATCAACAACACCAGCAGCCCAGCTGTAAGGTGAACAATACCTGTGATGGGATACTAATTCATAAACAGTTGATCTGTTCCTCAAGGTTCGTCCGGGCCGCCAACATATGCCATATGTGACAGTGACACCAGACGACGAACTAAGGTCCAAAATCCTGAACTTCACCTCTATTCACTCGACAGTTCACCGTCGCAAAACGAACCTGGGATGGTTCGTGCTCCAGGCGACAGTGGAAACTGAACCCTATAAGAGACCGAAATTCTCCCCTCCAACCCAAACTAAGACCTAGACTCGTACACGAACTTCCAATCGTCCGCATCTTCGGTCGTGAAACCATACCTTGCGCAACATACCTTGACGAACCCAATCAAGATTACAGCGACTCAGACCGAATCAATCCACTCTCTATTTTCCACTATCGACCATGTTGAAGTTCTTCATGGGCGCCTTCGACATTGGCCCGTTGTCGAATATGGTCACCAGCAACAGCCGCGCAACAAGTGCATCAAGCGCTCCTGCCACTGGCTTTCAGTTTATACAGCAATCTGTCGACACGGTAGCGGGGACTGCGATCGGCCTCTTCATTGCCTACTCCGCCTACAAGAACCTCTCCGAAGCCTATCGTAGAGGTGACCCGCACAGAAAGGCGCCTCTCCCGCCGAGCCCGCCGGGCGACTTTCTTCTTGGCCATTATCGTCATGTTCCAGAGAATGAGTCCTTCCGCAAATACTTGGAGTGGTCGAAGAAATACAGTAAGTTGAAGTGACCCATGTACCCTCAACCGACCGATCGACTGACGTTTACTGGGAAACAGACTCTGATGTGCTGTATTTTGAGACATTCGGCACCAAATGGGTTGTTCTCAACTCCTATGCAGCTGCCCACGAGCTGCTCGAGAAGCGTGGAAGAAAGTACTCGGACCGTCCTCGCTTCGTGATGTTTGAGGAGTAAGTTCCCATCCTTATGGTCCAGTCTTCTATGGAGCATCGCTAACAACGACATTTACAGAATGGGATGGGCACCCACCCTCACCTGGCTCCGTTGGGGGCCCCAATGGGGTCTTCATCGGAAAGTTCTGGCGTCTCCTTTTGCCAAGACTGGCTGTGTCTCTTTCCAACCCCTTCAGAGGAAGCAGGCAATGATCATGTGCAAGAATCTGATCGAGAACCCCGAGGAGTGGATGTCCGCTGTCACTCATTTTGCCGTCGCCATTATGTTCAAAATCGGTTACGGCATCGATGTTGACACTCCCACGGATGGATGGGTCAAGTTAGCCGCAGAGGCTTCCGAAGCGGTTGGTAAGGCAGGGGCTCCAGCCAGCTCGATCATGGATCGCATTCCATGGAGTAAGTTTCTCTTTTTAACTACAATTGTCTAACGAACAAATCACTAACATAAGTCCTCTAGCCCGCCACCTCCCCGACTGGTTGCCGTTCATGGAGCGTCTCAAGTATGCTCACGAGAACAAGAAGGTCATCCAGAACATCACCGAACGTCCTTTCAACGCATCGATGTCGGACTACGTAAGTCAGCCTCTTGAGACAGTTAGAACTCGGTTGCTAACCAGAAACACAGCACGAACGATATCGCGACCCTACTCGCAAGCTTAAGGAATGCTTTGTACACAAAATGTACCATCTTCGGGAGGAGGCTGCCCGTAGCAACAGGCAGAACGTCTACTATGAGGAGGATATCAAGGGAGGAGCCGCGACCATGCTCATCGCCGGCAATGATACTACTGCCGCAACTGTCAACCTCATTATCCTATACTTGACGAAGCACCCTCGCGTCCAACGCCGCGCTCAGGCGGAGGTCGACTACATTCTACTCACGACTGGCGTTCCCACCGAGCCCGTGGAAGATTACCGCCCCGCCACTCCCGCACCCTGGGCCTCGTCCTCTAGCAACCGTGCCGGCATCATCCGCCTGCCGACCTGGAACGACATTCCCAAGTTCAAATACGTCAACCTCATCCTTCAGGAGGTCTACCGAATCAACCCCCTTTCCCCACTTGGCATCCCTCATGCCAGCGTCAAAGATTCGAGCGACATTGACCCCGACGGCGACGACACCTACAACGGAATGCGCATTCCTTGCGGAACCATTGTCTACCCCAACGTCTGGGCCATGAACAGAGACGAAAAGCGTTATCGCGAGCCGGAGCGCTTCTTCCCCGAGCGCTACTTGCCCAAGGAAGAGGGCGGTTGGGGCGAGCCACTCCCTGTTGGCAACTTTGGTTTTGGACGCCGTGTTTGCGTGGGCCAGTATCTGGCTGAGAACAGCCTGTTGATTGCCATGGCAATGATGTTGGCAACTATCGAATTCGATCTGCCCATTGGACCGGATGGTAACCTGAAGGATTTTGAACCGCGATTTTCGCATAAGGGACAGTCGTAAGTTTTCTTCCTTCTTACTCTCTTGCTATTACATACTGTACTCGGAGCCGCGATTGCTGACTTTCATTCTTAACAGGATCGTCCTCCCCTTCAAAGTTTCCATTAAACCTCGCTCCCCGATGGTAGAGGAATTGCTCAACCGCCACATTCTGGTTGCCAAGATGGCTGAGAAGGCTGCGGAGGATGGCAAGAAGGGTGGTCCTACTCCTAGCACTTGAGTTGTTGCTACAGCATGGCACAACTAAGATGGGCGAGTCTAAGGAACGTGAAAGCATTCTTGTGGAGGAATTACACTTCATCTAGTGGCAGATGATGGTCCGGGCATGGATGGCGTTCAACGGGATGGCTTCAGCTCTCATATCAACGAGATCTTTACGGCCAAGAACGAGGAAAAGGAGTACTAGGATTTGAAAAGGAGAAATGAGAATCTGGTGTTATTCTTATCTCAGAGACTGAGTCAGGCCACCAGTCAATTACCTAGTCATAGTGGCTTAGATAGACTCGCCAACAACCAGATTACCGTAAAGTTAATACTCGATTAATCGTCTTTCACAGACTTTTTCAGGCGGAATTCTTGTGAATTGAAGATAGATTTGACTACATATGTAGCAGTGGAAGTGCGAGTGTCATCAATAAAGTGATCGTGACATGTATTTCACGCATTTTAGTTTGAACGTTAAAGCCTAGGGTATCACCGTGTTGTGTCACGTCTCACTGGATAATCTCCATGCGATGGACGAAGACTCTCTTTTGTCGGTGATGATAACAGGTGCCGGATTATCACCTGGGGGACGAGCAGCTGTCCGTAACGACCTTTACATTTTCTTGCAATTGGGTGTGCTGGCGAGTTCCCAACAAAAGGTCTAGTTCGAGTTCCGAGAATCACGGACAATTAGGGACAGCACGGAGTCTTGAGAATCTATCATTGATTTAGTGTGCTATTTAACCGCCATCTATCTCTATCGATGAGTGTTGTGAGCTCCTATCCGAACGGCGTCAACGTGCCGTCTCAAGCGTCCTTATATCTAAGGTACGATCATCCGAGCATACCTAATTATTAGCCATAACGGTCATTAGCGAATTTCTGAAACCGAGCTGCCGGCTAGCATAGTCGCGCGGCTCCATGGGTTTTCCATCCTCTTTGTTTCTGAACCTTCTGTCAGCAATCGTAGGATCAAAGCTCCTCCTCCACAACGTGGCTGAGTGCCTTTGCTTCAACCTCATCCTTCGCAGCGTCTCTAATAGCCAGGATCCACTCGCTGGCAGGGCCAAAGCAATCGAATCGGACGCCAGACCGCGCAAAAGCTGCAGTGACATCCATGAAATGTTCCCTGGGGATCGCTCTGAATGTCTTCCAGAGAGTGAGAAGCTGAGGGCTGGGCTCCTCACTAGTCCCGTTGGCCTCGCTGGATTTGCTGTTTCCGTTGAGAACGTCGCCTTCGTCATTCTCGTCATCCTCCTCATCGTCCTCACCTTCGTCATTTTCGTCACTTTCGTCGCCCTCGCTGTATTCGCTGTTCCCGCCATCCTCGCCAACCTCGCCATATTCGTCATACCCGTCATAGTCGTCATAGTCGTCATCCTCCTCGTCATTCTCGTCATTCTCGTCATTCTCGTCATTCTCGTCATTCTCGTCATTCTCGTCATTCTCGTCATTCTCGTCATTCTCGTCATTCTCGTCATTCTCGTCATTCTCGTCATTCTCGTCATTCTCGTCATCCGCCTCATCCGCCTCATCGATTTCGCTTTCGTCGTCGCTTTCATCTTCAGAATGCGAAAAAACATCTCGGATGTAGCGTACGCTCATCTCCCTGTCCTTGATTCCAAAGTTCTTCTCGAGCAACTCAAGGTTTGTCCAACGGTAGGGGATCCAGCACAGGAAGGAGCCGGCCTTGATCTCAGAAATAGCATTCTCCATTGAGTCCTTTACCGGTGGTATTTCTAGCCTGTGAGGCCAGTCACCATCGTATCGGTCATCCTCGTCTGCAGGAATGAGCTTGAGTGGCTTGTTCGGCGCGATCTGAAATGTGACGGAACGGAGGCTGGCGAGGCCCCCACGTTCCTGCTGTCCATTCGCTCTCTGCAACTGACAAGCGATCTTGCCAGCGTCGCATTGAGCAGCTAGATCTAACAACATCGCTTTGACCTTCATGCGATACCTTGAGTACAGCTCAACTCTCTTCTGGGCTGCGCTATAACGACATCCATCACGAACTGGATGCTCGTGTAGAACATGACAAAAATGCCTTTCGCCATTTTCGCCATCAAAATACGCCTGCTCCTCGATGCAGGCTTCGATGGGGTCGTGTTCGGGATCATCCTCATGATACACGTATCGGGTCAGCCACAGCTCACGCTCAGCAACATCCATTTCCCATTCGTCGATGATATTCAACTCCACGAGATTGGGCGGAAGGCGTGGAACCAGAAGATTGGCTGAAAATCCACGAGTGTCCCCAAAAAGGAGATGCATCTGGATCGTCAGCTTTTCCAACCGGTCCAAGGTTGGGAGGCTGGTGAGACGCTTGCCTAAGCCAATAAAGTTTCGGAAACAGTGGGTGTAGCAAAGTATAAGACTGAGTTCCCGAAGTTCGCTGCCCTTCAAAAGCAATACCTCGGAAAGCGTTGGTAGTTTCTCGGTTGGAAGATCCAGAAGCTTGGGCTGATTATCCGGGTCCGACGGGCGCTGCTTGAGCACAAAAGAGGTAAGATTTTGAGGTATCCTGAGGAGCATAGAGCCGAGTGTTTGGGGTTGCAACTCTGTGTCTAATAAGTGCAGTTGGCGGATACTCTCGATATTTTCGCGCAAAGGGTCAAAAGTCCTATCTGGACCGACCGCCATCAGTGTCTCGAGAGAGCTGAAATATTGAAACGGGAACTGGCCGCTGAGTCGACAGCCATCGTAGAGGTATCCTGGGGCTTTTGAGTTTGAAGCCAAAACGAGACTGACCAGAAACGAACAGAAATCTGGCGAGGATGATGCATTTTCATCATGCAGTTCCCGGAATTTCGCAAAACAATTCTGCCCAGAGCCCCAGTCAGGCGGAAACTGCAATAGCAATCGTTGAACTTGAGGCGTCTCTCGGAGGATGCAGTAGAGAAACCCTTGTATGAGTTCATGCATAGGAGGGCGTGCATCAGCCGTTCTCTTCCCAGACCATTCGCACAAGTCCCGTTTTAGGTCATTAACGAGCTCTGTGGTACGTGACTTTCTCTCTCTGATTTGAACCTGAAGCCTGTCATTATGCCAGATTTCGCTGGTGACTCGGATGTTCCAGTCGAACTCACGCGGTCGGGGTTTACGCGCAGCTTCGCCGAACAGCCACTGTCCCAAGTCCGCCCAAAGGCCTAGTTTGACGCAGTTGAAAAGGTCCCGTTCTTGATACTCGTTGTTGAAAGCAATTAAGAGCGCCAAATTTTGAACAATGTTGCCTGCCTGAGAGTCCTCTAACAGCGTTCGCATAAAGAAGGGTAATGCTGCGGCGTCGTGGAGGATGACGGTGTGGTAAAGCATCGGGGAGGCCACAGCCCGGCAACGGGAGCAGACGATGCAAAGAGCCCGCAAAGTCCGGCGATCTTGAAGGTGGCGAGCCAGTTCGCTGTCCTCGTTCTCATTCTTGCGTACGGGGCGGTAGTCCGGGAAGACATCGCTCTTGTTAGGCAGGGTGAGAGTGAAGTGACTGAAAATCTGAGTGAGCGTCTCAAATGGCAGTTTGGGCAGCATCTTGAGCTCCCTCAACGTGTCGGGCGAATATTCCTACGTCAAGTCAGTTGAGTCGTTGCTTGAGAAGTTTGAAGAATGATGGCTTGAAGGGGGATGATGGAGGGAAGAAAGAAGGACGTGAATCTCCTGTGCAGATAAGTGGTTTAAATAGAAGGCTCTCAGCCGATCCGATGTTTTTGCCTTTCCTAACGCGCAGATTTCTGGGGCCTGGTCGGATGGCAGTGAACCAAACACCATTTCTTCCATCCCAACTCGGGAACCTGCGTCCTGAGACTCGGTGATGGGTCATTGTCGATAGTCGGATATGTGACTTGTTGAAACAAGGTCATCACAATGTGTTTTATGGTTTATTCGTGGGTTTGGCATACGAGGTTGACCAGATGGAGAAGATGCCTCAGACATGAGATTTTATCAGGTCATATCATACGGCGATATCTTGATGACGATCAGCTTATTATCATGATGCGAATTAAGATGGCTCGACGACGTTTGAGTGTTCTCGAGATGAAAGTTGGGAGACGTTGAACGTTTGAAGTCATTTCAGTATCCAATGTGGGGTTCGGATGAAGACTGCAGTGACGTTACGTAGGACCTCATTGCTGATTGCTCTGCCTGCCGCGAATACTAGGTACCACCGGTATTTCGAGTTGCCCATCGAGAAGAAGGCAGCAATGTGACCAATCAAGGGCCTGTAACGTTAGCGCAATTAAAAGAGAACAAAAAAAGCTAAAGCAGGTGCAAGTGGCTTGGCTTACCAGGGGGCTGGCTGCCCCTGCCAATGCAAAACAGTCCCAGGAGATGATCCGTGCATTTCGGCGTCCATTTCCCCTGCCTGGTTCGCGTGATGCTGCATGGTGGCGGCCTGCTTTCGTTTGGCCTTGGCCGTCGGGGTCGTTCAACTGTCACCATCTCTTCCACTTCCACGAGCAGCAAGCAGTGTGATGAGCAGAGGTGAAGGCCGCCTGAGAGATATCCGCTGATTGCGTAGTGGAGCCATGCCAGGGCGACCCCTGCCAAGTGTTGGCCGAGCCTGGGGTGCATCCCGTCCACTCCACGCGGTGACCCGTCCCCGAATTGGGGTCTTCTGCCTCTACTGTAGCTGCTCCACCTGCTTTTTGTTCGCTGTTGCTCTCCCCATGGAAATTATCGCCATGGCAAGAGACCCATACGACGTTGAATTAATGTAATTGCACCTTTACCTTTTCAAACACGCGGCAAAATCTCCCCCGAGGAATCCCCCCCCTCCGTCAGGTCCCAGTCCTTCCACCTTTCGATTCCCAGACTTCAAGTTCCTTGGTTCCCGTCCTTTCCACTTTCCCCTTCTCTCTTTCTCACCAGTGGTCCGAGTCACGAGCTGCCGCAACAACCAAAGTGCTCGACATCAATGCAGCATTGAATGTATCAATGCATCTGTTTACCTTCGACTTGATGCCTTACAGACACAAGCTATTTTGAACACAGTCGACGACAGACAACACATCCCAGCCAGTCATGCCGTCATGAGCACACCACATCGTAGCTTGCAGTCCGCTACCGACCTTCCTTGATATCACCAGGACCAACCTAACAAACGCAACAAAAAGAACAAAATTACAAATCCAACACTCACTCTGGCTATCGCAGCTCTGTCTCTCTTTGTCTCTCTCTCTTCATTTTGGTCTTCTTGGTCCGCCGTCGTCGTCACTCATCGTCGCTGTTTTATTCCCTTGTCGTTCGTTTTTTTTGTCTACAACAACTTCAACAAGTCTACCACTTCGAATCCTCGATACTTCCTTCGAGAAATCCGCATCTGGCCCCCAATTGAACTTAGCCACATTCCTAAACACCGCCCAAGATGCCGTCCCACGCCCGCCGCCAGTCGCATTCCTCGATAGACCGAGTCTTCGACCTGTTGGCCGATCTGGAAGATACACAGATCTCCTTGCTCTTGGACGACTTCAACCACACCACTCCGAGCAATGTCCCCGTCTCGAAGGCTATTGACCTCTTCGAAACCGATCCCAAGCGCAAGGCAAAGCGCAGCTCCACCATCAGGTCTTCCTCCCCGGTGAGGAACCTCCAGACCGAGCTCGAGCGAAGGCACAGCAGGAGAGTTGCCGCCAAGATTGCTCCTCAGCACCTCACAACCCAACGACCCCAGGCCAAGTCAACGACGCCATACATCACCACTCCCAATGACCCCTCAAGGAGCCTGTCATTTTCGTCGTCTGCCTCCGAGTATTCCGACCGTCCCGTGACGCCGACCGACGTATCCCCCGCACCGTCTTTCCGCGCCCGCTCTTATAAGCGCATCAGCAGACCGACTCTACTCTCCCCAACAGCCACGGCCGAGCTTCACGAGTTGTTGATGGCCTATCTCTACGGAACTTCAAGCTCGTCGAACCTGACTTCCGCGACCACCTCGAGTGCCCCATCGCCCACAACCCCCGACCCAGCTTCGCGCTTCTCTCCTTTCTCGTCTTCTTCTTCTTTCATGTCATCAGCGAGCCGAGCAAGAGTGGAACCAGAACCATTTTTTGATATGTTTGAGCCCTCGCCTGCCCGCGCGCCCATTTCGGCATTCGGTTCTTTTGGTGGACGGACAAGAGCGGAGCCGGCAGCGAACATGAGTGGCATATTTGAAGTTTTGGCCTCTCATTAAGAAAGCTTTAAAGAGGAAAACTCATCACAAACTCACACGCTCGCACACACAAGTGCTGCTCTCTCTCTTTTTCGCTTCTTGGTTGGACTTGTTTTATTTTTATATCTGGGTAATCTCATTGAGTTGTCAATGAGAAAGAGAGAGATATCGGACACATACACAAAACACACATCATTTCTTTGCTCTGGCTCTGGCTCTGGCTCTGGCTCTGGCTCTGGTTCTAGGCAGACGAAAAGGAAATCTCTAACTGTACATGTACTACTATCCGCTATCGATTTGGCACCCTCAGGGACCGAATCAATGTTACCAATATACTCTTCGAAACATATCATAATGGGGGGGCCTTCGTGGCTGCCGAATTGCAAAACTTCACTTCACTTTGCATACATATTACTATTATTTATGAAACCATCAGATAATGACGCCCCAACGACGACTTGACTTTGAAAGGTGAACATGATCACTTTTTTCATTCCCGGAACGCTTTCCTGCCACATGAGATCATAAATTCCGGATTTGAGGTCAAACCGTTAAAAAGGGTTGGCGACTTGCCATTTGCCTTGGGAACTACGTATATTGTCCTAGACGACTCTCAAATTCAATTGGTATGCCATCAACCATGTGTTCTCCGCCTGCACTATAATTCAGATCTCCCGAGACAAGACAAGTGCGGTACGGCCGAGTCGATATATATGCCATCAAATATACCAGGAATCACCTTGATTATAACTGTAGGACTCTAGACACTTGTGTGTCACACATACACATGGTTCACATGGTTACCAGGCATGATGCCAGTTCAACTTCAAGACACAATCGTACGTACGGTAGCTCAGCTTGACTGGTGCCAACTTCATTATAAGCACCTCTCTACCTCGTATCAATGAATCGGGCATGGCGGACCAATTCTTTGTTGAAGCTAATTGTCCTGCCCTGTGGAAATAGTAAACCAGTTTAGGAAGGGGCTTGGGTGTTTGTATTACCAATACTAAACCGAGGGTCCAAGAGGGGATGTGGTTTGTCTTGCGATGTTTCATAGCTCGAAACTGCTTTTCCGTTGAAGCTGAAGCTGAACCGAGTACCGAAGCGAGACGGACTAGAGGCGGATGTGTCGGGGACACAAGCTGGAACTCCATCATGTGATACATTGACCGTATGGACCGAGTCGATTCTTTCTGTTTACCTCTCGTTACAAACCTGAGCATAACTTAACAGAACGGTATCTTGATCCTGTGCTTCAAGAGGAGTTCATTCAGTTCCTCCTCTCCGCTCGAGACCCACTGCTTCTTATCGCAGTTAGCCGGCCATGTGCCATTCTTGCTGGGGACCGTGATCAATGTTGGGATAGAACGCGTTCTGTGCGGTCTCGTACAGCTTCATCGGGGCGTTGTTTTTCAAGCACAAGTTGTACGTGCCGGCAATCTGGTCCATGAGCGCCAGGGTGTGTGCGGTACTCACCCAGGACGTGGGTGGCGCGGTCCTTCACCATGATGTGCATGAGGCAGCGGGCGCGGAGACGCTGGTCGGAGTCTTCGCGATCGAAGATGATGTATCCTTCTCATTGTGACATTGTGCAGTCAATTCATAACGGGAAAGTTCAAAGGGCCATTTTCTGGTTTGGCTTCCACTACCTTCAAACCACCTCGTAAGGCGCTACCGAGGGCGGGCCATCTCGTACTGGGATCGTGGTCGAGTATGCACACCATTATACCTACCTAATCGCTTGGTTCGTGCAAGAGATGGGATCCTGCTTTTACCTAGTCGCCGTCACTTGTCAACTCTTGAAGGTTGATTGAGAGAAACGCAGGTCGATTGATCGTGTGACCGCGTGCAGCTAGTCTGCCGCACCTGTTGCCTTGAAAACAACGCAAAGAAAGGTATTCCCTCAATGAAGAACGGCACCATTTGGGAAAGTTGCATCTTCGGCAGCACAGATGGCGTAAATCACCTTGACTGAAGTGAAAAAGCTTCGCTAACGTCAGCTAGGAGATACGGGCAAGTCCATAGATCGCAGGTACAAATATCTCGATAAAAAAGAAAAGCAGCGTCTCCGAATTGAAGAATAGATGAAGCCATATCCAAAACGGAAGAGCAAAATAATCGAAAAAAAAGATGTGCGCCGACCGGGGTTCGAACCCGGGTCCCTCGCTGGATCCAAAGGAGTTTGGGAAGCGAGGATGCTAACCACTATACCATCGGCGCGGTTTGCTTGTTGAAATAACTTTACGCATTTGTGCCTATGTATGCCAAGACCATATCTGCACCACCAACAAGTTCCGATTCATGCCGACTGTCATCTGACATGCCACCACACTTGCGAGAGACACTCTGTTGGCAATTCTGCATTTCGTAGCGGGCAACACTACATCTTCTCCTAACAACTATCGATACCCAGGACCCACTTGTACAACAATCCATTTTACGGTATGTTGGTCTTTGGGCTATGCTTTACGGTTTTCCAGGCTCCATGTTCGATATTCATCCGTAGGGAATATTTTCGAGGGTTCGTACTGTCACAATTATGCACTACGTACAAGGCTCTAATTGATTGAAATGTCAAGAACTAGAAGACCGGTTTCCGTGACATATGAGCTAATTATTATTAACAGTTGTGGCCAAGTTGCGCATCCTAATTACTGCCTCATCCTGACCGCGATTTCGACCGCGCGTTCGGTCGCCTCATCCAAATCCTCCTTCGGCAGTCCCAACAACTGATTATCCACCTCTTCTTCACCAAATGTCGTTTTACCAAACCAACTGACCTCATCGGGCAGGAAAATTGAGGCATACAGAGCAAGCACAAACCCATCATGATCTCTCGGATCAGTCGCCATGAGTTTCAATCCCCGCTCCCTCCTCGCCACAGAAGATTCCTTTGTGATAGTCCAATCCTCATCCGTGGTTCCCATGACACGGTGAACCGAGTCCAGCATATCCCTCTGCGAGACATTGAAGCTCCCGACAAGCAACGGTCGGTTCTTCCACCTCGCAACCGTGAGATCTTGGTCGTTCTCATCCTCGGGTAGCTCCTTCAAACTGAAGAGCTTCGCGATAGCTCTTCCCACCTGTCTCGTCGTGGTGGTCCAGATCTTTTTCTCGCCGTTGTCAAAGAAGGTTACCTTCTTGTCAGGCAGCGTAAAACCGTAGGTGCGCTCACCCATCGAAAGCGAGAAGTCATACCAAAACGAGCAATGAACGCTGATCCAGCTCGACGCCCCCTGCGCTTCGACGTCCTTCAGGTTCTGGTATACAACTTCGCCGTGCATCGACTCCTTGCGTTTCTTCTCGTCGTCGTCGAGCCACACCCAGCCATACCCGTTGGGGATGACGTAGGGCACACCAGCCTTGGCGGCCGCGACGACGAGCCTGTGGTGGGTGTCAGGAGGGGCCTGTGACCATAGGCAGATGATGAGGACTTGTTGGCCCCGGAGAGCGTCGACTAAAGCGGCTTCGCCATCGTTGCTATCGTAGGACACGGCGATGGTCTTGAGACCTACAGGCAGAGAGCTGGTGCTGCCCGGCCGGGTGATGGCGGTTATGGTATGTTTTCCGGTGGCGAGGAGTTCTTCGGCGATGGGGTAGCCAATGGTGCCACCGGCCTAGAAGGGTTGGGTCAATAGGTGAGTACAGACAACACGGTATGATTGTGATGACTTACACCGACGATGGTGATGCGCTCAATGCGGTTGGTGAACCCAGCGGGTTGGTCTTTGGTGTATTTTGCGGTCATGATGAGAGTTAACGCTGCCAACGGGGGCTGTTGATGGTATTGTCTTATGTATTATGCTGTTTCTAAACCACAGATCCTGACCTCGGTAGTTTGTCCCATCCTCTCCTATTTATAGCCGATTTCCTCATATTCAAGTCATCTTCATTTGTTGCCATGCGGCCACATTAATTCCGTTCCGTCCGAATGGCACCTAGTGCTATCGGACTTAGAAGCTCACAGTCCGACGCGGGCTCATGACGTACCTCGAGCATCCATGACCCGAAACGTAGAAGGTCAGGGTCTTAACTCCGGGCGCATAGTAAGATCAGATTGCCCGCATAAGGTGGAGGGTTTCCCGAAAAAGCATCTCCGTTGTAGGTGAAATTTTGCGGTATCTCCGTCGCACCGCCAGCCGCGTAATCGACACCCAATAACATGACCAAATGAAGTCGTTCGTAAGCGGCTAAGCTCCAATAAAGTGCAACTCGGTCGTCAGGTATTTGCTTTGTCATACTTTGACTCCCAGGTACTCATATTTCCGAGCCAGGACGGCGCTGGTCGGACTTCGAGAGCAGTGACGGTATGCCAATATGCGAACGAACAAACGACAGTTTGCTCGCGGCTTTTATACTAACCAAAATGAGACGAGGCTTGAAGGTTGCAGGATTTGAGGTAATGTCAAAAATGCAGTGAATAGGTTCGTGTTACCCAGGCGGCTGTTGATCTGTATGTCCTAAGGCCATGATGGTGCACATCTTGTGGGTTGTGAATGGTTGGCAGAAAATGATTTGTGCAGTGGTGTGGGGGGCTACCACTAATTCGAGGATCGGGATGGTGAATCTTGTTGTCAGATAACAGATCGTAATGGCGATTCCAAACGGTTATATTTGAGGTCGTTTAAAGAAGAATTGTGTCAACTGAGGACTTGGAGTTCGAAGGGGGGGTTGATGGCCATCGAAATTGCGGAAGAAGATGGGTGATCCCCAGGATAACCCTAACTGCCCGGCCCCGCACGCCGCCGCGTTTTACCCCACATTCACGGCCCCACATTGTGATCCAGGCCGTATGGACGTCCGGTGGTATGGTGGGGTCTTGTCTGGGTGGGGTTTTTGAGCAGAGGTACCTATGCGTTATTGATAGTAATGCTTCCCAAGCTTCCACTCCCAATATGTCGAGCTTGAACAACAGTTCTAATCAGCTTATTGTCCGCTAGGGCACAAGCGTTATGGCACTAAGCTTCCCGTGGACTCAACACCTCAATGTCCAGACCTGACTCTTCACTCTCCTTCCCTTCAGAGGCCCACGTCTCTGTGCCATTGAGCTCATTTGTACCTTCCGGAAACGAGCATAAAATCGAAAAATTCAGGCAACCGACAGCGAATTGCCAAAACGGATTTCGCAAAAGACAACGCCGTGACTGTTTTACTTTCTCCCGCTCGTTCTTCTCCAACGTCTCGCACCGTTCATCGCCCCTGTGACTGCTCGTCACGAAATTCCACCACCAACCAACAGCCTTTTCACTACACCAGGGCGACCATACGACCAGTCATGATGAATGCCGCCGAGCCGGCCGAGCGCATGTTTCTCGCCTGTTCCTGCACGGTTGTTGTTTCCGGGTAAATCTTTGCACCACTCAATGGCCATCAATGGCGGCAAACATTTGACCACCAAGGGCGGGGTAGGTACTCTTTACGACTGATCATGCAGTCAACTCGAGTCAACTTCGAACCACAGTCCACGACGTGGGAAAGGAAGGGTGGACGATGCGGGGAGGGTAGGAGCAGCCAGCGATCATGGTGTTCCGGCTCTTTTGTAGATGGTGTCGTTGTTGTACAATGGAATCGTGGTGCAGCAATTCCATTGTTCCCTCATTACCCCTCCATCACCACCATCCCCTCCCCTTCTCTTGGGACATTGGACGATCCGGCCCATTTTCTGGAGACACCATCAACGGACGCGACCTCAAGGCGGTTAAGACCCGGAGATTGGAAGGTGTTGTGTAGCCGACTTCGAATTGCGAATACCTACCTCTACCCCTGGGGCAACACGGGACGACTGAACACCGAACCACGACGGGCGACAACAACACACAGTCGAGCTCTGTTTTTTTTCTTTGTCTTTTTTCTTTTTTTTCCCCCAGCACCGAAAGGCTACAGTATCTTGACGACTCTCCAAAGGTCAATACGCATCTCCGACAGGTCTTATATGAATATCCTCCACAAAATTCCTTAGCTCCCCGTATGTGGAGCGTGGAATGAGCAATTGAAGGTTGGTTCGTCTCAACGGCGAAGCCATTCCAGTTTCTCGGCCATTGTGGGACGCCATGTGGTCGTGGTCGGGTCTCCGGCCAACTTTGGCCCAGAATGCTTCCGCGTCTTTGTCTTCAGGTTCTCGCATTATTGCGCGCCTTCTGGGTGAGTCAACATCGTGGAGTCCCGGATTATCAACGGTGTCTGAGTTCCCGCTGTATGTGATTGTCAGAATGTCGACTTGTTGCTTTCTCAGTTGGCGCGGCAGAACTGGGATGACGTGGAAGGATCGGACGAACTGATGAGGGGACATGGGATATATTTTATGTAGCTAATCTCTCCGCAGACTGCAGCCACATCCCAGCGATTCGCATTGGCACCATCATAAGCTCCCGACAATCATGGAACAGCACTTCACAGAAAGAACATCATCCCGGTGTGGCGTATCTGGCTCTCACAAACCCTAAAGCCCAGTCGTTGCAAATTGTTCGCCATGCGTCGGTTATCTCGTCCATTCCGCCCCGGTTGCCCTCCAAGGGTTCTTCAGCTACATACTCTACCGATGCTACTGCTCCTGTCCCACCCACCGTCCCCTATAAGCAGCTTACAGTTGGCGTCCCGCGTGAGACCTACCCCAATGAACGCCGTGTGGCCTTAACTCCTCAAAATGTCGCTCTTCTGCTCAAGAAAGGTTTCGGAAAGGTTCTTGTCGAAAAAGGAGCTGGTGCCGAGGCCGAGTTCCATGATTCTGCCTACGCAACAGCTGGTGCAACACTTGTCGAGTCTGCTTCTGATGTATGGAACAACGCCGATATCGTACTCAAGATTCGCGGTCCCAGTGTCGCTGAAGCGGAAATGCTCAAAGAGGGTCAAACGATTATTAGCTTCCTCCAACCGGCTCAAAACAAGCCGCTTGTAGAAAAGCTTGCCTCTCGGAATGCGACTGTTTTTGCCATGGACATGATCCCTCGCATCTCTAGGGCACAGGTCTTTGATGCGCTGAGCAGCATGGCCAACATCGCCGGTTACAAAGCAGTTCTGGAAGCCTCAAATATTTTTGGTCGATTTCTCACAGGTCAGGTTACAGCAGCTGGAAAGATCCCACCTTGCAAAGTCTTGGTTATTGGTGCCGGCGTTGCTGGTTTGAGTGCCATTGCCACGGCCAGAAGAATGGGAGCTATTGTCCGCGGTTTCGATACTCGCTCCGCTGCGCGTGAACAGGTTCAGTCCCTCGGCGCCGAGTTCATCGAAGTCGAACTTCAGGAAGACGGTTCTGGTGCTGGAGGTTACGCCAAGGAAATGTCGCCAGAGTTTATCGCAGCCGAAATGAAGCTGTTCACAGAGCAAGCCCAAGAAGTTGACATGATTATTACTACTGCCTTGATTCCCGGAAAGCCAGCGCCCAAGCTCATCACCAAAGCTATGGTTGAGATTATGAAGCCTGGCTCTGTGATTGTTGATCTGGCGGCCGAGGCTGGTGGGAATTGCGAAGTGACTCAGCCCGGAAAGGTCATCAACTACAAGGATGTTAAGATCATTGGTGAGTATTGTAACCATGAAGAGGGAGAAATACCTGACTAACAGAAACAAAACAGGCTACACTGATCTCCCATCTCGCCTTCCCACTCAGTCTTCCACCTTGTACTCGAACAATATCACCAAATTTCTCCTTTCCATGGCGCCAAACAAACAGGAATACGGCATTGACCTTCAAGACGAAGTTGTCAGGGGTGCAATTGTCATCAACAAGGGGAACATCCTCCCGCCAGCACCTCGACCAGCACCACCACCAGCACCAGCAGCAACACCGACCACAGCTAAGGAAGCAGAAACCGTGGCCCTGACGCCGTTCCAGAAGGCTTCGCGTGAAGTAGGTCTTGTCACAAGTGGTATGGGCGCTGCTCTTGCGTTGGGAAAACTCACTGGGCCATTGTTCATGGGCAACGCGTTTACCTTCGCCTTGGCTTCGCTCATCGGTTACCGTGTGGTATGGGGAGTTACGCCTGCCCTTCACAGCCCATTAATGTCAGTCACCAACGCAATCTCAGGCATGGTGGGAGTGGGCGGTCTTTTCATCTTGGGCGGGGGCTACCTCCCTGAAACCATTCCTCAGGCTTTCGGCGCTGCTTCCGTGCTTCTCGCATTTGTCAATATCTCTGGCGGGTTCGTCATTACCAAACGAATGCTCGACATGTTCCGTCGTGCCACTGACCCACCGGAATACCCGTGGCTGTACGCTGTTCCCGCTGCCTTATTTGGAGGTGGCTTCATTGCCGCTGCGGCTTCAGGTGCAGCTGGTTTGGTCCAGGCCGGCTACTTGGTTAGCTCCGTGCTTTGCATCACTTCGCTTTCGTCTCTGGCATCTCAAACAACCGCACGCCTGGGAAACACGCTTGGTATGTTGGGTGTAGGATCTGGGGTCCTTGCTTCCTTGCTTGCTGCTGGTTTCTCACCCGAGGTCCTTACACAGTTCGGCGGTCTGGCTGCTATTGGTGGTATTTTGGGTTTGCTTATTGGGAAGCGCATCACGCCCACCGACCTTCCACAGACAGTCGCCGCTCTCCACTCCGTTGTTGGCTTGGCCGCTGTGCTCACCAGTATCGGAAGTGTTATGGCTGACGTGGATCATATTACGACTCTTCATCTCGTTACCGCCTACCTCGGTGTTCTTATTGGTGGTGTGACGTTCACTGGGTCAATCGTGGCCTTCATGAAGCTTGCCGGGAAAATGTCCTCCAAGCCAACCATTTTACCTGGCCGACACCTGATCAACTCGGGTCTTTTGGCTTCAAATGTTGCCACCATGGGTGCCTTTGTCACAATGGCCCCTGGTTCTCCAGCAATCGCTGCCGGTGCTTTAGCTGCAAACACTGTTCTATCATTCCTCAAGGGTTACACCACAACTGCGGCCATTGGCGGTGCCGACATGCCGGTGGTTATCACAGTTTTGAACGCTTATAGCGGCTTTGCTCTTGTTGCTGAAGGCTTCATGTTGGATAACCCACTACTTACCACAGTGGGCGCACTCATCGGCGTATCGGGCTCCATCCTCTCATATATCATGTGCGTGGCCATGAACCGTTCACTCACCAATGTTCTATTCGGTGGAATATCTGCTCCAACAACGACAGAGTACAAGATAGAAGGAAGCATAACGCAGACCAATGTCGAAGACACAGCCGAAGCCCTAACTAACGCAGAGACAGTAATTATTGTCGTAGGATATGGCATGGCTGTAGCCAAAGCGCAGTACGCCATATCAGACATTACCCAAATGTTGCGCTCCAAGGGTATCAATGTGCGCTTCGCCATTCACCCCGTGGCCGGTCGCATGCCTGGTCAATGCAACGTTCTTCTTGCGGAAGCTAGCGTGCCGTATGAAATTGTACTGGAGATGGATGAGATCAACGATGACTTTGGTGAGACGGACCTCACTCTTGTCATCGGAGCGAACGACACTGTCAACCCGATTGCCTTGGAGCCAGGCAGCCCTATTGCTGGAATGCCCGTTTTGCATGCTTGGAAGAGCAAGCAGGTCGTGGTGATGAAGAGAGGTTTGGCAAGTGGATATGGTAAGAAGACCATATTTACCATGGTCCCTGCTGCATGATGCTGACGTCTCAATACAGCCGACGTACCCAATCCTATGTTCTATATGCCGGGCACAAAGATGCTCTTCGGAGACGCAAGAGTCACGACAGAAGGTAAAGTGGTTTGCCATATGAACAAATTGCAATTGTGTTGATACTAACCGAATATCTATCTAGCCATCAAAACCGCAATTGAGGCCCGGCTGAAGTGATGAGAGCGAGGGTCTGTTTTCTCCTGTCTTTCTATACCTATTCTACATCGCCATGTATCTCCATTTCGGATGAATCTAGATGCGGAAGGGGCTGTCTGCATGCTAGCTAAAGAGTTGATGTATAATCCCACCTTGGATACGCGATCTCTAATATACAAAATGCCATATCAAATCCAGTTAATGCCTTTTGGTTTGTCCGTATAAGCTTTAGGACTATTCGAAATGGATTTTGTCTAGTGCACTATATATATTGTACTACCAGGAGTGCCTAGCGTATTAAGCCAACTAACCTGACCAAAGTAGTCGGTGTTGGTTTCGGATCTGCTAATAACTAGCGAGACCAACCTCCTTGCCAGATCCACTCGATGAAGGCAGTTATTGTGAATTTGTGGCTGCGACCAGAATCTTTGGATCCCAAGTTCCGATTCCCGAAACGGGTTGTCGCGTGCCGGCTGGTTGTGTTAGTGGGCGAGGTTATGTGCAGGGTAGGTAAGCTGTTTTTGGGATCCTTGGGAACCATCCCGACACAGGTGGGGTGTCTTAGTGCAAGAAGAGTTCAGGGGGGTTTTGTTATCTGACAAAGTCCCAGAATATTAATATCAACCTACGTACCCACCCGCCTTGGGAACTTTTGTTTGCGAGATGTACGTTCGTCCATATTCTATGTGCACCGATATTCTCTTTTGACCTCAGTCCCAAACCTAAGCTCAAGTGGCGTGGAAGTAAAAATTTGCCGACCCGGCCACGACCCATCACTTTTCGAACGCCACGTGAATATCCTTATGATTGTGAATCCTCCACGGTGTCTGGTAACCGTCGAACGTCATGGTCTGGAACAGCCACACGTTGCCTACTCTCTGATAGTTCCAATCTCTCTCCGTTTCTGTCGCCGTAGGTCAATCCGGATGTTGTTCTATCCAGGCGTAGACATCACATTGAGTAGTTTTTAGTGTATTTTGTGTATCATACATACTTGATTAGCTCACAGATGGACGAGATGATTCCCGCATGGCTGAGCGCCGGCGGTCGGTGAAGTGGCTATGGCCGCCCTGCGTGGCTGATCCCAAATAATTAATGGTTCTTTCACTTTGCAAAGGTTGTCAATGCGGACATTTGGCGAAGATTAATCCCATGCATACTAGCGGTCGATCCTCCTTCTCGTTCCATAGGGGTAGCCGTGTTGGAGGTGTTTCAAGATTTTCGTCTCAGGAGGTGAAATTACTGAGACAAAATTACCGCGTGCTTGTCGACCGGCAGCAGCTCTTAGCCTTTTCCTGGATTAGGAAAACCTAGGTAGGATTGGATGGACTGGCGCAATTCCATCGCCTAGATCAAGTCTATCAAACCCTCGCTAATGATACATTGTATAGGGGTATATATTTGATCTCATCATACATGTCAACCAGAACCACACTGTAACTTCGACCTTCCTAGAAAGGTCGGTCTTCAAAGCGCTCCACCAACAAGCTGCACAATCATCATCGCAATCCTCACCTTAAGCCCCACCCTCCTTTCCGTCTTTGCAAAATCCTCCCGCGTCACCACTGTCGCATTATCCTGCAACCACCTCTGCTCCTCGCCCAGCCTCTTCTTCAGGTCCTCATTCTCCGTCACAATGAGCGCATTAGCCTCCAGATCGAGGGAGTTACTCCTCTTGGTGTAGTTGGAGCTGCCAATCAGGCTAATGCTAGGGTTCTCGCTCTTAGGCATGGTGACCCAAAGACCTTTGGCATGGTACGTCCACCCCCCGGGCTCGCCAACCGTGCCTTTCCTCCATTCTTTCAGCACCGTGGTGCCCCGGTGCTTGGATTCGTGCACGGCGCGGACGAAGCGACGCGCCAAGAGGGTGTAGGCGTCGGGAAGGAGACCGGAGACGCCGGGGGACTTGTAGAAACCGTTGGCAAAGGGCGAGGCGGTGATGACGACGTTGTTCGTTGAAGCGGTGCCCAGGAGGAGCTTGGTCAGGGAAGGCGCAGGGTTGAAGTAGCCGGCTGTGAAGGCCCAGGACGAGTTGGCGTATTCTGGTGCCGCTAGAGTCCGCAATACATGGCTGACAGCGGGAAGCTCGGTTGAGGTATCGGGAGATAGAAGCTGGGAGAATTGCGCGAGCATGTAGACTGATGTGTCGCGTTTCTCGGCTGGTGTGTTGTCGAGTGCAGTCCGTGGCGCTGTCTTTGGCGAGATGAGGCCAGATAGGAGCGCGGTCGACTCGGCGATGAACTTCTTCGGGTTATCGAGGGGGGAGATGGCTGAGTTATCTTCTGGCCATACTAGTTCGAAGCCGGCCGGTTCGGGAGACGGCTTGACGAGGAAGCTCAGCGATGAAACGGCCGTTTGGAGGTTCGAGAAGTACTCGGTGATGTCCCTGCTCGAGTAGACATGATACCGATCCTGCCTATCCGAGAAGTAGTCGCTTGAGAGGTTGGCGCCAGAGAGGATGATCTCATCGTCGATGCCGTACAACTTCATATGCTGTAGTCCCCATCCTTCATTTATCCTCTTGGGGATGTGCTTCTTTCTGAGTCCGGTGAGATTTGGCGTGTGGAACATGCGGATTTCGACACGATCAGAGCCGAACTCGGAGATCAGGGGCGCCAGAAGGGAAGCGCACGATGGGTTGGGAGCTTCACGGGTACCGCGCAAGGCATCAGTGAGGATGCTGAGCTTGAGATGGGGTTTCGCGCGAAGGGCTTCTTGGAGGGTCGCAATCTAGAATCATGCGCCGTGATTAGCATATGGCAAAGCTGATGCGGTCGATCGAGGGTCCCAGTACCAATTCCTTCTCCGACTTGCCAATGTAGAGGGTCGAGAGGAAGATGCGCTTCTCTGCCTTGCGGATCTTGTCCTGGTGAGTGGGAAGGCATCAGTCAGCACCGCTAGCTGACAACACAAGCCTTCTCCCGGCAGCGGAATGTTGTCGAACCTTGAGGGTCTCGTAGAACTCGGTCGGTGTTTGTAAAACGCGAACTTGGGAGCCGTTGATCCTGAAAGACGGGGCGATCTTGTCGAGCTCGCTGGTGAAGGGCGCAAGCAAGCCGGCGCTGGAGGAGTTCGGACCGCTGCTATGCGACGCCCCGGAGGACGGCATGGAGAACTGTCGACATTGTGGCCTGGCTACTCGTAGACTGACCCGCGAAGGCGGTGCTCTAAGCTTGGTGCAGCATCGTGAGGTACTCCTTGCCAGCATATCCGCAATAAGCTGGGGGGCTTTTGTCCAAGACGGGGATTGGGATGTTGTTGTTGTCTTGGATGTGATTGTCTAGATCGGCCAAATTTTTGGTTGCGGGCAGGGGCATTCGGTTAGTATCGCGCCGAGGACCTACCTAGCGAACGGCGCCGCCCGTACAGTGCAGGCGCCTGGACCCCGGCCCAATCCACTGAAGACGCGGGATGACCGCCTGCTGACGGGAAGGAGTTAGGTTGTGGGGAGTTACAACAACCTCCCCGTGGCCTGCCTTCCATGCCCTGGCAGGGGCATTTGGCAGTAAGCTCGATATGTACATAGAAGGTACATATGTCATGGGCCAAAGCTTCATTCCATTACAGTTCTTTGCCAGCTGCAATGGATCACCTCGGTCCACTGCGTCAGTTGCCAGTCTCCTCGTTGCGGCTGTTGCGACTCCAACGTTCAACTCACGACCGACCCGACGGACGCCATCGCCGACGACAGCAACCCCGGAGGAGCTCCCGTCGCTCTGCGCAATCGCAATCAATTGACTCCACTATCCGCGAGTCAGGATAACCAACACCAACAACCATGTCTACCATCACTAGAACGATTCGCAACCTGCGCAAGGTTGGCTTGAAGGTACCGTCTTCGTCTGTCGATAAATGACCAAAAAGCTGCAAAGATGCGCCGTCGCTAACGAGAAGCGCCCGTCATTCTAGGATGCCTGGCACCAAATGAACGTACGTCCACATTCATTCCCCGTCGATTGAGAGCCCCGGCCAGACCACGATATCCCGGCGAACGACTATATACGGAGAGAGAGAGCCAGAGCTACTAACACCCACCCACGTTGTTGCTCTCCACAAACAGTATATCGGTATGGAGTCATCTCATTCCCCGACCTACTACGTACCAGGGTTCTGTACCTGACACCAATGCCTGATACTCTGTACTATGATAAACAGGCGACACCAAAGCCGGCACCCTTGTAGGCGTCGACAAGTTCGGCAACAAGTTCTTCGAGAACCAGGAAGAACTCCCGCTGCGCACGCGCTGGGTTGACTTCGCCAAACACGATTACGACCCCTCGCAGATCGAGCCGCTCTGGCACGCCTGGATCTCGTACGCCATCGACACGGTGCCCACGCAGGATCCCATCGCGACCCAGGCGCCCAAGAGACCCTGGGCGCCCGAGGTGCATCACCCCAACTATACGACACTGCCGGGAGCTTTCAAGACTTTCAACACGTATGTTTCTGTTTTTTTTTTTTTTGCTAGTCATGGCCGGAATACGGGGAATTGTGTGCTGATGGCAGATTTAGTGTCAAGCCCAAGATTCAGTCGTGGGAGCCTGTTGCTGCTCCTAGACACTAAATCTCGATCGCTGAGTGACGGTGAGGCGGTCTCTTGAGAGGAGGTGTACAGATGGACGCTGAGAAAGAGAGAGAGATGTGAGCATGTCTTGCTTGGAGAAGTTTATCCGGAGAACAGAACGTCATAGGGAAGAACAGAACCTATAGAATGCATATACTGCAAGGCTCCAGCTCACAATCCCATACTGGAAATCTCATCACCAGCGTTGCGAAGAAAGTGTCTGATATATCGGGAACCCATAAATACCCGCTCTCCCCGTCTTTTACATATGCTTCCATCCTGCCTTCCTGTCCATCCATGCCGTGTTGATATGCAAGAAAAGATCCCCTTACTCCGATCCTCGATCAAGCATCCAGACCATCAAGCTCGACAAGCTTCACCACCGTCTTGATGATATCATTCTTCTCAACATCCAGCGACGGATTTTCGACCTTCATCGTGATCAGCTTATCAATCAGCCCTCTCAACCTCGACACCAGAACACCGATACGGGCCCATCCGCGGAGGCGCAACCAGCCATCAACCACAAGACCGCGGCCCTGGGTATCCAAATCAATGGCACCCGAGAAAAGGAGGAGGGTGTAGGCGTTGAATGCTAATGACGGTATTAATATCCCAACACTACAAGGAGAAAAACAAAACAAAAGGCGGATAAAGGAACAAACTTACGCGTAAGATCCCTGATGAAGATCTTGCTAGTGGCAATCTTTGTGAAATACGACATGAACGACGCGTTGCCCGTGAATCCCTGACTATCGAACAGCGTGCTGCTAGGATGGATAAACACCCTTCCGTTCTCCTGCGAGAAGAACTTGATAGTCTTGGCCTCCGGGTCCAGCTCCACGGCACCAGTCATGGATGCTGCGAACTTCTTGTCGGGGAACTGGATCCGGGCGATCTGCGGGCTGAAGGCCGAGGCGGTGAGGGCGCGCAGGAGAGCCATGGACTTGGTTTGTTGACTGTTGGACTCGGAGTAGTTGTGCGGGATGATACCCATCTCTTTCAGAGCCGAGTAGTACTGCGACCGAGTCGAGGCAATGTCGGACAGCGTCTGGTAGTTGAGGAAGTTGTCGCCGCACCAGGCACGCACTCGACTTTGCCCCATGCGCTCATGCATCTGGTCATTCCACTCCTGGAAGGCGCGGAGGTCGGTGAGCAGGTCGCCGTCGCCTTGGGAGAACCTCTTCCTGGCTTCTTTGGCTTCCTCGCGCTTCTCCTGGGGCGAGACAAACGGGCTCTTGGTGCTCAGGATGGCTGCGATGGTGACGCAGTCGTCAAGACAGCCAAAGATGGAGCCGTAGACCATCAGCTTGCCGCACCGCAGATCGGCGGGGATCATGGCCAGTTGCTGACCAAGGGCAGTCAGCTCCTCGCCATCGAGGGCACCCATTCTTCTAAGCATCGTGATCGATGCCTCGACGGCTGTGGCCTCGGGCGGCGTCGGTGCACGAGAGAGGAAGTGGCTGACGTCCTTGATACCCATTGCTCTGACAGCCAAACACAGCTGCTCCAAGGGAACACGTCGGATCTCTGGGTCGGGACGCTCAGCCATTTGCATCTCCAGGTTCCGGGTGAAGAGCTTGTAGCATTTGCCTGCTTGGACACGGCCGGCACGACCACGACGTTGCTTGCAAGCGGCACGCGAAGCCCATGTCTCCTCGAGCTTACGCATGTTGTTCTGAGGGTCGAACGAGGTCTCCTTGACCCTGCCGCTATCGATAACTGCGACGATGTCGTCGATAGTGATGGACGTTTCGGCAACGTTGGTGGCGATGACCACCTTTCTCTTGCCTGGAGGAGCGGACGCAAACACCCTCTTCTGCTCTTTGGTTTCCAAGGAGGCATGGAGAGGGAGAACATGGAGAGAAGGCACTGCTCGCAGAGCGTTGCAGGCGCGGTTGATTTCAGCAACGCCGGGGAGGAAAATCAGAATACCACCAGCCTTTTGAGTCTCGGCGAGTTCGCTATCAATGGCACATACGGTCTCCACAAGGAGGTCGTAGTTGATGCGGCTGCCCATTCTTTGAATGATCTTGTTGATAGGGTCATCGTTGGGATCCTCTTTGGACTTGCTGCCAGCGTTGTCGTCATAGTAGTACTCGCGGTTGTTACCAATGCTGAAGCCCGTCATGTGAATTACATCGTCGAGGTAGTAGTCCTGAACAGGATATGTCCGGCCAGAGATCTCAACCAGGCCAACCGAAACATTCTTCCCATCAACGGTAAAGTAGTCTTTGAAAGACGCAGCATCAAGCGTGGCACTCATGAGAATGAGCTTCAGATCCCTGCGCTTGTACAACACATCACGAATAATGGCAAGCAGGAAATCAGTATCAAGACTGCGTTCGTGCACCTCGTCGACCACCACGTGGCTGACATCGGCAAGCGATGCGACCACATCCTCTACGCGGCCGCCCGAGGTCTGGAGGCGTCGTAGCAGCACACCAGTCGTGACAAAGGTGATCCTGGTGTTCGGGCTCGTCTTGCTTTCGCCACGGATCGAGTAACCGACTTCCTGGCCAACCTGTGAACAGCGCTCGTCGCTAACTCTGTCCGCCAAACCCAGGGCAGAGATACGACGAGGTTGTGTGACAATGATGTTTGCGCTCTTTCCAAGTCCTTTGCTGTAGAGGTCATCCAAGATGAACTGGACGGACTGCGTAGACTTTCCGGAACCGGTTTCTCCGGAGATGATAGTAACTTGGTTTTCCGACACCGTCTGGATGAGGTAATCCTGTACCTGCCATGCTGGCAGATTCTGCCGTGCGTACAGCATCTTCTTGTAAGAGGGAGTTTCCGTTCTGGCACGCCACTCCTCCGTGCTACGAGGATCAGGCGACCAGTTGATAGGCTTGGGGCAACGAGGGGCCCTTCGTGCCCGCTTAACGGCCTTTTTGGGTTCCTCTGAAGCTGCAGATGCCACAGCGGCAACTTCGCGGATGCGACCAGGCTTTTCGATGATGTCGTTGATGTTTTCTTGCACCCAGCTGGCAACGTAGAAAATCTTCATCTCCTCGCCTTCCAGCGTAAGAGCATATGCCAATGCCTGCTTGATGACACTGAGCTTGATGTAGGACGGAAGAGCAGCCACCATAGCCAAAATAACCTGGGTAGGATACTGCTCTGATTTACGGAACTGCACGCAGGCATCCACGTTGGTTTGGCTGCCATTCTTGACACCCTCCAGCTTAATCTCGCAAATTTCTGGAGAAGTCTTGGAAAACTTTTCGCCGAAGCATGCCTCCAACGTAGCCATCTCCTCTTCCCAGCACTCGTCAGCATCCCTCCAGGTGTCTAGGCCATCCGCATCCTGCGAGGAGTCATCAACGGACTCGGAGCCGCTCGCCAGAAGAAGCTTCTGCAGGTCTTCTGCCGCTTTAGCCTCATCTCCGTTATGGAGCGCCAAGAGCTTGCGACAGAGGTCAATAGAGTATCCGGACTGAGCGAGTCGCGTAATGGCGCCCTCTCTTTTGAGATCAGTGGCAGCGACAGTAACGCCAGCACTATACTTCTCAGGGAGAGCCCACCGCGGAAGATCATCCTCAGGAATATGAACCAAGAGCCATTCCAAGGCCTCTTCTCTGTCTTTGCACTCCTCCACGGCCTCCTCGATATGGCTTTGGCGGAATCCCAAATCCTTGAACTCCTTGACGATGGCGGCCTTTTGCGAGGCCGACATGACCACTCCGTTCGGATTCCAGACCGTCTCCCTGCGGAGCAAATCCTCGAGCTGCGATCGTGTCTTGTTGCCCATCTCGATCTTGGGAACATTAGCCCATCCCCTCATGACATTGTGCGCGCCACCACCACCTGCGCCCCCGGAGCCACTGCCCCTGAATGCCAAAGAAACACCGGGTTCGTTTGCGGCCTTTTCCTTGGCGGCCTGGAGCTGAGCTCTCTTCTTCTCGGCGGCGGCCTTTGCCTCCTCGCGCTCTCTCTGGGCTTGGAAAGGGTCGGCCTCGTACATCCATGCCTTGCCCTCCTTGACATCCTGCTTCTTGAGGGCCTCAAACTCCTTCCACAGGGACCTATAATCTGGCGGAAGCGTCATGTGCATGTTCTTCATGCTGCAAACGCGGTACAGGGCATAGGTAGCGGCGAAATGCTTGGCCTCGAGGGCAGTGGGCTTGTAGGCGAGGTGCACATGGCTTGGAGGCAGCTTGAATGGCGGCAGCGTGGTGACTTCCTGCGTCTTTGGGTTCTTTGCGCTGAGAGTAACAAAGACAGAGAACCCATCCTTGGTCTTGATGGTGTTGTAGTCGGGTCTCTCCCACTTTTGCTTCTGGCAGTGCTCCGAAAGAAGGTTCACGGGTAGCTTGCCGGTCCAGGAGTGACCACCGATGATTTGCTTAACCGTCGGCTTCGGGGGCCCGGCGTCAAGCTCCTCCGCGGGTTTGGAGGGACCAGCTTTAGCTCCTCCCCTCTTGCCCTTAGGTTCCTTGTCGGAATTGCTAAAGACAATGAAATCGCCCTCTGATGGGCCTGCGGCCTTCTTGGAGTCCTTTTTGGCTTTGGAGGTGGGCTGAGATGCTGCCGACGATGAAGCGGCTGCGGGCGCAGGGGCACTGCTCTTGGTTCCCTTTTTGGCCATATTTGCGACCGTAGGTAGTTTGAATTGTCTCCCACGATAAAGAATTGGTTTGTATTATCAAAGTTCACCGGTTGCTCAAGCGTTGCAGAAAAGGAAAAGGTTGAAGCCGAAGAGTTGGCCGCGGCGAATGACACCCACAAGAACTGCACCTACGCTTGCGCCGCTGTCCATTTCTGTCAGGACTGGTGGAATTAGTGAGTGAAGGAGGGCCGGAGATATCTGGCCCGGTGAGAGTAATGATCGGTGATACAATCAGGTCCACAATCAACTCAGATGGAAGTCGAAGGTGGGGAGGTGATAGCTGTGTCGGTTCGGTTGCGCAAGTAGCTTCAGTTCTTGTTGGTTTGGTTTGCCAGACGAGAAATTCAATCCCTGTGGTTTGATGACAAGCACCGTGAGCGTTGACGGCAAAAAAAAGTCACTGCAAGGACAGCGGCTGCACTGGGGCGGCGTCAAAAGTGGGGCCATCTGGACGTGGCTTATCAGTATGTAGTGTATCTACCTTTTTATTTTGTGATGATCGCCATAAAGGACCTCCTGTCTTGGTTGACTTTCTTATTCAAAACCACCTGGCATTAGCTGTGTGTTTATTTTCCCCCATCTCACCAAGCTCTTGGAGGTTCAAGAAGGTGGTAAATTACACCAAACGAGTACCGTTGGCCAGGAATCTCAAGTTAAGAGGTGCTCCGGGTTACGTACGAGAAGAGTGGGGCTAATCAAAAGCAAGGCGTTGTTAGGGTTGCGGTTAGGGTTCACAACGGCAACTGCTGTGCTGGCGATCAGGACACAGAGTCGCAGAGTTGGGACCTGGGGAGGGGTTCGCGCAGGAACACTGCATTTCACCTTTACAACCCTTTCTAGTTATATCCAGGATGTGAACAAGTCAGAAATGTTTCATCCGAGAAGCATCCGTCTACTTTCCAAAATGCGAACAGGCGATTTTCTACCTGGGATTTTGCGTCTGTGAGCAGGCTTGTGCGACCCTCGGCCCGGGACCGCAAGGCCCCAACTTGTGTAAACATTCACGGGCATCCAAAGGCAAGCGCGTCTCCCGCCGGACTACATAACTCTGCATCGTCCTCTTCGTGTCGAGTTTGACCCAGCCTTTCATCCTTTCTCTGTCCTCTCCTGTCCTTCCTCTTGGTGGGGCGCACCTCGGGTTCACCTTGATAGGTACCACCGGGACTCTGTTCTGTAAGTGAGTTGCAACTTTCACTGCTTCTCGTCCACACTGCAGCCATCTCAAACCCAGGACACTTTCAAACTACTGCCTTCAACTGCGGGGTTACCAAGGTTCAGTTACATCTACACTATTGCTTGGTATTCCCATCCATTGGAGTGGTGGTATTTGGATACCTCTAGCTGGCTGATGCCTCCTGCCTTGTTAGTCCTAGCAGGCTTTCATCGTGTGTTCATTTCTATCTGCCCGTCCATCATTCTCATTTGGTTTTCACCTCACCAACATGAGTACCGACAGCAACCAAAATAATCCCAAACGCGCTCCCTACGTCGTGCGCGAGACTCCAGTACCACTCCCCTCATACGCTGGTGTGCCCAACAGTCAGACCTCATCTGCAGCTCCAGCTCCAGCTCCAGCTCCAGCTCCAGCTCCAGCCCCAGCTTCAGCCCCAGCTCCGGCACAAAGCCAGCAACTCCAACAGTCAGGACCACCGAATGGTCAATTACTTCTAGATTCTACCCCCCCAGCCGTGAAACCATCTATTGAACACGCAGATAATAGCAGCACAATGTCGTCTTCAGGCCGGCAACTTAGGAGTCGACGGCCAGCTCCTCCTCCACCCTCGGAGCCGCCTTCGAAGAAACGAAAAGCTACATCATCCCGAGCTGCTCCCGAGCCTCCCCAGGAAACAGTCCAACCCGTGTCACCACCCCTGCCACAGGAGGATGAAGGACAACCAAAAGCTACCCCCAAGCAAATGCCAATTCTAAGACCCCCTACCCAAACGGGTGGTACATCGCCGCCACAGCACCCCGACGACATCTACCGTATGCCACCTCTCCCACCCTACCTCTCCGTTCAGCCGCGCATCTGTGAGCCGGCCGACAACTACCGGGGCTGGACCACCCCCTTAGAATTCAGCTACAAGATGAACGTGCACCCGCTCACCTTCTACGGCTCCTTCGACATCTGGTTCGAGCAGGTCCAAAAGATGGCCGAAGCTAGCAACTGTTCAATAGAGCTGAATACGCGCATCGGCAAGTTTCCCGACCCGGGCACCGTCGAGGCCTTTATCTGCCAGATGCGCTTCCTGAGCTGCTGGCGGATCCTACACGGCACCATCTCGGGCGCCTACTGGGCCTACATGCGCGTGCTGGGCTACAGCCGGATCCCAGTGTTTACGGGCGCGCCTGACGGGGGCAGTGGCGAGCAATCCGGCGCGTGTCAGTGGCAGCCTCAGCCGAGCGACTGCGTCTACTTTGCCTTGGAGGTCAAGAAGCGCGTGACGGTGCCGAATTCGGAGCAGCAGCCGCGGTACCAGACCATGAGGATGGTGGAGGAGGTGCGGTCGGCCAAAGTGACGGACTACCCGAGCGTTCAGCAGTACAAGGAGGGCATGGCGTGGCTGAAGGAGGTGTTGAATGGCATGATCCTCAAGGGCGACAGGCAGGTATGCGAGTCCATGTATGATCGGAAGCCGGACTGGGCGCCAGAGTGGCCGGAAGTGCCAGCGGGCGGCGAGGTGGAACCTCCTTGGGCACTTAAAGGAAGCCCGTTACGAGCGGAGGATGCGTTCAGCGGTTCCAATGGATCAGCGGGAGTAGTAAGCATTTCGAAAAACGCCGGCCACATCGGGCAACAACATCAACCTCAACAAGCACAATCAAACTTTCAAATTGACCCAAGACTTCAAGCAGGCCCTCCAGACCACCACCACCAACAACAACCAAACAACCACGCAATAGCCCGTCTAGCACCAATGAGCGCCTCTTCCAGTGACGGCGGCTACAGCTACGGCGGCGACGGATCAGTAGACTTTGCCAACAGCAGCAACAACCTAATCTTCATGGACGGCACAACCGCCAGTGCAGTCGCCGTCGCTGCCGCTGAAGCGCACGGCCTAGGCGTAGGCGGTCCGAGCAGAACCCTGCAGCAGCAGGAAAACCACGATAGCAACAACCAACAATAATGTGAAGAGCGATTTCAGCTAGTAGCGATGAAATGGCGAACAAGACACCGACAAAGACAAGTTCCGTCGCTAACGTGTGGGGATAATCATTCGAACTGAGGGAAGAGTTGCCACTGGTACTGGTCAAAATCGGCGAGGCGGGGGAAGCGGGATCATAAGGCGACGGAGAGTGACGGCGCAGCGATGATCTTGACGACCTCGAGGACGGCAGTGGACACGGCACCTGCATTTTGAACGATGAAACATGACGCTATTTTGATTCTTGATTTTAGTGTAGGTACATGCTTTGGGCGCTGGACACCGGCACAAGGACTGACAACGGGGTTAACGCCTTTTTGTTTGATTTGTTTCTTTATTTGTTTTCTTTTTCTACTCTCGGGCTACCGGAAGGGGTGGCGGTCGAGCTACGTCAGGAAGTCACGCATTCTATTTGGATGGATAGGCAAAATGGACGGAACAATTGGGCAAAGCGAGACGGGGTTTCAAACATGGAATTGGCACGGAGTTTTCTTCGAAAGCAGTGATGTGTCTCGGGGCAATTGTTGTCCGTTTCGATGACCTGCCTGGGTATACGGAACCATCATGAATGTACAGGTTTGGGTAGAAATGGCATACGTGGGATGGATCAGGGATGCATCAAACTTGAGGTTTTTCAGCCATGGCGAATGCCACGACAAGAATGCAACTCGAGGTTTATGCAGACTGAAATGAGAAGATTTCGCTAGCAGCTGCCTGAACGGTCTGATCCGAGGGACCTCGACAGAGATGACATGAAAAAGCAACGCAGAATGCATACGATCAGTAGGCTCGAACTCGAATCCATTGTCAACTAACAACACACCCTAAGCCTGCGCTTTCTAACCCATCGTCCCTACTCCTTCGTTTGAAGCCGGTATTTGCCACAGTGTCCTGCTTCGGCGATGATGCTGGCTGTTCAACAAACAGGGATAGTGATGGTTGAGGCACCAGTTTGACATGGTCCTGCTCTGCTTGTTCGCCTTCTTGATCGCTTTCGTCTGGTGCTGGTCCTGTTCGTGGTGACGGTGTTGAAGGTGCTGAATAATCGCAAAAAGATGATGAAAATGATGATGACGGAGAATGATCTTGCTCTTGTCCGTGCTCTTGCTTTGTACGCGATGGTGGTTCCGGAGTCCCTGGTGGTAAAAATAGAGATTGAGACGACCACGGTGGTTCTGGAGGATCCGAGCTCAGGGCAACCACTATACAGTCCAAAATTTCTTCCTCCGACTCCTCCACTATTCCTTCTGTTTGTTCTTCTTCTCTGGACTCATTGCCCAAAGTCGACCACTAAGCGCTATCAATGGGGATGTCCTTCAAGTGGCGGTTAGTCACAAAGGGGTCGTGCAACAGGATGTTTCTTACAGGATGCCATTGAGTGAAAAGCTGCCTTGTGGGTTGCTAGTGCTCATACGAACCTCTTCACCAGTTGCTTCGATGTCACTAGGGTCCAAGCCATTCAAGGTCATATCTACGTCACCAAACGCATCCTTGAAGTTGTTGTTCTCGTCGCCTGAAATGAAGTCGGAAAAGTCAGAGAGGCATTCGCTCGCTAGCACTCTGGGTTTTCGGTAAAGTATGAGGAGAAGGGCATGGCACGGCATGACCCTATGGAGACATGAGATATAGGAGTGAAAGAAATATGAAAAAAGGATAGGTATTTTGGTCTTGGTATCTAAAGAAAACAAGAATGACACAGCGCAGCGCGAATGGGAAAGATGAAGACTCGCCGGAAACCGTGATAAGAGTTCAGATTGAGAGCCGAAAAGTGGCTACTTTTACTCACTTGCGGCCTCGTCGACGTCGGAGGCAGCATCAGAGGCAACCTTGTCGGCCTCATCCGCATCCTCCTCGTTGGCGACAGCCTCCTCGCCATCTTCCTCCTCAGCAGACTGCTCGGTCGCAGCCTTGGGGGGGCGGCCACGTCTGCCAGGTCCGCCCTTCTTGGGAGTAGCCTTCTTGGAGCTAGGAGTGGCAGCCTCGCTGACATCGGACTTGCGAGGACGACCACGGCCTCTGCCCGTGGAAGAGGGGGTGGCCTTAGGCGCAGCAGCCTTCTTGGCGGCAACGGGGGTGGCCGCAGACTTGGGAGGACGTCCGCGGCGAGAGACGGTGCTGGCAGCAGTCTTCTGAGGGGCCTTCTTCACACCACCGCTGCCCTTGGGCCTACCCCGGGGGCGACCAGAAGGCTTGGGTACGGTCTTCCTCTCAGACGGGTCCTTGGGGGGACGGCCGCGGCCGCGCTTGACGGGCTGCTCCTCAGATTGGGGCTTGGTGGGCGCCATATTAATTGAAGTAGATATGGATGCAATTGCGATCTACTCGAAAGTTCTTCTTGCTGTTTCCTCTTCAAACAGTTAGTTTTGGGTGATGCAACGTGAAAGGAGCGTCAGCAAAGCAAATGAAAATAAACCTGCCGACTGGGCAGGGGGGAGGTCGTGGATGAGGAAAATAAGGTGCAAATGCGAAAAGCAGCACGCGCACTTACCGAAAACAAAAAAAATCGGCAAAAATGGCCACGATCCGGTTGCAACGAATCTGGGGTGTATTCGTCAAGTTCTGATGGAGGAGAAGGAAGGCTGGGTGGTTTTTTGGGTATAGGAAAAAGAAATGATTTTTGTTTTGATTTATTTTGGACGGGGTCCAGGTGGTGCCGCAGGAGCAGGAGCGGGCTGGCCCAGCCAAAAGCGTGTGCTGTCACTTGACGCGACCTGGCCTGGACCCTTCCTCATGGGCGCGTCCCTTCCTTGTCCCGTCCCCTCAACAACAACCCCTTTCCGGGCAGGTTGGAACCGGGAACCTTGGTCCCCGTTCTGGGGTAATTCGAAGATGAACACCCATGTCATATTATTCGTTGCGAGCACGAGAGCGATTGCATGCCATGATCTTCGCCTAATCAGGCTTTTGTATAGTCTTAACATTTGTTTGAAAGCACAGCGGTTATATCCATCAAATTGCATCTCAGCGCTTGGTGTCTTTGCATGGGTCCGGTTCTTCCCCGAGACATGAACCTGTCTCGTACTTTCTCATATTTTTCCAATACACAACGTTGTTCCTTCCTTTCGCCTTCACTTTGTCTTCGCTCCTCCTGTTTCTGCCTTCGAACATGCGCGATGAGATCATCATAATTGGTTGTACCTCCGGTGTCGTAATCACATCAGTCGGCCCATGTATACCTAATAAATAGCCATTTCATATCTCATCGTCGTTATATGGTACAAATCTCTGCGTTTTCCCCTTGACTCCGTTATGACTGAGCTGGTGTACTGCTTGCAGTGCTTCGCTGTTTTCAACTTCAGAAGAATTTCGGCTCGCAAGATCCCATTTCTCATCGTATCACCAGCTTCCTGTGTCCCGTCGAAATGTTGAGCCCAGCACTAGGTAGACCAATCTTACAAAATTTTGGCAGGAAGGGAGCTGCCTGCTGGCGGTTTACATAACCACCAGCTCCCGGTATATAAAGACATAAAGAGAACAGGATCGATCCAATGTGATTAGATGTCTATAAGAAGGTGTGTTTACGCGAAAACTGCAAAGAAGGTTGTTGCAGTCCCCCCGTTCATTGATCACCACCTTTCTTGGCCTTGGCGCTGGCACCGCTCTTGACGCGGCGGGCAACGGGGCGGTTGAGATGGTGCGAGGGAATCCAGCTCTCGTCAAAGTTCTTCTCGCCGCCAGAGGTGGCACCGGCCGACTCGGAACCAGACAAGGGCTCGGAAACTTCGACCTTCTTGACCTTAGGGGCCTTGGTCTTCTTAACAGCCTGGGGGAAGAGAGCCTCGATCCAGGTCTTGTAGACGAAGTAGAGGGTAGCGCCGAAGACACCGGTCAAGAAGAGGTAGAGGAAAATGCTACGGAAGAAGTAGGTCAGTATCAATGTTCGTCATTTCTGTAGTTCAGGGCCTAAGAACACTCACATCTGGGGGTCGAAGATGCTGGTGGGGGCCTCAACAATGCTGGCGGTGCCGTTGTGCAGCTGGATCTCAAAAACCTCGCCGGCGGGGTTGGTGACGACGGCAAGAAGCTCGACAACGACATCCTGGGGCATCATATCCAAGACAAAGTTGTAAGGGAGAGTCTGCTTCTCGCCAGCCGGAATCTCGATCTGGAACCGAGTGGCGGTTAAGTTGCGCACAATCTGGGCGTAGACAGGCGCGTCCTCGGGCAGGGGGCGAGTGGTCTTGAGGGCACCGCCAACGAAGGCGACCTGGATAGGGCCATCCTCCTGGTTGGTGATATCGATGAGGGCCTTGGTGACCTTGCCGTTTACGAGTTTGACGCCAAAGATGTCGGCATCGGGGAAGGTAGTCTCGATATCGGCCTTCAGCTCGGGCTGTGAGACGGGAGCCGCGGTCGAATCATCGCCGATGGTCTATAGGAAGCTCTGGTGGTTAGCAGGTGAAATGACAGGGAAGCGGGGAGAAGCTGTGATGCGGTCATGACTACCTAGCTGAGTAGCTAGCGAGAGGTAGCTGTTCCCAACGAGAACACAACTGGGAAGGGACCTGAGCTCACCTCTTCTTGTGCGAAGACAGAGACGGCGCGGAGAGCGAGCAGGGCGAGAGAGCACCACCTGAAGTTGACCATGATGACTGACGTTGGGGGGAACCGGGGAAGCAAGGAGATAGGAAATGGGTTTGACGAAGCGAAGAAAGGAGGAAGCAGAAGGGAAGTGGAATTCAAGGCCAAATATCTATTCTAGAAGCGTGAGGTGTCCCAAAGGCGGCGAACACTGGACCCAGCCAGGGAGCGACCTAAGCTCCAGCGGACTGGGGACGACCTGAGGCGGCGGGGGGACGAAAGTGCGGGTCCTCTTGGCTGCCAAGACGCGACTCTGACGAACGGGAAAAAAGTGTTGGCAACCAGTCTGCAATGTGGCCTCGACCTTCCCGTCTTTTGCCAACCCCTGCGTCACGCCTCGCTAGCTCCCACGAGTAGCTGCTGGATATGCATATATCAAGATCTCGTCGGTAAAAAGCTTCAATTGGCGCATATCAGAGCTTTCAGAGCTTCCACTGTTCCACAGTTTCCCCGGAGACAGGGCCCAGGGCGGGGGGCAGATCAGAGAGAACCCCCGGAAAAGTCGGGGCTTCGTCAAAGGACAAGAGCTACTCAACAAAGTAAATAGTTCGTGCTGTCCAATATTCGCGTTCCAATAGTTGTTCTTTTTTCTTTTTTTCTTCGGTTTTAGCAGCAGGGTCAAGTGACTAGGTTTGCAAACCTGCCCGTTATGACGCTGCTCAACCGCGGACCTTTTTGCTTAGAGGGATATTTCGACGCATTGACCAAGGTTCACAACAGATGGAAGAGATTGCTATAGCGAGTTCAATACTAACTGCACAGCCGCCAGATCTTCTTCAACATCAACCCTCCAACTTCCTACAGCAATCCGTACCGCATTCTCGCCATTCCACTTTGTTGGACTCACATACATCCTCCTTGTCTCATTGATTTTCCCTACCAAGGCCTCATTAAGGTCGGGATTCTTTGCCTTGAACAAGACGATGATGTGCGTGCATTCGATATCAGCTGTTTCATCGGGCAGCAAATCGTACTTGTCCGAGTCCCGGATGAAGGCGGCAATTCTTCGCGCTAGGTCGACCATCCTGGCCAGCATTTCGCCCATGTTGTCGCGGCCGAGATGCACGAGTAGAGCATATACAGGAAGGGCACGGAACCGTCGCGAGTTTTCAAGGCCTACGTGTAAGGGGCTTTGAATGTCGGTGGTGGTACCAGATCTTGACGTTAATGCTACTGGCGCTAGGTATGCCGCGTTAGGGTTTTGGAAGACATGGCTCATAACTTCCGGACTGCTGCAGAAGAAGATGCCGTTATCATAGGGCTATCAAGACTCGATGTTAGACATGGGTTGGGTAAAGATCCCTGGAAGGTTGAGAACTCTCGAGAAGGTGATCGACGAAGACTTACCACGTTTAGCAACTTGTGACCATCAGCAGCTATACTGTCCGCCAACTCCAAGCCAGCAGTCCTCTCAAACAGTTTGGCGAACCTCTCAGTCTTGGGAAGGGCGCGAGCAAATATGCCGAAGGCTTTTACACATTACCACCGCCGTCAGCATCACTCTCACCCTATCCGTCCTTGTAGGGCAGCCTTCAACTGAGGGGGTGCTTAGCAGTAACTCACCTCCATCAACGTGGATCCACGCCTTGTATCGATCGGCCAACTGCCTCAGCTCTTTCATGGTTTCGCCAGTCGTCCCAAAATGCCCGGTGTTTACCTCTCCGGCGCTCACCACGATAATGTTCGCCACATCCTCGCGCTTCAATTCCCGCTCCACGGCTTTCAAGTCCAATAACCAAGGGGCATCCGCGAGCCCCAAATCCCTAACCGCCGCTCTCCCCAACCCCACGACACTCGCCGCCTTGTAAAGGGATGAGTGGCCCTTGCTCGTCAAGACCTGTACTTCCTTTACGCCCGCCGCCATACACGCAGCCAAGAGCCCCAACTCGCCTACCCCTCCGGTATTTTTTGCGTAGTCGGGCAGCCTTGCCGAGATGACCGCCTCCCGACCGCATGCAAGGCCCATGATATTGCTTGCCGTTGCTCCAGTCGTGAAAGTCTTACCATGGAACCCATCCAAATCCAAGAGCGAGCGGAGCATCGAAAGAGCGTGATGCTCCACAACGGTGCTTATGGAATGAGTCGAAGGCATGTGAACCTGGACATTCTGATCCAGTGCCGTAACCACATTATCGGCAGCCTGCGCCACGGGATGGACACCCCCTGTCACGAATCCGTAGTAGCGCGAGGAAAGCGCCTGCGAGTTGAGAGCGGGCACGATATCAGCCAAGATGTGCGTAAGTGTCGAGTAGAACTCCTTGCCGTCGCCGGCGAAGCCCGGGTTCTGTGGTGGCTCGCCGCCAGAGTAGATGGACGAATCGCGGCAGTAGTTTTCTACCCAGGCTTCGGCGTGAGCCAGGTCTTCCGGGCGAGGCGTGACATAGAGGTTGGGGTCGAAGGTTTGCGTGAGGATTTGGAGAACTGTGTAGCTGACCACCAGCTTCTTGACGTCGTTCAGCCTCTCGGTTCCCTGATTGACGGGACAGAACTCGTCGAGGAGTTCGGAAATCCTGCTTTCTATTGGCTTGAGGATCTCGTCCACGAAGGTGGGTTGTATGTGATCCGGTAGAGGTGTGCTTGCCATGATCGATTTGATTTTCTGGTGATGGGCTGGCTCGTTCCGGTTTGATGATTGGTTTTGAATCAAGTTTAGCACAAGCTTATCGGCGCAATGGCGTGCATGAATGGCATCGATGTCTCTACTTTTATGTTGACTTGATGGTGCTGACGAATTTTGAACGCTACCGATACTGTAAGGTATACTTGGCTTTCAAAGGGACTTGATGGAATCCGACGCTGAGTCACCGCTTGCGAGCACGACGATACCTGCTAGGTACCTACTTTTCTTACCTTCGCCCTGTGAACAAGTGATCAAATCAGTGGTCCCCGCCTTCTTTACCATATATTTCTTTTAGCGGTCATCAATACACTTGAGAGGGTTGAGACTGGTTCGATCGATTTCACGGTTTCACCAATAGTGAGTCTAAGTAGAGGCAACTCAAACTATATGTACGAGTCTTTTGGGCGTGCATTGCCAGTTGGTATACCCGAACACTTCCTGGATACAAAAGGTTTCCGCTTTTCGCGTCACTGGTGCTAGTGCCGCAGTATTGGGTCGGGTAGGGTGCTCTTTAACCACCTTTTTGTCTACACTACTGTATGTGTATCCAGGCGAGGATAGGAGACATATTTCCTCCCCAGTAGGGCGTTTACCCACTATCACATGGGAACCCGAGGCTGGACCGGGTTCGTGGAAAATTGAAAGTCGGGGTCCAGTTGGAGCCACCATTGCCCACCAGAGTGATCAACAACAACGGCCCTTGTCTTCGGGGATGAGCCAACGAAAATGCAGCGGTGGTCCGGGATTTGGATCCTACGATGTAGATAGTTAGGTACTGTACCTGATCTTTCCGCTTCCAGGTAATGCACCGATGGGTTCTTTCACTAATTTGCGGTGCTTTGAGATGAGCGATTCCTCATGGTCAGCATTCACATGCGTTAGTTCTTGGCTTGCCAGGCGTCTTATTTACCAAAATCATCATCTCTCGAGGTGGCTCTGATGATATCTGTGTGAGCCGACGTCTTTGTGCCCTTGCGAATCAGTATAGATCGGGACATATGTATTGTAAAATGCGTAAAGGGCCAAAATGACTGCGGAAGATAATGATCATTTCACAAGGTAGGAGGGGAAGATGAGGGGACAAGCGAATGGAAATGTGCATTGAGGTTCCTTCCATTGGACAGGGTGTCTGTCTGGCCTGCGCCGCCGTATCGATAACGGCGATAGAGGTACACCTAAGCGCCCCGTCCCGTCCCCAGGGGCATTTTCCGCACTCAATTTCAGGACATGCCGGCTACAACTTTTCTTCCCCTCGCGAGTGTCGTTATTGTTTAATTTGCTCTTCAAACACCACAAGAGGTTCAGAAGACGCGCGCGTCCAATCTTCCAAGCTCCCGTATCACCGTGGATGACTGGATTGCCTCTGACTGTTCGAAAACTTGCGCTCGGCGAGACAACCTACCCTCTCGAACTATTCAGACCACGTTGTCCACGACTTGCAGACAAAGTCGCAGCCATCCCACCCACAAAGATGCGTCGTAGGCCTACCAATGCCGCTGCAGATGTGTTTCAGTTATGCTTCTCCCATACAGCCGGCATATGCTGCCCGGTGGGTATGAGCTGGAGAGGACATCAATGCGGAATGGACGACACAACTTGGGTGGCCCTTCTTGGACCGTCTCCATCTCTAATGTGCGCCATCCTAGACAGTTGACGCTATATTCACTCTCGTCTCGGACTGATCTCATATATCTCTGTCCTTCGCTGGACACTATGGATGGCATTGAGGCCAGGCAACACATGTATCAATCTTCACCCTCGAACACTCACCTCTTTCTTGGGTTTACGATTCCAGGGGTCTAGCGCCCTGAAAAGGCTATAACCCTGGAGAAGAGTCCGTGGGGAACTTCTCTTGTATGGTTCTAGACGCTTCATCCCGCGGATTCATGCCTCATTGGGCTTCGTGCTCAATGGTACCATTGGTACTGGATACGCCGAGTACGTCGAATGGTACCCCTTCATGCCCCCCCCCAAGTGCCTCCCGTGCCTTTGTACGCACCAGACTGCTGGGTCCGTTCCACCCCATTCCCACCCCGGACACTTGACTCGCTTCCATCAACACCCTCAGAAGCGGTGGACATCGATGCTTCCCGGTGCTTGGTCCCTTCGATAGGGTTGACCCAGATTGCTGGGACGCCCTCGAGCTTCCCAAACTTTCTCGGAACCTTTGCTTCCCCTCCTAGTTTCGACTACCGTGTCCCACCTAAGGTAATCGGTACCGCCCAGAGTTGTCCTTTCGACTTTGGGGTGGCATATATTTACACATGTCTTTTCTTCTCTGCTTCTGCAAACTCTGTCTTACCTTCTTCTTCTCCTCTTCTTCTGCCCTTTCAGTTCTCTTCCTTTGAAGCCTTGTTGTGTCGAGCATCCATCCATTGTTATAAACCCTGTAGCCACCTACAACCATGACCTTCCTACCGAGCAACGGTGGTTGCAACGGGTTCCAATTCACCTTTGAGACTTACCTAGACTCCTCTTCACCAAAAATTGAGGTTGACGTTAGTATCATGACGGACCAACGTTCCTGGGGTTCAAACACAAATAAACTGACACTCGTTATATGCAGTCCGATCTCTCTAGCTCTAGCCGTGACATATAGTACATCTCACTCCCCTACATTACCCATGAATGAGACCTTGTCTCTTGGGGTGATCAGCAAATTTTCACCTGTTATCCTCTCTAACGCATTACAACTGAAGTGAATCCGTTTCTCTTTCAGAGAGCATCTCCAAGTACGAGGAACAATTTGGGAGAACGTACCATTCTTATCGCGCGGGGTGTAAGTTTTGCATCTCAATGTGGAGATTCTCGGACTTCATTGCAAATTCACCCAGTGCACAGCTCGCACCAAACAGTTGCTGACCTGAAAAAAAAAACATTCTCATAGCTTACCACTACCCCAATGATCCTACCGAAACTGAGCGTCTAGATGATCAATATGAAATTGCTAAGGAGCTGATGGAGGGTCGCAACTACTTTGCCCCCTTCTCCCGCAAAAATCCTCCAAGAAAGGTGTTGGACATCGGTACGGGTACGGGCACATGGGCCATCGACATGGGCGATGAGTTCCCCGAGGCTGAGATCATCGGGACCGACCTCTCACCTGTTCAACCTGATCTCGTCCCGCCAAATGTCCGGTTTTTTGTGGAAGATTCGTCAGTACCTTGTTGACCAAATGTCCAATTACTCTTCTCGAGCATTAACACTGATCGGCCCCAACCAGATCCGAAGAATGGATATATGCCCCCAACCACTTCGATTACATCCACACCCGATACACCCTTGGTTGCTGGAAAGATATGAAGTCTCAGATCATCCAACGGGCATTTGACCACCTAAAGCCAAGCGGGTGGCTCGAGTGCCAGGAGCTCAACACGCTCCCGGTTTGCGACGATGGCAGCATGACAGACGACTACAAGCTGCTCCAATGGGCTCGAGATATGGACGATGCATCCAGGGCTGCGGACCGACAGCTGGTCATTGGTGACGATATCAAGAGGTGGCTGGAGGAGGTTGGGTTCGTGGACGTGCAGCAGATAGTGTTGAAATTACCCGTGGGTGGATGGGCCAAGGAGCCACGGCTCAAACACCTCGGAATGCTATGGCAGAGGAATCTATCGGGCGGACTGAGTGGGCTAAGTGTTGGGTTATTGCATCGTTTCGGTGGAAAGACTACAGAACAGGTTGAGGTGAGTTTCCCGTCTTGTCCATTTAGTGTGTCAAGGTCAATGAAGCACTTTGTCACTGACATATGGGTTCATGAAACAACAGGTCGACCTAGTGGGCGTGCGGAACTCCATGTTTGACAGAAATGCCCATGCATACATGAAGATCTATGTCGTCTGGGGCCGAAAACCGGATGTCATCTCATGAAGTAGGTAAATCAAAAAGCACCAAGATGAAAGAAAGCACGAAAGGGTCTCACAACGGATTTGTTAACCGCTGCCATCCATCAATTCCCGTGGCTTCATTCAACACGAGTGACTCTGAGACAAAGACGACTCTCTTCCAACTTCAATTATCCAAAAGTCTGTCTGCCCACCCAACACTCTCCCCATCTTCGCCCAAAACTCACTCCGCACTCCTCACTGCTCCTCCTTAACCAGCCACTCCAACTGCCTAATCTTCTCCTCATCCCCCTCCATCAACATCTCCAACCCCTTCCGATCCAAAAAATCATGATCAAAGACCTCCCATCCCGGCACCGTCGTCTCCGAAATGAAAATCATCTCCTCGTCATCCCCTTTGTCTTCGTCCTCATCCTCTAGAGGCAAAACAAAAGTCCCCTTATACTTCCCCCCCTCCACAATCCACTGCACCCTCTCTCCTTTTTCCACATTCTTCCCCACCACAAAACTCTCCACCCTACACGGCTTTTCATCCGCGTGCAAGATCACGTACCTACCACTCCCGCGATGCAGCGTGTGAATGATCCGTCCCCTGTTCCGGTGTAGATATCCCTTTGGCGATCCACCTTGTCCACCACCACCATTGGCTCCAGTTAGGAGGTAGTAAATGGTTGTTGAAGCATTCCTCAGCTTTGGGTCAAACCCGGGGCGGTAGTAGGAGCTTGGATCAAAATTATCCGTTGAAGAACCCTGGTTAGGATCGGAACAAGAAAAGGTGGTGGCAGGATACAGAGGAAAAGGAGAGGGAATCTTGAGCGGGTTCCGATCGGTTTCGGCCATGTAACCGCCCTCGACAAAGGCAGTAAGGGAGAGGCTGGCGATGATGGATTGGATTGAGGATGGCTCGAGAGAGGCGTCGGGGAGGGTTTGAGGGGCGGTGATGACGGAAGGCGGAGGTGGGGGAAAGAGGAGGTTGTCCGTGGTGTTGTAGGAGCCGGAGCCGGAGGCGGAAGAGGAGCTGGCCATGGCGAGTGTGGGGGGTGAGGGTTGTTGCTTGGAGGAATGAAGTTGAGTGTCGAGTTGATGAGTTTCTTGAGTTGTCCTAGCCGATGAGAAGCTTGATGTTGTTGTTATGCGGGGCTTAGGCGTTATGAGGTTCTCGTCGTTTTATGTTGTCCACGTAACTTTGGTCGAAACTTCCGTCCCATCCGTATGAGCTGGGTCTCCCTGGGTTGGATAGGAGCGGTAATTGTTGGCGTCAAGCAGGGAAGCTGAGGTAAGAAAAAGTTGCTGGTGCTTTCAGAGGGATGACGACGGGAGCATAGACTAGGAATATATAGATTGCAAATGCTACAAGTCGTGTGATTCGACATGCATTGTCATCATTGTTGGATGCAAGAGCGTAGCAGAAATCCGCAATATCTTGAATCGGCGATTTGACATGTTGGCCGGTGTCTTGGTGTATGTGTAAGTGGTACCTAGATATTGCTGGAGAGTGGGGCCGACTTATCGGGCGATAGGCGGGCAAGGCAGGTCTTACGGGTGTGGAAGCGTTGGTGATGATGTAGATGCACCACAATTCGTGTCCTGCGAGGCCGTAGTTGGCGCGACGGCTACCGCACCGTACTTTGAAAATTCACGGTTATACTGGTAGATATGAAGTCTGGGTTTGTTTTTATTGCGATAATCTGCAGATTCAATGGTGGCTTAAGACACAATCCAACCCGGGTTTGTGTGTTAGTCTGGTACAAAAAAGCCAAAGCCTTACTGACTTCATTTCTATCGGATGGACGCTGTAAGATTAATTTCCTAGGACCAGTCTCAAAGGCTTTGAGGATTACAGAGAGAACCTAAGAGGACGCCTATAAGAGGCTCCTGTGGCGTCCTAAACCCTTGTTATTGTCCCATATCGCTTCAAACAGGGACAGTTCCCGTTCTCTTCATGAAAGGCTGATACGAGCCCAAAAAATCGTCTGTCTAACCCTTAATAAGTAGTCAAGAGACTAAACTACTAAATCAACAAGCCAGTAGTGAATTGTACATACAGGCAGCCATACTGGCACCGTTGGCTAACATGAGGGAAGGTCACATATCCCTAACCCTGGAAGTACGTTCAGCATTACAACGAGACCTGATTTCAACCCTGATGAGCTGTTGTTTCCATATCTCAGGGACCAGACCTTCTTTCTTTCTCTTTTTTTTCCATTGGTCAAGGCAACGGAAACCAACAGCAAGCGATCCGGTGCAACAGCAATGGTTTTTAAGGCCAATACGGGTAGCTGGGATATACTAGCGTCGGTTGGGTTCTGGGAAAAGGGGTCATCACAGCTGGCAAGGGGGCTGCCCTTGGCTGGGGACATTATTCTTTATCTTTACACATTGGAGACAGAACACGGACGGATACCTTGAGGGAGATGGAACCCCTCTTGCTTGCTTGCTTCCTTGGCGGGCAGTGCTAAACTGAAAAAGGTTGGAGGATCAGCCATGATTATTTGGCTTTATAGGGGTGCCCAGCAGAGGACGTGAGCACCTCGGCGGATCGCCAGGGTGAGTCTTGGGTGATTTTGAGTGACAGATGTACCAAGTATACGAAAAGGTCGAGACAAAGGATAACCTCCAACGTCATGAACAGAAAAGCAGCTGTGTTGTTGACATCACCCTTCCCTTCCCAGGGCCGCCCAACACTCTACGCACCTATGCCCGTTCATTCGAGTCCACCTAGGTCCTAGCATTCCTACCTCTCTACAAGTAGACGGAGACACAAATACCTACTTGTACCGGCCGGGCCGTCCGACCTTATTTCCAACCTAAGTCCAGTCCGGGTCCCAATTGGCGTCACAACCTAACCCCTGTCAACCCAGTCCACCAGCCTGGACGCTCGCTGGTTTTAGCGGCTCGCTCCCGAGTCCCAACCTTCCATCCGACGGGTCCATCATCCATCCAAGTAATCCTACAACACTTTTCACGCTTCACCTCATCTTCGCACTCTGCGATCCAAACCACATCTCCATTCCCGTCCAACCGACCCGACCCAAACCTACCGCGACTCCCAACACCCATCGCCAACCCGCCCGAACAATCCAACCCTTCTGGAACAGGACAGTCTACCGACACCTTACTCGCAACCCATTGGGTAGTCCGAACCAACTGTCCCGCCCGGTCTCGTGTCCTCGCGCGACATGTCGGGAACAATGAGCAAGCGCCAACAGGCGCGCAACGAAAAGGTGCTCCACGAACTCGCCCAAGCTCCCGGCAACAATGTTTGTGCCGACTGTTCGGCACGGAATCCAAGTTTGTTTCCCCAATTGCCTGCCATGATGGCTTCATCCCATTCCCTCCGCCCTTCGCTTCAGACGACCGACTAACCCATCTTCCTCCACAGCTTGGGCATCATGGAGCGTACGTCTACATATTACCCCCTCCTTGTGGTCGTGATCCGTACAACAGCAGTTCTGTGCCCGATTCTCCGTCCAGCCACATGATCTCCCCCCACGCGCACGACTTTGCTAATAGTATTCCGCTCTTCAGTTGGGAATCTTCCTGTGTATGCGGTGCGCCACTATCCACCGCAAGTTGGGCACCCACATCTCCAAGGTCAAGTCATTGAGCATGGATAGTTGGTCCAACGAGCAAGTCGAGGTATGCACATATGCCATGCCCACGTTATGCTCCCCCCCCTCCCTCCTCTGCATGGACGCTTACTCTTTTCTCGCGCTTCAGAACATGAAAAAGGTTGGCAACATTGCCTCCAACAAGACATACAACCCCGACAACAAGAAGCCGCCGATACCGGTCGACGCCGACGAGGTGGATCCCGCGATGGAGAGGTTCATTCGCCAAAAATACATGCAGCGATCCCTGGCGGGCGCCAAGAAGCACAACACCGGCAGCACATCATCTGACGAAACACCCCCTCCGCTCCCCCCGAAAACCGGCAATCGATTTGGCTTGAGGTCGGCGTCATCCATATTCCCACTTGGTTCGAAGAAGAAACACGATACGGGCAGGTCGGCCTCTCCTGGGCCACGGAGTCCAGCATCTCCTCGGAGCAATGGGGGCTTTGGGGCAACGGTTCGATTCGAGAGCGACGACGCCGACGAAACCGAGATCAAACTATCCAAGCTGCGGGATATGGGCTTTAAAGATGAGCAAAAGAATGCCATGGTTCTTAAGGGGGTCGGCGGAAATTTGGAAAAGACAATCGAGGCGTTGGTTAGGCTGGGAGAGGGAAGCGAGGCACGAACACCGCTCAACCTAAACAAGAAGCAGACACCCACGACCTCTAGCCAGAGTTTGGCGCCATCGACAGCCAGCCAGGACGCGGCTCGCGGACGACCGATTAGCCCGGCCAGCACGAACCCGTTCGATATGCTTGACCAAGCACCACTACCCCCTCAGCCATTGTCCACTCAATCGACAGGCACGCTACAAAATAGAAACCCTTATAATATGACTACGACAAATCCCTTTGGCGTACCCCAGCAGACGGTCCCTCAGCAACAGCAACCCCAGCAGCAACAGGCCATGTCTGCCTTCGATCAAGCTTTCCAGAACCTCTCGCTTGCTCCTCCGTCTCAGCCGCTTTTCCCTCATCATACAGGTGGACTCGTTGCTACTCAGCAGCAGAATCTTCCAGCGGGATATCAGCAACCCCAGATGACAGGGCCGGCTCAGCAGCACTATTCATCGATTGCTCTAACCAGCAACCAGACGTTCCCCCTAACGTCGCAAACTACCGGAGGTGGCTATAACCCATTCTTCAATAATCAACAACAGCAACAGCAGCCTCAGACCCAGTACCAGTCCCAACTAATTCAGCAACCAATGACCATTAATACGACAGGTTACGCTGGTAGCTATGCAAACAACCCTTTTGCCAAGTCACCAACAAGGTTGCAGTCACCTACCCTCACCCAAATACCTGAACAGTCGCAACAGAGCTTCTACGCTGGCGCACAAGCTCAGGCTCCTGCCGCCATGCCTCTGAGCATGCAACAGACAGGGAACAATCCCTTTTTCAACCAGGCCATGGGTGGAATGCCCCAGCAGCAGCCACAACAGGTACCTCAACAACAATACGGGCTCGCCCCACAGTACCAGGCACAAGGTCAGGCTCAAGGACAGATGCAAATGCAAACTTCCCAAGTACCCCAGATGCCTCAGATGCCCCAGACGCAGCAAGGCGGATATGCGCCACAGCAACATCAACCACAGCAGCAACAACAACAGCAACAGCAGTATCAGCAACAATACCAACCTCAGCGACCCGACAAGGCGTCCATTTTGGCTTTGTATAACTATCCACAGCTTGCCCCTCAACCGCCCCAAGCGCAACAGCAGAACCCGGCTCAGGTTCAAGGCCAGCAGCCTTTCGCGCAAGCTGGACCAGCCAACGGGGCCTTTTCTCCGCAGGGACAGTCTCAACAGCAGCAGCAGCAGCCGCAACAACAACAGCAGCAGCAGCAGCAACAACAACAGGTACAGCAGCTACAGAACCAAGGAGCAGGAAGTCAAATGGCGGGAAGCAAAAACCCATTCATGAGCGCAGGTGGAACGGCTCAGGGACAACAGCAAAACATGGCGGCACCCAAGGCATACAACGTCAGCAGGGAAAGCGTAATGGCCTTGGGGATGGAATGGACAAATGGGAGGCATAGTCCAGATGCCTTTGCTAATCTGAGCGCGAGAAGCGGGCATTGAGTGGACATGTATTTTCCGCTCCTCCAGTAAAGGGGAAGGCCGGCTCAGCTCAGTTGCTATCAGGTGGGGCTATAGTTCGCGTTTCTTGTGTGGTAATTGATTTAAGTACATCTTGTTTTGGGAATGAGCACAGCATCTATGATTCATCATCCTTGTACATGCTCACTTTTGCCACCGGTCAATATGTCGCTTTGCTGCGTCTACCCAGCACTGCTATGGTCATTTATTAACGTAGCGGCGTCATTGTCTACTTATCTTTCATGCCTCCTACTGTTTTGATACTCTTCGGTCTTCAGGGGTGCGTGAGAGATGGTAGTCAAGGGGGGTTGGATTAGGTCAGAATTCTGAGCAACAAGTTATTGGTGCCTACCTCTACATAATATAGGCTCACCCTGCTGTGACTTGGCACTGGGTCGGTAGTGACTCTGCACCCAACCGATTGATCCATGTAATTTTCTGTACAGTGAATGGGACGTGTACCTGCTGCCCATATCCGCTATACATTAAAATCTCAATATTTCTCTCGCGCAAAATCACTCTTTCAGCAACTGCATTGAATTGCAGTTGTCACCACTGAACCACTCCAGCGTATAACGTCTGGAAGAAGCTTTCTGGCAGTATTTAGTACCGGTCCTGGCACGCCATTTCTCTATTCTCCACGTTTTACCCATGCTTGGTTTACGTCTCCTCGAGCTATTACCAGATGTTCGAGTCACATCAATGATGTCAAGTCTTTCACTGATTCTTGGAATCAAACAGAATCGCCGTAGGAGTATCCGTTAGTTCAGGGAGGCACACACAGCCACAGAGGATTATTCGGGGATATACTACGTTGAGCATCACCCCGCCGGCCACAGCCGCCATCAATAATGTTTCTCCGGCAGTCATGGATGACTTCAAGCTGACTGCTGCGTCGTTTTGACGGCCCAAATAAAAGCGTTCCAGTAAGCTGTGCAGACAAGCTATGCATCCTTCACCAAGCATCGCCATTGGCTTGCTGAGCCTTTCAACACCATCCCGCGAGCCTGCCCGTCAAAAATTGGTAGAGTTGTAGAAGTGGCCATATGGTATCACCAAGAAAGCCCATTGTTACCTGTTCTGGCGCCCACACTCCTGCCACATTCCTCACCCAAGTGCCGACAGATAGAGGATTTACCAACTACTGATTGCTAGCATTGCAGGTCGTTGACAATTGACACACGTCGTTGCTTTTTCTGGCAGGTAAAAGCCCAAGTCGACATGGCCACCATTCAGAGAAGAGAGGCTTAAGAGCAACACAGGCCTGGCACATCGGATTATGTGAGCGTGCTGCAGTCAGCGGCAGGCATCAAGAGATTCGGTAAGTCCAGGAAACGGCCGGTGGAAACTGAGAAGAAACTAGCAAAGGGAAATGAAGAGTTGCGAGAAGCGCTATGCTACTGATTCAGGTATGACAGGAAAGAAGAGGTGATTACGATCCTCTCTTTAAGATGCGTTGAACTTTGACTGCATCATCACTGTACACAACACAGCTTTCATCCTTGCTTTCCTCATGCTTGTCTCTCCCTTTTCATTTTTCTATCACCGTGCTATCCAGTCGGTTTCCGGTTGCAAAGTTGCACGGAGAGTGTTGTCGTTGTCTCACTCGTACCCGGATAGTGATGTGGCGGCTTCATTTGTTATTCATAGTTGTTCGTCCTCCTCCAGCTATGGTCACTTGCATGCGATATATTCCGTCACGTCCACCGCGTCGGCAATTGACAAAGAACATAACATATCATATCTGCAAGTTGGGTTGTTGCCGAACATGAAACTAGGGATATGTCTTTTCCAAACTATCTTCTAGTCTTCTAACCACCGGTTGGTTGGTTCCGGGGGCCGAGGGCTGAAGACCGGGAAGAAAGGCACGGGTACGTCGAAGGCCCCTTCACAGCAAATAACGGGATTCAGAAACAGCGCGGCTTATCCCCGCTCCATGTGCTACTCAAACCGCAGGTTTACATGGACCAATTATTGGCTTATGGACGGGGCTGGATACCAGCTTTCTGTCGTGCCCCCCTCCGCGCATGAGGGTGATTTGACTGGAATCCAAGTGGTAGATATATAGCTTGCCCTACCTGATGAGGCTGCTGCCTGTTTAGCGCTTGCTTTTCCTCGTTGTCTTTTTTTATTTCTTTTCTTTTCTTTTCAAGAATCACTCAGGCCGATCAGAGACTACTGAGGAAGAGTGCGATCTCAAACTTCCGAGTTTACCTTTTGCAATTTAACGCTCAGCCAGAGCCGAAAATACCAATACGCACACGATGTCGCGGTCTCCATCACCAAGTCCAGGTGGGAGGTCGGTCCTGGCAGAGATGACGGTTTATCAACCCCATGGAGGAGCTTGGGGCCAACAACACAAGTACAGGACACCGCAGGGCAAGATCGATGAGTTCTGGACAAAGTTTACCGCGAGAGTTCCGGGAAAGCGCAAGTATTCCCGTCATTTGCAACCTGACATTCCATTTCCAGCTCGGCATTTGAAGAACCTGAAGGCTTACAACTCCTGCAGCCACCACGGTTCTCCCCAAGAACGAGTACGCGGAGAGACTTGCCAAGCGCAACTCAGCCAAGGAGGTGGGAGGTGGCACAAATGCGCAAGCATCTTTCGAGGAGGCCGCGGCTATCTGCAGGGCCAAGGTAGAAAAGATCGTCCAAGAATGCCGTCGTGTCAACCAGAAGTACAGAGACCCGCATTTCGACCTAGAGTACGACCTGAAGACAGGTAGGCGCGATTGCCTCGAATCTCTTAGCAATGAGAACATCATCGATTTCTCCAGTAGCGACTCAGATTCCGACTATAACCACCTACCACGCCCTCGGTCGCAATCCCGTCGTCGCAGGAGAGATAATGGTGATGGTGATCGTGACCAGAACACTCAAGCGGAGAGCCAAATCAAGACCAACAAGACCAAAATCGACAAGAGAGATGGAGTCTCGCAGCTCTCCCCGCAAGGACGAATGCCCGGGTCCAAGTTTCGACCGGCATCGGTCAAGCGAGTGGGCGAGATCTTTGACGATCCAAAGTTCTACATTGACGGTCCCACCGCAAATGATGTGCGGCAGGGCCGGGACGGTGATTGTTGGCTCATGGCAGCATTGTGTACGATGAGCAACAAGCCGGGACTCATCGAACGGATTTGTGTGGCTCATGACCTGGACATTGGCGTCTACGGCTTTGTCTTTCACCGGGATGGAGAATGGTTCAGCGAAATCATCGATGACAAGGTAACGTAACCCGTCAACTCTGCATCAATTTACCTGTGCGGTTGATAAGCATCACTAACCAGGCACGGCTGTAACAGCTCTATCTCACCAGGCATGACTACGATGAGGCAATGGATCGTTTTCACATGGAACGCGTGTTATGGGATGACAGGGACCGCCCAGACTCGGAAGAGATATACCGGAAGACATACCAATCCAATAGCGGTGCACTCTACTTTGCGCAATGCGAGAATCCCAACGAGACTTGGCTGCCTTTACTCGAGAAGGCTTATGCCAAAGCCCATGGAGACTATGCAGCTATTGAGGGTGGGTTCACTGGCGAGGGTATCGAGGATCTCACGGGCGGTGTGACCTCTGGCTTGTATACTGCGGATATACTTGACAAGGAACATTTCTGGAAAGAGGAGCTCATGAAAGTTAATGAGCAATTTCTCTTTGGTTGCTCGACTGGGGTTTGGTGAGTTATCCGACTTGCTCCGTGAATGCAAACACTGACAAAGCTTGGCAGGGGACGTGGCTATGGTGACAGAAAGGGCATAATGGAACAGCATGCCTATTCTGTTATGAAAGCGGTAGACTTGGATGGGGAGCGGCTCCTCTTGTTGAAGAACCCATGGGGCAAGGGAGAATGGACAGGGCCCTGGAGTAAGTCCAGACAAGAAGCCTTCCGTTGCGGAAGCGGCTAACAAACTTGGACAGGTGATGGCTCAAAGGAATGGACACCTGAGTGGCTTCAGAAATTGGGCCACCGGTTCGGAGATGACGGTGCATTTTGGATCTCATATAGAGACTTCTTGCGCAAGTTCCAAGCCTTTGATCGAACACGTCTCTTCGGACCCGACTGGAAAGTTACTTCGATCTGGACAACACTTTCCGTACCATGGACCTTGGAATATCATGACACCAAGTTTGCCTTTACGCTGGCAAAACCCGGTCCCGTGGTCATTGTTCTCTCCCAACTAGATGACCGATACTTTCGTGGGCTGGAGGGCCAATACAGATTCGAGCTGAACTTTCGCGTACATCGGGCTGGAGAGGATGATTATCTGGTACGAACACAACATTCCTCCCGCATGAACCGCTCCATCAACGTCGAACTAGATCTGGACGCTGGCGAATATCTGGTTCTCGTCAAGATTGACGCCACTCGCAACGAATGGGTTCTGCCCACCGAGGACGTGGTGCGGAACAATGCTCGCCACCACCGCGAGAAACTGCTTCGTATCGGGCTCTCCTATGACCTGGCGCATAGCAAGGCTAAGATCAAGGAGAGTCCCGAAGAGAAAGCAGCTCGCGAGGCACACGAACAGCGAAAAAAGGACAAGCAACGCGAAAGTCTGCGGAAGGCGATCATGGAGGAAAAGGAGATGGACTTTTACAATCGCATGAAAAGCTACCATAGACAGAAGCGTCGAGTGGATAAGAACAAGGAGCGGATGAAGAGAAAAGCCGAGAAACTGAAGGCGAAGATGGAAAAGAAGAAGGCAAAACGGGAAGAAGCAGAGAGAAAGCAGACCGAAGAGACATGCAGGGGCCCTCTCGGCAAGCAAAGAAAGGAGGGCAAAAATTGTGGTTTCAGCCTTGATGCGGCGTTGCATCCTGCTGGCGAGCGTATGGCACCCCTGGCAGTAGATACTGCGGCATCTACTGACGCTGGACAACCGACTCCGTCCGTTAGTAGCACGGGTGCTACTGAGGTCGATGTAGCAGACCGTCTTCCGGAGCCTGTTCTATCTAATTCTCTTGAAAAGAATTGCAAGGCCCCCGAGGGCCCTTCGACGGATATACTGACGCCACAATCAGCTCCCACACAGCAACAGGGTTGTCAATTATCCGCCCAAGACGACAAACCCTCCTCGGAACAGCCTAATAAAGCAAGTGCACAGGATCCCATCGAAGTACGACCAGGGCTGTCAATGGATATCCACAAGACACTGGAGGATGTTCCCCAACACTCGCAGTCACCTCGTCCAACGTGTGGAGAAAGTGGAAGAGGTGATGATCGTACCAGAGCTATCGAGCACAAGCTTCGGGCGGCTGTCAACCTTTTCTCCAACTTAAAGCAGGAGCTAGAGATTATGTTGGAAAACGGTGTCAGCGACAATAGTATAAAGCAGGGCCAGGGACAAAAGCCACATAATGTTGACAACCAGGGACAGCCTCCTCCTCCTTCCCCTACTCTTCGTCCCCCAGCCGAACAACGCACTCTTCAACCACCGAGGCCTTCTTCCCCTCGTCCTTTCCATCCACCCCATCCTCAGGATCAGCGCCGGCATCGACCTCTTTCTCAATTACGAGATAGATCACCAAGACACCCACCAATAGACCCGGGGCCCTCACCCCGTCGCTTCCAGCAACGATACGGTGGACGTCCACCACAACGTCGCGAAGTTTTCATCGACGATGACCATCAGATTCCCCCAGACCCCCGCTTCGTCGACGAGAGCTTCCCCGAGTCATCGTCTTCCTCCGCGGACACTGAAGACACCTACAGCATTTCCAGCATCTCCGACATCTCCGACCGGGAGCTCGACATGCACATCCGCGAGGACGCTCGTCGCAACGGGAGGCTTCTGGATCAAGGTTCTCGGAATCAAGCTATATTGCCGCCCCTCCAGCCACAGCCTGGTCCGCCGCAACCAATGCAGCCTGGTCCGATCGGCCCGGGACCGCACCCGCGCATTAGAGGTCGAGACCCCCGCGGTCGTCATGGTGGACGTGGTAGAGACGGGCCCAGGAATGAGCTATTGGATCCAAATGCGGAGTTTGAGAAGAATCCGTGGAATGCGGTGGCGGTGGTTGGGTTGAGGGTTTATTATCGTGTTGATCAAGATGACGCCGCTACCATTGGAGACAAAGACGCAGCAGGCGTGGAAGGGGGAGAGGAAAAAACGGAAATGGTCAAGTTGAAAGTTATCAGACCGAACCCATGGGAGACTGGTAGTGATGATGAGAAGGATACCAAGAAGAAGAAAAATGAGGAGAGGGAGAGTAAGTGGACTAGGGGGCTCAAGAAGAATAGGAAGAGCAAGACAACAGAGGAAGAGAAGAACAAGAAGGGTGATGGTGGTGTTGAAGCGGGCGGAAATGTAGCTGGCGCGGGATGTGATGCGGAATTGAAGAAAGAGGAGGTGGAAAAAGTGTTGGATGTCGATGATAGCGCGAAGGATGCTACTCTTGAGGGGGAAGAGAGAGAGAAGACTGTTGCTGAGGGGCAGGTGTGATGTGTGACTTTTCTACTTTTGACTTGTTTATCTTTGAAGGTGTGTTGGTGTTTTTCTCTTGTTGTGATTTAGTGATCAGGTGGAGTTTTTACTTAGGAAGAGGTACCTAGAGGTAGTTCATAGCGATGGTGATGTATTGTTGTTGTCTGCAGTGGTTCACAGGGTCGGTCCTTCAACAACTGAAGTTGGAGTTAGGTTAATTCCTTTGAAACGCGCGTCAACTTCACTTATAGAGGTACCTACCTCTAAGTCTACCTCTGCAGTACCTTGAGTTATTCTTATAGTCAAAATGAGTGGTGGCTCCGAAATTCCGTTCCATCCATCTACCTCGACCTCCAAGTAGAAAGACCACCGCCACCGATCTCAGACGAAAGGGGTAATTTCGAATGCCTGTTGGGAACTGAACCTCATGTGTCCATCGATCCAAGTTGTGGAGATCAGCCTGGATTGAGAGGTACCTCAGAACGACTGTCCTGTCAACACCGTTATACCTTCCCTTCACAATGCTAGACCAGAAGCCAAGATGTACCATCTGTTTATGCAACGAAGTTCTTACATATTACATTTTGTCCCTCTACTACCCCTCTTAATAGTGAATGCCCTGAAGAGTACTTCTCTCTAGCAAATCAGTTGTTCAAGTCACGCTTCGTGATCCCGTGCAGTAGTAGCACAAGCTGGATAGATTGTCGAAAGTGCAGCGGGCCTACTTCCTCAGCAGACTCGGACTCATGAACTGAATGATACCGACGTGGAGATGGTACTAGTAGTTGTGGCTCAAGCCTGCGGGTATGGAATTCATTACTGAGCGCAACCAAATCCATCAACCGTCAGAAACTGCTCTTCGAATTGTCTCCACAATTCATATTTGATTCTTGCACCTTGCCAACTTCCTCACCAAGATCCACATCAATAGCTTATATAGGTCGTAAACATCATGATCACCACAAACAAACCTAGCATAGAACGTTTAAGTCGAATGTAGTACTTAGGGTCAAAATTTGCAAGCAGCTTACAACAATTAAAACCCCTTGTGGTGTAGTTGGATATCACGTTCGGCTGTAATTGTCTAGATTGTATACCGAAAGGTCACCGGCTCGATTCCGGTCGAGGGGAATTTCTTTTTTTTCCTCTGTTTCATCAATTCTTATCTCTGCATTGTTGCCTTTTGGTAGACTGTCGGTTTTGCTGTTCCCTTTATTTCTCTTGCCACTTCTTTTCGTCACTTTTCCACTTTGTCATCTAAGAGGTATGTATGGCTGCAAGTCTTCGCCAGCAGTTCGCTTGCGAGTCCCTAGGGTTGAGGTAGTCAGTCATGTTGTTCCAAACCATATTGGTTCATGGAGACTCTTCCAAGACTTTTCAGCGGACGGGATCTCGAGTTTTCAGTCGATATGGTCGTATGGGATGATTTCACCACAGTCTGTGATTTATGCTGTTGTTGTTGTTGTTGTTCCTTTCTGTCAATATCTTCCTAAATGTCCTTCTCCTGTGTCAATGCTATACCACAAAGACTCCTGGTATACTCCTTTGCAGGACATCTTGCCTGTTGTAGATACCTATCTTTCTCATGTTTAAATGGAAAGACGGTATCTCCCACTACAGCATCCCAAGGGAGTCCGGATTCTTTTCTCATTCTAGCCGGAGCCTGAAATCTCAAGGGTCAAGGTAGGTAGACAGCCAGCCAGCCAGCCAGCCTAATTCATAGAATATTCAAGCAAAACAAGAATAGATTCAAGTACGGTACCGTAGTTGGGGTTCTTTTCTGGCTTCCGGGGTGTAAGTAGAGCAGTGCCGAATCACACATGCATCATCGATTCATGGTAAAGACATAGTACGAGAAGCCCAAGGTGATGAGTCGCCCGGCTGTCAACTTGACCGTTAATGGCGTTTCGGTACTAACCGGCACCTTCGCTCAACCCTTGCTGTGTAGAAGTAGACAACCAGCTACCTACAGTGTGTACATAGGTACACATGCTACGGACAGACGAAAAAGAGCGAACGACAAAAGCTGTGTTGTCCGGTCAAGACGTAGGGCGGGAGTTAAGTGGACGTACCACCTGTCCTATAAGGAGTGCATCAGTATGAACAGGAATCGTGACAACCAATGGGAAAGAAGAGTTCTTTGGTATATTTTATCGGTAGTGATCATGGTGCGAGATGGCTACATGGAAAGGGGAGTGGCAGGGGGTGCGAATTTGCTACCTCTACGTACCTGCCTCACCTAACCTACACGCCGCTGCCATGTAGACTCAAGTTCTGGGCTGGGTACATGTATGTTGAGGTAGAGGTAGGTATAGGCGAGGCAAGGCAAGGCAAGGCAAGGCAGAGCATTCACTGACTAGTGTCTTTACAATCAAGAGACGGTGCTATAACTGTATGGAAATAGATGCGATCATCTCATCGCCTTTTCGTTGCCCGCGTCTTTCACTGTCTATCCTCTCCCTTGCCCACTGCCCCCCATGTCAGCAAGCAAGGCGTGTGTGTACCCCCCC